AGAAAGAACTGAATTCCGTATCAAGTAAGAATAATAACCAAGATATGCATGGCTAAATAGATCAAAATTTAGCCCAAAGCCTACTGCGAATCCAGTGCATATGAAGACCAAATCATGCAATCATACCATTGGCATCTCCTACAACACAGACTAATAGCAAGCTATTCCCAGTCCGAATCCCACCCAAACTAATCTAGCAAATTGTGCTATTATGGTCTTCTTTCAAGGTCCCTTAAACATTTCAGACAAATAATCACTCTTGCTACAAAACTCATTGCTCCTTAAAGGAGCAAATATGAATAATTCACTCTCCAGGCATGATTTTAGCTTAAAAGTCATAATGGAATTTCCACTTACATACATGCACATGAAATTTCAGATGGTTTATGAGAAAAAGCCAGAAACAAACTCTTGCTTCATTCGGATTTGCAATGTCAATGAGTCTGTCCACTTATACAGTATTTTTTAAAGCTTTCTCAGCATCTTGATTGACTGCACAGATCAAAGTTATCCTGTTTTATTAGGATTCAAAAAACCTTACCATCTATTTACACGAAAGCAATAACATTACCAAACAGCTCAAAGATAATTGCAATCATAAAAAACGATTATGAGGTGTTACTATGAAACTGGTACCCACATGAATGACAAATACTGAGTAACTTTTACCTCCTTCTCCACTCTATTGACGTTGTTGAAGTAAAGGGCTTGAACCTCTCCTTTCTGTATAACCCAGGGTTCCAACCTTTATGCGATGGACTTTGCATACCTTTAAGCAATGGTCTGTGAGCAGTTGCAGTGACCAGTTTCAATCCTGACAACTTGAATTGTAAAAAGAAACAAAAATAATACTAAGAAAAGGAATCGATTTCCCTTATGTTTATATCTCATGGCAGAAGCACATATGAGAGAAAGCAGTTCCAGGCAGTTTAGGAGAATTGGGTTTTAACTTCAAATCAAAACAAGCAAAATACAATCACCCAAGATGGAAACAAACAAAATTTCCAAGAAAATGAAAGAGAAAGAGAGAATAAAAAATGACCTGATGGTATTTTCGAAACTAAAGAGAAAGGTTTGGGCGTGGCAGAGTGAAGATATCAGCCATTCTACCGGGGAACAGACCAAGGCGGGAGAGCAGAGCAGGTGCCAGCGGCCACCGTTCAAGCCGAGCTGCCCAAAACCAAGTCTTTTCTCGTCACCGAAATTGAAGAGCAAGGCGTTTTCTGTGTCAGTCGCATGCACGTAAAGTCGCGTCACGTACGGTAAAAGCCTGGAGTCTGTTGACTGTTGTGATGTCTCAAGCTGATTATGGGCCATATCGGGGATATATTTGAGCTAAAATTAAAGAAGGTTAGCCCAGAGATTTCTTCCTTCGGCCCAAAAACAAAGAAAGTTAGCCCACCTGAAATTTTGGGCTTAGCATTTTTTTTGAAAGAATACTTAAGAAAAGTAATATATGTCATTTTTATCGTATTTTTAATATATTTTTTCTGGTTTTTTGTATCACTAATTTCTTCGACCCAACCCATTTTTACATTCTAAAGGTTGAAAAAATAAAATTTAGCTTTTAAATAAAAAATAAATATTTCAATTATTAAATCGTTTCACTAAACTATTTTTTAACCCAAACAAATGGGCAATTTTAATAAGTTCTTTTTTTTTCTTCTAAACTTAATAATTTAAAATATAATAAAATAATATGATACGAATACGATACGAATAAAAAAATAAAAATAATATAACTTAAAATTTTAATAATAATTATATATATATTTAATAAAATAAAAATATGTATTTTATATTTTCGTGTTTATACTAATTATAATATATAATTTTCATATAAAATATGATATAAATATATAATTTTAATATTTTACATAATATAAATATAAAAATCATTAGGTCTATTACTCCCTCATTTAGTTCTTTTAGTACTATTAAAGAGTTGAAATATTTTTAGAGAATAATATACTTTTTTATCTTTATATCTAGATTTAAAAAAAAAAAAAATAGAAGAAATCTCCCACACGGGGTTTTTTGTCAAAAAAAAAAACAGAAATTGAGGCCACCATGATTATGAATATTTTATACTCCAAAATGTCTTCACCATGTGAAAAGGATTGGAACTATATATTCAAATAATTAAAAGTGGAAAGTTCACTTTTTCTCTGCCTTATCTTTTTCTTATTGTTTTTTTTTTTATTATTTTTTTATATTGATACATTTAGGGATGACAATAGGTTAGGTAAAGATAAGTTTTTGTTTATCTTGAATTCAATCCAATCTCAATTTTTTTTTTTATTTTTTATATTCGAATTTGATTTAATTTGATTTTATATAAATCATAGTCGATTTGACATAAATTAATAAAATATTTATTTTTTAAATATAATTATATAATTATATATAAATAAAAATTTTAAAAATAATTTTTAATATAATATCAAATCGAATCAAATTAAATATATTTCAAACTCAAATTCGATTCAAACTCAATTTTTTATTATAATATCTTATCCATTCTACACGAAATTTAAATTAAAAAAAAATTAATTTTATATTATTTAATATAATCAACCGATTAGGCTATCAACCCTATACACATTGCATAATCTTTACATTCTTCTTTTATTGGGTTTTGAATGCTATTATTCTTACAGGATCACCCAGCTCTGAAAAAGTGTTATTTGTCGTTTTGTGTGTCAGCAGATTTCCTTGATCAAAATCCATTTGCAATCTTTTTCCTTTATGCTTTTCCATTTCATAACAACAGGAATTTTGTAAATAGATGAAGTACACAATTAATGAACCACGTTTTGGTGCCCTTTTTGAAGCAAAAGTACTTTCATGTCGTTTACCAACATGCTTAAATATCCTTCCATCAATTCAAATGCTTATTTTTTTCATAATTTATGAATTCAAGCTTCGACGAGGCATGTTCAATGCGGTGAGGAACTGCTTAAAAGATTTGTTAGGCAAAAAGAATGCATTATCTCATGTGCACACTAATCCTAGTTATTGTAGCTTTTCAATTTTGAATTTTGACAAATGATAAACCATATAGTTGTTGTCCATTTTTTTTTTTTTTTTTGAAATCATCACGAGTTAAATATTATGTGAAACTTTTTAAAACATGTGTTATATACTATTAATTAATCGTACGATGACATTTAAAAAATATTTATTTTAAAAATTATTTATATATTGTTAATATATCAAATATTAAATTTTTACCAATAAAATTCAAAATTTAATGCTTTACTATATACTTACATTGATAATGACAGAGCTCATTTATTGGGACTTTGTTTTATGTAATTTCCTTACATTGATAATGACAGAGCTCGTTTTAGACTGAATCCTCAATTAAGTTTTAAGGCTGTCCTTATTTCTTACGTATTATAGAGGTTTTTTTTTTTATTCTTTTGGTACGAAATCGTTAGATAAAAAATATTTTCGAGGTATATAAAATAGTAATAAGACATTTTTTACTTTCATATAGACATAGGTAGACATTATTTAAGTAAATTAGAAGAGCAATATAGCCTGTTATTTTTTAAATTAATTGTTATGTTATTAGAGTTAACACTTGAAAATTACGAATTCGAAAAAATTTAAATGTTTAATATCTTTTTAAATCAAATATGTAATAAGATAAAAATATTTAAGGGTGGATTGAAAATTAAAAAAAAAAAAAAGGAGAGCAAGAGGGGACATATTCATATAGAGAAAGTATTAAATTTAGGTTTTGTTTTGTAAAAAATAATTTTAAAAAATATTTATATTTTTTGAATTGAAAGAGATTTTTTATTATTTAAATGAGTTAATGAAAAATATTTCTCGTTGGTTATTTTATGAAAAATTATTTTTTTCAAATAATATTAATATAATTATTAAAATATTAAAATATATTTATTATTAAAATATATTAAAATGATTTATTATTAAAATTATTTATATTCAAAAATAATTATATTTAATATTAAAATATTATATCAATATAAACAATATTTAAAATAAAACTATTTATTATTCTTTATATTATTTATTAATATATTATAATATAGGTTATTACTAATATTTATTAATATATTATTACAATATTTATTAATTAAATTAAAAATATTTATTATTATATTATATTAATAGTATACTATTTATTAATATATTATTATTTATTAATATAATATTATTTATAAGTAAAATTATATTAAAAAGTATTAATAAATAATTCTACTTATAGAGAACTGTTTTTCAAAAATATTTTTTAAAAAATTTGTAAGATAATTTTTTAAAAAATAATCTAATTTTCTATTGATCATTAACTAATTAATTTTTTACCAAATAAATATTTAAAAATAAAAAAATTATTTTATTTTGTAGCCTTATTGTCAAATCTTCAAGCACCTATTAATTCAGCCTTACTGCCAGAGAAGCCTCCCACCTCCACATTTACGCTTCATTTGGACAACGATAAAATGACATGATTACGCGATAAAACTCTTTCTAAAAGTGTCTCTGTTCAACACAATAATCATATTTTTTAATTGGAAGGGAACTATGTGGCTCAAGGAAAAAGCATTGAAAAAGGGGAAGAAACTGAAAAAAAATCAAACATAGCAGAGTCCGGATCCTTTAAATAAGTTATGAAACAATAAATAAAGAAACGTTAAGCAAGCAGAACATGCTGATGAATTGTTAAAATTATTTTTTAATTGGAAGGGATCAGGGGTTTGGGGTTTGGGGTTTGGCTATAAATGCTGGCTGATGCTCCAAAACTTTCAGACATACATTTTCAGAAAGAGAGTGAAAAGCTTCAGCAAAAAGAAGAATATAATAAAAACTCTAGAAAGCCAAGTTGCTGCTTCGGCTTCCTCTTTACTCGAGAAAGAGAAAGAGAAAGCCTAGGCATCTATCCAGAGCTTTCTTCGAAGCCAGATAGAGTTTAGAGACCCCTGAACTTAGCTGTGTTTATGTCTGTATTCCATTTTTAGTTCCCATTCACGACCCTTTTATATATCAAATCAGAAAATAAATCAAGAAAAGGAAAGAGTAGCAGAAGCTAGCTGCAGTGGGAGAGAGGGGAAAGTAATTGAAGATGAAGATTTGGTGTAATGTGTGCGATAAAGAAGAAGTGACTCTCTTCTGCTCTGCTGATGAAGCTGTTCTTTGTGAGGGTTGTGATCGTCGAGTTCACCAGGCAAACAAGCTAGCCAGCAAACACTCTCGTTTCTATCTTCTCCACCCTTCCTTCAAAGAATCCTTACTTTGTGATATCTGTCAGGAGAGACGTGCATTTCTTTTTTGTCAAGCAGATAGAGCAATTCTTTGTAGAGAATGTGACCTTCCACTTCACGGAGACAATGAACATACCCAGAAACATAACAGGTTTCTTCTCACTGGTATTAAGCTCTCTTCTTCTTCTTCTTCCCCTTCTTTAAACCCAACTTCAACCTCCTCTAATGGCTATGGTGCTGCTATTGACTCTGAGAGATTCCGTTCAGTTTCTAATAATGAAATCTTCAGCTCTCCTTCAATTGATAAACCATTGCCTTCATCAACTTACACCAGTGACACTGCTTCAATTTCAACAAGCAGTATAACAGAATACTTGACGGAAACATTAGCAGGTTGGCGCGTGGACGATTTTCCTTCATCTGCTGCCATTAATGGTTTCTGTAAGGTTTACATCTAGAATTATTAAGATTTAAGAAAGGTTTTTGGTGGGTGTGACTCTTTTTTATGTTTGTTGATGGGATTGGTTTCATGCAGACTTTTAAGCAATTATTACCAGTGAAGGGATGAGATGTTGAGAACAATACGAGTTTTCTCGTCCTCAATCCTCTCAGCTTTTTCTTTTTATTTCTCGAAATGATTTGGTAGATAATTCAAGAAGTTCAGAGGCAAATGTCTCGATTTTTGGCCGTGGATGGAACGACAATGAAGGTTTTTTTAGTTCCTCAAATCAGCTCTTCCTCACGAAATCCAGACAATTTTGGTAGAAATCCGTGCTCTAGCTGAGATAGAGAATGTCCCATATGGAATGTTCGTTCAATCCGTTTGTCTTTGGATCTTAGTTTTTTTTTTTTTTTTTTTTTTTCTCTTTTATTTTTCAGCGATTTTCTCGTTGTTACATTTTTAGTTTATGTTATAAATTTCTGCTTTCACTTTTATTACTTGCAAAAACCAAAAAATTAAAAGCAACCGAGGGAAATTTGAGAATTGAAGAATAGTAGTGCAAAAGAGAGTGAGATTCCTAGATTTAATTAAAAAGCTTAAATTAAACTAGGCTTTTTATCTCATCTCTTTCTCATTGGCATGGGTCTTTTATTTTCATTTGTAAGAAAAAATTTCACTTTGACTTGCACAACTACTTATTTACGTTCAGTAATATAGAATTGATGAAAGAAAATTTATTCTATCCAAAGAAAGTGATCAGATTAACCATCGATATCCTTTGAAAATTGCTTTTTCTAACACGAAGATAGTTATGACTTATGAACAAAAACATTTTATAAATGGTCCCGGCACCCAAAAACTGCTTCATGAGAGCGTAAATCGTTTCTGTACATTGACAATTGAAAGTTTAAAAGACAGATCACAACCTTTGCTGCGAATTTTTAAAAACAAAGTAATATCTTGTATCTGAAATTTTGGATGTAGTGATTTTACCCTATTACTTTTTTTTTTAAATCTTTTTTTAGAAGCTTTTTAACTTTTAATTTCTTATTTTTACGGCCCCTCGGTGAGGTAGAGAACAAGCTATCGATATACCTTTTAAACAGTTACAGACAAACCAATAAAAGAATTGCACCCGCTTATCACAATGAAAATATCAAACAGGTGATCTCGAAACCCTGCAAATAAAGAAGATATATCAAAATTCCATGCTCTGAATAGCTGCAAATAAAGATAGAAAAGAATTGATTTGCAGGACCTTCATTAGGAGGGTATGAATAGCTGTGTCAAGAAGTGAACGCAAAAAGCCTATCCGCAATCTTTGTACGACAAATTGGACACTCAGAACAAGCAAGCGAACAAGATTTACATACTGCAAAAAGCCCAATATAAGCGTTTTGAAATATATTTCATAAGCATGAAGTGCAAATATATAGTATGGCTTAGAAAATGACTTACAACAAAAATGCCGACAAGGGAGAAGAATTGCTGCAGTTGGTGATTCGAAACATACTTTACACATATGGGAATTGGCATCTCCATTTCCGAGGGATTTGAGCTCTTTTTCCTTCATCTCTTGCATACGGGCCTGTAAGTATTAAAGACTTTAAGTTGCAGTGATACTATGAAAAACCATTAACTTCCAGAAATAATGTCAGTATGGCCATGGAATAATCTTTTTCCTCAAAAAAAAAAAAAAAAAAAAAACCTCTGAAGTTAACATGATAATGTACTATGCCCAACCAAAACACAAATGAAGTTACTGTCTAGTGTCTGAGAAAGTATTTGGTGTTTACAGATACAATGGAGGTCACTGATCTATGGGGTCGATCTCACCCTAGCATAGACTGACTTTAATTTTAAAACAGGAAAAAACATGCGTCACATGGGAAAATCTTAAACAGCCTATGAGTGACGAGTAGAGTGTAGGAAATGAGACGCGGGACATAAAAAAATGAAGTCAGCATAAACATGCAGTACTGGAAAATTATGTATATGAACAAACCTTCAGGCGTACGACCAGGGGTTCTTCCTTGGGTATTTCATTAGCTGGTTTTGATGACACTTCTGAAATTTGTCTCTCTTTCAGGATATTGTTACTCTCAATGTTGTTAGCTTTTGGATCATCAACATAATTCATACCATTACTATGCTGCTCATCTGTATTACTCTCAGGGGTAGCAGCTCCCTCTTTCTTCAGCCTAGCAACAAGCACCCACATGTTGGCTAAATCATTCTCCAGAGCTTCCTCCCTCTTCTTTGCTTCTTCAACTTTTTTCCTGTATTCATCTTCTATGAGTTCCTTCTCAGCAAGTGCAGCTTCAAGTGCTGCCTCACGTTGTTTCCTAGCCTGCAGTTCCATCTTTAGATCATCTGGATCAAGATTCCATGACTCAAAGTCAACACCAGCTGCTCCAGAAAGGTCATGAAAGCGGCCAGAGAGCCGCCCCTTCCTCCCAGGTCTCATGCTGTCACCATACTTGCGATTCACACCATTAACAGTTTGATAGGCAGAACCTCTAGAGTGTGCCAATTCTCGAGCAGCCAATAATTCATTCTCCAGTTTTGCATTCTGTATTGAAAGCTTGGTCACCTCAGCAGCCAAATTTTTTAACTCAACAGCAGCTGCAGACGCCAATTCTTTTGCATATGAAGATTCTTCAGTCAATTTTTGATTTTGGACACGCAACCCACTGTTCTCCTCTGAAAGCTGCACCTGTTCTAGTTTTAGTTTTTCATTCTCAATTTCCTGCATAGATAAACACAACTTAGAACAGTTCAAAGGTGCAAGGAAGACAGAGGGCTATGCTAAAGACAATAAAAAATTTTCTCTTAACCTTTGGATGTAATCATATATAATTAACTACACTAATGAATCATCTTAATACAACTCTGCATACCTCCATCAGAATTTAAATTTTGATGGAACATTTAAGAAAAGAAAAACAGACAAATAACAGAGTAAAAACTTTATCTGTAATAGGTGCACCTTATAATTTCATAACAAGGGTCTTATAATCTACCAAAAATGCTTCTGAGTTATAGGTAAAGTAGTAGAAACAACATTCAATAAGAGAAAAAAACAGAGAAATGCCTAAAAGATATTGCATGCCATCTATCGCAACCATTATGCCTTGAACTGCATTAAAAATTCCCAAGGTGAATGAAACGAAAGAGACAAGCAACTGATTACCACATGATGAAAATGATTTTTTTTTTGCAGTTATCATAGAGGTGAGGTCAGGCAGAGGCATATTGGTCATATTTCATTAAATCATATAAAAATGAAAAATACTACTACTTGCAACTAAACCAATTCAAGACCAAAACTTGTGACAACAGAAAGCTAAAGCCATTAAGAGTTAGACAATCCAGAAATAAGTAGATTACCTGAGATTGAACCCTTTTTCTTAACCCGTCAGCATATTCTTCAGATATTTGCTGTTCAGAAGATGATGATAATTTGTCACTGGAGAGAGACGCCAATTGCCGCTCCAGGAGATTCACCTTCTCTTGCAATTCCCTATTATCAGAACACTGCCAACAACCAAAACCATAAGTGGAAAATAGTTCCATAGTCATAAAAGGAGGAGAAACCATCAACAGGTACAACATATTGAACAACAAAGCTAGCAGCACCTAAAGATGGACCAAATGCTACACTAAATTTTACATTAGACAGACAGTAAGTCATTTTTTGAACAGAGGAAAAAAGACACTAATTTTACATTAGCAGGCTTTCACCTTGTTCTGCAGTTGTTCTTGCAGGATACGATTATCTGCTGATTTTATCTGTATCAAGGAAAAGAATCAACTTGATTACAAAATGAACATAAAGAATCCTGTTTATCAATGCCATACCACTTATATCATTACCAGAGTACTTAATAAATTGTCACTGTCTAACAAGCCTTAATCAATGGTGGAACAGTGGCCATCAAATATCCTTCAACTCCATAAATCAGAAGAATGGAACCAAATCACTCACCTCCAGCTCAAAACTCTTTTCATTACACTGGGTCATCAGTTTCATAACTGTCTGTTGCAACAAGAAAGCATTTAGAATTAATTAAGTGAAAGCCAATGGCATAAAACCCTAACAAATAATTTAACATAAAATAAAAAATTAGTATAAACAACATTATCATAAACAGGATGACAACACAACCTGCTGCATATCGACAAATGATGCATTAGCAATTGATGCTTCACCACTCTCATTTATGCGTTGCTCTAAAACCCTCATTTGCCTCCTCTTTTCTTGAATCTCTCTTTCCAAATTCTGAATCTGTGTTTAGAAAATACCCGCATAAGCTCATTAGGACCTTAAGAAAAAAAGTGCAAATTTAATATTGTGTACATGGATACTCGAAATACAAGCAGGAACTGAAAGTTTCCTCGACATTGCACTCCGCTTTGCATTAATAATTAGATTCAAACTTAATCTTCTAACCTCATGGACATCCAGATAATATTAAATTTATGAATAGAATAAAGAATAAGTACGAGTAATAGATCAGGTAAATCTTTCCTCTTTGCCAATTCTTCCAGCCACAGGAACATCCATCGATACTGCCTCTCAAGTAACATGTGTTATAGATGTAAAACAGAAGAAAACAGTACCTGAGTTTTTGAGCTATCAGGATCATTTACAGACTGATCCACCAGGCGTTTCAGGGTACTGGTGCTAAATGCAATCTCTCCAGCAAGCATCTTAACTTGCTCAACAAGAAGATCCATCTGATCTGATGTCATCCCACCCTATAACCACAAAAGTGTTTGCTTTTATCATTACATTATCAACAGTAATCGAGGAAAATTAGAAAGATTGATATCATTGATATGTTACTATATTATGATTTGAAAGAACATCTTCGCACAAAACTGTGAGCATTGGTTGCCCTGGATATCAAATTTCAGCTGCAGATAGCTAAATTGAAAAAGGGAAAGAAAGCAGAATATAATAAGAGAGTCTAAAAAAGTAAAATAAAAAAAGGATAGCAAAGGAAAACGCCTGATGATTTTCACACATTCTATTTCCTAATGTTCACAAGACCTGTTTGTAGCACATTCATATCTTATATTCCCCTGAAATTTTTAACCAAATAAGTCTGAAGGCACAGCTTTTTGGTATGCTACACCCAAGAAGAACCAAAGAGACTTAGAACTAGACCATCACAATAAAATAGTTAAAAAAAAAAAAACAAAATGAAAGAAAAAGATGGAGAGAACTGAAATTTCAGCCCTAATTGTGAGGGTCTAAGCCCATCCAACTGTCAAGTTAGAAAGACAGAAACTTAATAAAGGAAAATACAAGGAATCCTTTTGGAAAAACATAACAAAACGAGATTTAAAAAGGTAGAAATAAATGAAACAAGTGAAACATACTGCCAGCAGTTTAGTCCCACTAATAAGTTCACCTACTTGAGTTGACTCAGTGATAGTACTGCTAGTTGGTGAGAGCTCATCATTCCTCCTGCTGGAGGATCTTCTGTGTCTAAACTCATAAGATGAATCACAAGCAAGCACAGCAATCGAAGATAAAGAATCTTTTTGATTCTCACTATCTATGAGCAAGGTACCATCTCCCCGTACATTCAGTTTCTGATGAAGCAAAAGTGCCAAAATTAACATCATAATCATGTTACTAGACTGAAAAAGAAGACCTACAAAAAGTTCTTATGACTAGATATTACAGTAAATCCAAAGATAAGCAGACAGGGATAGTAAAACTCAGTAACAGAGATATATGATAATAGAGATACAGATGCATCGCTAAGGAATCAGAACTCAAAATTTCCAGGTTATATAACATATTATGTTTCATCGTTTTCATCATTTAAATAGAATAAGCCAATGGCCCTTTCTGTGCAATATATATACATACAAATACATACATGTCTGTGTAGACTATTCATGTAGTCTTACTTCTTCGACTATCAGTATAAGAGAACAACACTTTTGTTTTGACCTATTTATGATAAGAACTTACATCATCCTCACCAACAGAATGACTCCTTTGATGATTTGGTACATCACTCAAACATCCAGGGATGGTATTTTTGGTAGAAACAAGTATAAGCTTGGTAAGCCTTTGGATTCTGCTCATTAAAGCAGCTTTGGCTTCCTCTTCTTCCTCTAATCTTGATTGCATTTTCACCTGACCTTCCTCCAACTGTCCCACAAACAACAAATAGCATGAAGAATACAGTAAATAGTTACGCCATCAAATAGAACAACTATGATTGTGGAAAGGAAAATGCCCAAACCTGTTGCCTTAAGTTCATAAGTTCTTCATGATTAACACCAACAAGCTTTCCCTGCCTTAGCTGATCGAGTTCCTGTTTGAGGACTGAAATTTCTTTTTGATACTTCTTAATCAATGATTTTTCGTCAATAATCTGGAAATGTTGGTTTTGAAAGAAGCATAAGATTTGGTCTTAAATTTATCTCTATATAACTAGCCAATAGAAATAACTGAGGGCCTGAGACTCTAGAGACCTTATTCCGTGAGGCATAGATTTCCACCCACTTTGCCCTGCTTGCAAACTTAAGGGTATTATGAGTTTCCTCTGTGTTACTAGATGCAGGTGTAACTGTGCAAATAAGCTGTAATTTTAAGGAAAAATTAGCAAAATAGATTAATAACTTTTTGTCACATATTGATAAGGATACATAATTGCAGACAAAAATTGCATAATAAGATTAGAGAAATAATTGAAAGACAGGAAAATTAAAATTTTATGTTGGAGGAAGATAAAATCCAATGAAACTATAAGAATTAGCCCATAATGACCAGTTACACATAAGATATACTGATCAACTCACAGAAACATGTCCATGCCCGCTTAGTGAAGATTGCAAAAGGCGGGTTAGCTTGGAGTCTCGGTATGGAACATGGGATGCTTTTCCTTCACTTAACTTTCCTATTACCTTCACATCAAAATCGGATGATCTAATTACAAAACTAAAAATAATAGTCATAGATACAGCCACTTGAAACAAGTCAGAAATGAATAATTTGACCAAAAAACTGATCATCCGCTCCAGAATTGTTGTCATTAGTAATTATTTGAAGACCGTTGAAGAAAAAATTTTCAAGGTTCAATTCCTTTTCTTTACCAACTTACAGAAACTATAATCCTGCAGAGTAGTTGAAGGGACATAGTCCAGGCTTTGTATATTTTGCCCTTATAATAGACTGCAGGTGTTCAACATGGGGAAAGCAATAAAAGTTCATCAATAAAAAACGTTAACACAAGGCACCTACAGTTCCAAGAGTCAGAAGACTTTTGTTTATGTAAGATCCTTCCTTCCTCCGTAGCCCAGTTGTCTCAGTTTTTGAACTCTCGGATCCAGCTAAATCAATCAAATTCTGGATAAAGGAACAAAGAAAGTACAAGTCAAGGCATTTATTAGAGAGGAATATTCTTTCTTGAAAATGACATGAATTAAATCGTACAAGTTGAGAGAAGACCACTCCATCATATTCATCACCGTGAGCACTGCTCTCAATCATCTGCAAATTTGTCACAGTTAGGAAAGAAAGGGCATGTACAACATAAGTTTCCATTCTGGTTCAGAAGCAATAAAAAACCAGACATCCAAAACCCTCTAAGATAAACTAAACAGTGAATAAGCCAATTTTGAGATTTACCCAAAGTTTAGACAGGGAAATGAGAAAGTTCCTACATCAAGAATGTTTACCAGTGTGAATATAGTGTGACTTCGGCTACTCAACAGATTGAAGTTATTTGAACCAACATGACGATGCTCTGCCCACCAACACACAGAAGGAAACTTAGTAGAAAAACTCTCACTAATAGATCATTCATTTCACATAGGAGGGGTAAAAATAGATATGAAGGACAAAGGCAGGAAAACAGCAAAAACCCAAAAAAGCACCTTCCCCCGCAGCAATAAAAGAAAGAGCATGCCCAGGAGACAAAACCACTTCTTCCTTTATACCTTCAACGTAAGTTCCCTGGAAAGATAATGCTAACATAAGCAAAAGTATGAAACTGACAAACATTAATTGCAAGTCATTCCATCGGCAATTTTATTGAACTGTTGATGTAATCTCAACCCAAAGCTATCCAAAAGAAAAAAAAAAGGCATTTATAAGGAAGATTCATTAGATTGATATAAAAGTAAAGAATGGTGTGTCTTTGTGTGCAACTGTCTTTTTTTGAGAGAATGAGACCGAGGTCAAACCAAAATAAACACAATGCAAGAATTTGAAATAAGTTGAGCAAAAGACCTGGGCATCTTCTCTAATGCGCAAATGTTGACCAGTTGGATCAAGTAAGTCATTTATCACCTGATGTAAGAAGCAGAATAACACAAAATCATATTAAAAGAAATTCTAACCTAAAATGAAAGGAGCTGAAAGTCAGAAATTGAACCACTTAGGTTATAGAATTAACTGTTGAAGAAAACTATTCTCACTGAAGTAAATCATAAAATAAAGACCAGAAGAAAGAAATTCTAACTTCAAGGGCCATGTCATAAATTTAATCATAAATTTAAAAGTAAAACTCGGTGACACACCTCATTGTAGATTTCAAGATATGACACGCGGAGTAAGAATTCTCGCCCTGGAGTCTGTATTATAAGCACAGCTAGTCAAACTTTATCCACGCAATACTATGGGGAAACAATTGAAAGCAAGTAAACCATGCTGCAGCAAGCAAGCATTTTTGTACTATAACTATTATTATCCAAGACAATCAACATCACTAAATTTTCAGCATTAGATAAATAAAAATTATTGGGAAAAAAGGTATCAAATAATTGCCTAAGAACCCAGTAAATATAATTTCGCTTTTATAAGATGAAACACAAATAAATCTTAAGATGGCATTGAAACATAAAAGACAGACAAATAAATAAAACCATGGAGTTAAATACGACAAGTAAAGAACATTTGTTATTCAAGTGCCAAAGGTAAAAAGAAATGTTATCCCTACTAACATACTTCAAAGCATAACATGTTACTATTAGGTCTTGACTAATGAACTATAACTTGAGAAAATATGGTTTGTGTCAAAATGGAGCCTACAAGTTCAAGTCAAACAGGTGCAGGTGTTGCTTGAAGAAACAACACTTGATAATAAGGATGGAAAATTGCATTTATCGGACAGTTCAGTAGTTAGGCCTAATAAATGATGTCAGAACACTTACATCTTGGATAATGCTGAACACATCCTTTATTGCCAATGGTATAACACCAGGAGCATTTTGATCTCCCTGTGCATATTATCAAAGACACAAGTCAACTGTAAGATGACACGGAATACTTATATTTTTATATGATAGGGCAACACATATAAGACTCATATTAAAGAACAGATGGAAAACTATTGATAATTCTTAGGATGTATCATGCCAAGACTTTTAATATTAATTGGATTGAATTATTAATATAAATAAAAATTCCTCAAGAGCAAATTACTAAAATATTTTTGCCAATAAAGGGGCCCAAATGAATATATAGTTCAATGCAACAGAACAACCGCAGATAGAAGTTAACTGTTAATAATTAAAGTGAACAGAAATACAAATACAAAACTATGTTTTCTTTTGCCTTTTTCATAGTATATAAGAGATGCAGAGAGTATGAAATCCGAATTATTAAGAACACATGGTTTGGTTTCATTACCACTTACACACAAGTAAAGATGTTCTGATTGATGAATATTTCCAGAAACATTAGTCATGCTACATATGTGATTACTAACTTTCAGGACGGATAAATTTATCAGATTTAGGAGTTGGGATTAAGGTTCTCAAGTTACTAAGTTCATGTAGAGTAACTGCCAACTATAAACACAAAAAGACAAAAGAAATCCAGTATTAGGCACTTTTAAGAAACTCAAATGCAATGCCTTATGCGATGTGAAATATCTATACTGTTTGTAACTGAATATTTGTTACCATTTGTGGAGGAAACTCTACAGTTATTTATTTCACGAGTTTGCTTACCTAACTGCCCAACCAAGAAAATTCAATCAAATGCTACATAAACTAGCAAATTTGCTACAGTTAAAAAATTATATCTATAGTTATACAACCAAAATTGATGCTATAATCAGTGAGAAAGTCTACTTAACAGAACAATAAGCAACAACAATTGACACACAACTAGATATTAAGAATTCTTATGATAATCCAATTAAAAATTGGGAACAGTAGATAAAAATAGTTTGATGGGAGGCAACTAGACTTACGTGCATAGTGTGTGTCTTCCCACTACTTGTAACACCATATGCGAAAACAGTTCCTATAATTCCAACAAGCCAATATTAGCTTCAATTGAATATATAATATAATTTCAGAATTGAAACAAACCAAAATATTTGAGCACCATGACAATAAATGACTTTGAATAAATTAATCTTTAGATTTACTTTTATTTAAAATTTAATTAGTAATCAACTCAAAGAAATTAATATAAGTTCCAGTCATATGATTTTCGTACCATTAACACCTTCCATTGCAGCCTTCACTACAGGTTTAGCGGCTACTTCATAAACCTCTTGAGAAGTTGCATGAGGTCCGAATACTCTGTCTGTCAAAAATAAATCCAATAACCTTCATATGAAATCCACATTGATTGCCAGGACTAAACACCATATTTGTGATAAATCATTTTAACCAAAAATTGGTAAATCCTTATTAATTAAACTCTGATTACCTAACACCAATAAATTCCCGGGCAAAATTATATAAATTTCTTCATTTAATTGGAATCTTTCTCAAAGAGATAGATTCAGCCATTCCAAAAATTGGCAATAAAAAGTAGAGGGAAAATCAGCAATAAACTTCAAACATAAAAGTAAAAAATCAATTAGGCAATTACCAAATGCGTAAGCTATAGCTGGATTATACTCATTTCTCACAAACTTATCCCCGTCCGCGTACCACGCGATCTCATCCCCTCTTTGGAATTCCTTTTCACTATAACGAGACAAAATAAAAATTAGCACATAAATCGAATGAATTGAATTAACTGAAATAGAACTCCGACAACAATCAAATCGAAAAAAATCCTGTACTTAGATCTAATTCGATACAGTCAGATCTACACTTACTTCAAAGGACGAAACCGAATCGTAACTGAAATACTATCCCCCGATCTCGGCGCTTCCACGGGCTCGCCTATTATCTCCTCTGGCGCGTAAGCCACTGGTGTGTGAGCATTGTAACCGCGTGAACCGTTGTACATTGAATCGTACCTGGACCGACTCGGCGTCTTGGATCGAGAACCGTATCCACCTCCCGAGTTGAAGTACGAAGAAGCCGACGACGAGCACGTGCGAGGCATTAGTTTGTTGCTCATATACGAAGAAGTTGAAGAAGTGGAGGAGAACGTACTTGAAGGTTTCCGATATGAGAACGGCGAGCTGCTTCGTGCTCGAGAAGAAGACGCCATTTATGTTGTGACTCACTGAGTCAGTGACTCGGTAAGAAATTAAGAATAGGAAGAAGAAGAGAATGTGTCAGTAAGTTCACATGACTTGACACACAAATGCGAAAATCATTTCGTTTTTTTTTTTTTTGAATTTTATTAAACTCTTTTTATTGCTTTGCAAAGAGAATAGCTATGGAAAGTAGAAGAAAATAGACAGAGAGGAAGAGGGAGATTGTTTCTCTTTAAGACAAGGAAGACTTGCAGGGAGAAAAAATAATAATAATAGAGTTTGAAAACTTGAAATTGAAAGGAAGGATTCTGAGGGATTGGTGGGAGAGATGACATGGACTTGTTTTTTATTTTTTAATTTTCAAATTTTGAAATTTCTTTTTTAGTTTTGTCGTCGTGAAGTGACTTGGAGGTTAGTGGTTACGTGGAAGCTGAGAGTTTGAATTTTTTTTTATAAATACATCGTTACTTTGAGAAAAATTTATATTTATAAATTATTTAAATTTAAATTTTATAAATAAAATATTCAAAGATTTAATTTCATCATATTTTTAACGTGTTCCATTTAATTTAATCTTTTCGTCAATTAAATTTAAATATTAATTTTAATAAAATTTATTTAATATAAATTTTTTAATTATAATTATTATAATTATTTTTAATCTCATTAAAATAAATTTTATCATTTATTCAAATGAATTTTTAACCAATTATCGTTGCCTGAGACAGGAGTTTAAACTCCGCAAAAGAGGGATTTTGAAGAAAAAAAATATTGCTAAAAATGAACGGGAATAACTGCGGGTGGAGATTAGAACAAATTGGAAAGTGTTTTGGTATAACAAAAAATTAGGACAAATCTACGGCTGTGGAAGCAAGCAGTGGCGGAGCGTCGTGGGGAGAAATTGCTCTCGGCTATATTTGATAAGATGGTGACGCGTCACCCGTTAAAAGATTATGTAACTTCCTCAAGGCCCATTGGCCACTGTAGAACTCCTATTTTTCAACTTTATTTCGCCCATTTTACCACAAATTTGAAATTTCCCTATAGTATTTTTCTTCTTTTTTTGGCTGAGACTTGGCATTTCTTTATCTTTCTTGTGAACCATTTCAAAGCAGTTAGCCCATTCACGTGAAATTCTTTTCCTTTTATGTTGTACTGTAAAAAAGGAATGTTATCTTCCCCCGAATGAACTGAATCCCACCACGATCGTGATACCAAACCTTACTCGGCATTATTACTTGATAATAAAAATAAACTGCTAAATTTTTTTTTAGTAAAAGAGAATTTGTTTTTTCATAGATATAAATTTTAATATGTTTGAATTATTGTACGTTAACATGTAAATTAGTTGCAATTTGCAAGTATTTGAAATGAGATCTTATAAAAGAAGAATTAATGGACGGTGGGGATGAACGATATTATCCCATGTGATGGGTGTCTTGTTCGTGTTACGCTTTTAACGTGGGAATTAGATCGGTGATGCAGTGCCAGTGGGGCCACTGTCGTCCACTTAAGCTGGTGAATTCCCCGCCCGTCGAGTGAGGGTGCACCAGAGTTGATGGATGGGTTAACTATCGTACCCGCCATACTGCACTAAATATGAGCCTCGTTTGCATGTGGAAGTGATTGTTCCAGTGCAACCACATGCACCGCAAAATCATGATTGCCGTAACGGGCCAATTTGGAATCAATTATTCAACCCTCTGATGAGATTGTGTATTTTAAATAGGATACAATTTTACTATTTCTTATATAATTTTGATCTGATAATAATTTTGATATAATTTTGATCATCTTTGATAGTATTTTGATGATTCATACAATTTTAGTAATATTTGATAAAATTTTAATTTTTATAACTTTTTAATATAATTTGGTAATATTTAATATAATTTTGATAACTTTTTTATATAATTTGATAATTTTTGTTACAATTTTGATAAATTTTGGTAATCTTTTAAAATTTTAATAACCTATTAATATATTTTTATAATATTTAATGTAATATTTATAATTTATGATCAAATTTTGATAATTACTGATATAATTTGATGAACTTTATCTAAATTTTATCATCTTTTGAATGCATTATATATATATATATATATGCTTTCAAATTTATAATGCGAGACAAATCATTAATACCTACAATAATGCCTTCATGTTAGCAATGATAAATTTTTGTTTGTTTGCAAGAGGAAATGATAATATTTTTCATAATTATTGCTTCAAAATTAAAATTCTCATGCAATATTTATGGAAAAGAGAAGCTTTTAAGATAGGAGCTGTGACAACAATGAAGGCCATGGGTTTAAAAACAAGATTAAGAAATGGAAGGGAAAGAAATTGAGTAAACAGAAGAGGCTGACCGTCTGGTATAAGGTCAAGGTTAAAAGGACATTGCCCCTTTTCTCACCCCCCCCCCCTTCCACCCTTCAAGACCCACCATAATTTATCCAAACTTATACACAATGATGTGTTTGTTTGAACTAACCAAAAACTTTGTGTTGAAAATCCATTGCAATTTGCAATTGCAAAGCAGCAAATTTGTCAAAAAAACAAAGGCCAAGTAATACCTTTTGCTTCCCACCCTCATTTTTTACAGGTTAAATCACTCCTTTCGTATGCAAACTGGTTATGCTAGATGTTGGGTCAGAAAAAGAGTGCAAGCAAAGAATTGGGACCGGAATGGGATGCGGTGAGCTTATCATTTCCTGACTCCTTTTTTTTTTTTTAATAAATTTGGGATAATAAACTGTTCTCAAATCAAAATAAAATATATTATATCTAATAATTTAAATATAATAACTGTAAATAGTATGTTTGAAATTACTCTAATAAGAAATAATCGGCTGAACTCAATTAAAAAATTATTTATATCAAAGAGAACAATTTTATCAACTAAACCAACCTCTTATTAGTGACTCTGCTCTATTTTTACTGATTGCCACATGCAACTTCTTTTTGGCTGTGGCCTTGTGGCCTGTGGGGTGGTCCTGGTGGTGGGCGAATGATTTGGAAATGGTTGTGCTGCTGTGTGAGCCCTGTGACCGAGCAGAAACTAAACTGGCTGTCAGCTTCGCTTTCAGTTGCTCCCAATAGTGTTTCACGTACTAAACTGACCTGTCTCATTTGACATGTGGGGTGCCACGCATTAATAGTTCCAATTTTTCCATCTTAAATCGTACAAGCTCGCATCTAGGGATGGCAGCCCACTCAAACCTGACGTGATTTTGACTCGAACAATTTTTTAGAATTGATTTTAAAAAAATTTAAATTTTGAATCGAATTGAATATCAGTAAAAAAATTTAAGTTTAGGGTGAAATGAGTTTTAGATAAATTTATCTTAATCCTATATATAATTATTTTTAATTATTTATTTAATTTTATATTTATATTAAAAAATAATATCAAATCAAATCATATTTAAATATTAAAAAAATAAAATAAAATTTAAATATTATAAATATAAAATTAAATTAAATTTGAGACGAATAAAAATTTATTTTAATCTGACTCGTTATCATCATTACTCACATCATTTTACTGTTTCCTTCAAATTTCTTAGTTTTTCTCTTATCAAACGGGATCAAATAACCTGTCAATTCTAGCAATGATATAATAAGGCCTTGAGGTCATATTCAAATACAATAATATCGTTTGAATTTTTCAGTGTTATGGTTTTGTAATTTTCTGAGGAATGACTGTGTACATACTTGTGATAAGAAGAAAGGGTGGTGGTTAAAGGTCAATTCTCTTGGTGAAGTAAACCAATTTTGTCATTGCTAAATTAGGTTCACTACTTCAGTGTCAATTATTTATTGCTTACTGAAAAATTGAAACTAATGGCCCCTACCAGAGGTAAGCAGTAAATATTATTCAAAGGTATACAATTAAAACTTCATGCTATCTCTGACTGTAAAATTAAGGTTATATATGGTAGATAAAATCACGATAAAACATAAAAAAATGATATTATAAATAAAATAAAATAAAATAATATTATAAATGAAAAAAAAGGGTTTGTAAGGGCCGACAGTACTCAAGCTCGCACGAAAGAATGGAGGGCTAATCCTAAGCCTAGTAGGTGGGGTTGAGCTTTCAAGTGTCATGAAGTCATGAAAGGTGGATCAAGAAAAGATGGAGAGTACACTTTGAACTGGGCTGCAACTAAAATTTATTTAATTAAGGTAAGAATCATTTATACAATATACTTTTCATTAAAATTTATTTTTAATAACATTTTATTATAAAAATAATAATATTTATATATTAAATAATTCACCTACAGTCAACTATAAGAAAACTAATATCATAAAAATGATTTGCTAAACAGGTTTTAGCTTCTCCTGTTTATATTTGTTCAAATGATCTTCAGAGTGAAGTATGCCATGTGGTGAAAGAAGGCGTTGAAGAGAGAGGAAAAATCGAGCCTGGAAAGAAAAGAAAGAGTGCATTCACGTAGGTATCATGTGCATCAATGAGTAGTGAGGATAGATATTGGTCTTACCCATTGAAATCCTACGAGTGCATACCAGCAACCTGGCAAGCCATATCCTCTGCCACTCACCAGCTGGTGCCAAGAGAAATACTGGAGCGTTATGGATGAAATTTTTGAATAAATTTGGGAAAGAAAATAGAAGGATTCTGAAACAGATGCTCACCAGTAATACAATAGCACCCAAAGAGAAGCATCCACTCATTGATAAGCTAACAAATTTAAGTTCTCGCCCTGCCTGCAAAGCCACAGATGCTCTGATGCTATAATATGAGCTAGAGTACAAATTTCTGCATTAACATCACACTATAAACTACGGGCTGGCAACTTTAAGCTGGGACATAATTGTCGAATAAAATCGAGGCATAAAACACATAAAATGTGAGATGAAAACTTCAAGAAAGGACTAAAATGGTTATTAAAACATACCAACAATGTCCCCTCAAGGCTGTGAGTGGCTGGTGTCACAGCCAGTGCAATAAAGTATGGTGCTAGTACTTTGTGCATCTGCAATTAAAAGTATCCATTCTCTTCAGCTAAAGCTCGGAATTGTGGGAAATGTAATATACTCATCATATTGAAAGTACTAGAGAGTACAGTCAGAGCAATACTTCTCAGGATTCTTCCTTTTTCCAATGCATAGGATCACACACACATGATGGTACAAAAAGAACATAGGGAAAGGTCATAAAAATGAAAAATGCAAGAACTAACCTCCTGTATGACATTCTGGTCAGATGTGAAGATATTGGGAAACAACCAAGGAACTGATGTTCCAACTATACCCAATAGCAATCCTAGGCTAGCTCCGATTGTGACAAGTGACTTTAGCAGCATTCGAGCCTGTTTGACATCATAAACTTTAGTAAACATTGAGCAAACAAAAATTTATGCAATTCTAGATATATGATGTAACTCACACATGAAGATACATTCCATGCATTCATCAATAAAGAATGGTGCAGAAATCCACGTAACATTATTGAATGAAAAACTTCAGATATATGCATAAAATGCAGCAGTGAGCTATTATAACCACCATCTAAAGATAAGATGACTTCAGCACTAATGAAAATTGGCTCGAGTACCTTTGGTAAATTTTTGTTGATTCCGTATAGCAATTCTGGCATAAATGATTGTGCAGTTTGGGAGAGAGGCTCACCGCATACCGCGCACATGCAGTAGGTTTGAATCATGATCTAGAACGAGCAGACACAGTGTTAAGAACCATCAGTTTTAACATGAGAGAGCAAAAAGCAATTGAAACTACTAGAGAGAGTTGATAACCTGATGTGCAGCTAGAGTGTTTGTTCCCATATTTGTAGCAAAATAGATAATGAGAGAATAGAAAGCTACCTAAAACAATAAAAAGGTATGAGATGAATAGGGAAAAAAATCAAAATTAAGTAATAAAGCTTTAGAATAAAGTAAAATGGCAACAAACCTTTGCCATCATCATTACAAACACTGGGCCTGCAAGCCAATAAATTGTTAGAAGGTCATTGGTTGATGGAATGGAGATGGCAAATGCATTATATCCTTTCTTGTTTAAAGAATTGATCATCATGTAAGCAGCAACAACCTGGGAAGAAGTAGACTGATTAGGATGTAACAAGATTCAAGAAATTTAAAACAATAAGATAAAGATAGAATCTACAAATTTGTGCAGGTTAGAATAATTATGATTAAACTATTGATGATAAATATCAAAATGTTCATTGAGTATACTTGCGAAACCATCATCGCCCAAGCAGCACCAGCTATACCATAGCCTAATAAGCTGCACAGTACTATGTCCCCAACTCCATTTAAAGCACTAGCAACAGCCAAGGCCTTCAAAGGTCCCCAAGAATCTTTCATGCCAAGACTGTAGTAAGAAAAAAGAGAAATCAGAATAGAAAATATATGGATAAAATCCTAAACATGAGTAAAGAAGCATGGACAACCCCATCTAGAAACTTATACATATAACAGCTAGTGAGGTGCAAATTAGCATGTCAAAAAGGTATAGAAAACAACAGACTAGAGAAATGGTGTTATATCTACCTCGCACCTTGTGCAACCCATCCAACAAGAACTGCAGGCCATGCCAAGCCACGAATCTATCAACACAAAAGATTCTGTTCTATTAAAAATTAACAAAATAAAATAAGCAAAGGAGGATGTGATTGAGTGTTTCAAATGATAAATAGCATTAACAGCAAGAAACAGGGAGCAACATAAGAATAAAAATCCTCTAGAACATTGTTAATATTTTTGTTTTTGGATATACTAATGGACTACAGTTAACAGAAGAAAAGGAAAAAAAATTCCATCTCAGACATCATTGAATGCTTTATAAAACAAGAAATGAAAGAAAATTGGAACTTGTCAAAATGAACCTGAACATATGTGTTTGCTGCTGGTACAATATGTGCATTAGTCGGCCCTGTAAAAGCTGGGAAAAAAAAGAAAAGAAAAGAGAGAAAGCATGAGAAATTAATCAGTCACTTGGAGTCAACAAAATAACCATAAGCTCTGTCAATTACCCGTTAGTGCCCATGAACCAAAAAACTTTGTAAAGAAAAGCATGAAGAAGCCACCGGCAAGACCAGCAAAAAGTAAGACAGATATTTGATGCTGCACTTCATCTTTATCCTGCACCATGATATCTAGTTTAAAACAAAAACAAATTAAAACAAATTGCATAGGACATAGGAAAACCATAAGCTAAGAAATTGCATTATGACATAATCAGCATAGATAAAAGCTGCAGAACAGACGAGCAGGCCCAATTAAGATTGCCTATCCTCAAAACACATTATGGGGCTGCAAATGATTTTCCAAGTTTTTATTTTGATGGTAAAGCCTCTTTCATTAACATGGTTTAGTAACTTGTATTCTTCTACTAGCCCTCTTTTCCTTTCTATCTAAGAAAGGAAAGATAAAAATTGATGCTTGAATTATACTAGAACACACATATAATACAACTATTTAAAAGTTGAAGAAACTGACCTCTCGGGCAAGGGAAGTGGCAACCATATTTGATGTTGCAACAGAAAGGAACGTAAATACATAACTCATATTTTCGCAAAGAACAGTTCCAGGACCTGTCCGTTTCCAAAGCACAAGGAAAGCAATCCATTACTCAGCGAACTGGAAAAAAATACCACTCACGCTCTCATTTTCCAGGAAGACTCAACTTCAAAGACTTTTGTCTTTCTACTTTAAGTCTTAACCCAAATAAATAAAAAAAAAAAGAAAAAATATTTAAGGAAATGTACCTAAAGCAGCAAGCTCAATTAAGCTTCCCTGACCAATGACCGCAGTATCAATGAGACTCATCAATGGCCGGCAAATCCAAAGACCAGTCGCTGGTCCACTGAACATCATTATTTCCTTTGTTTGCCTCCATAAACTCTGGTTTTCCAATCTTTTCACTTCTTTTTCATCTTCTTGGTTGTACATTGAATTCGAAGAGATAGTATTTTCAAAACCATCAATCTGTTTTGCAATTTCAGTGCTGAAACGGGATGGTTCTTGGCTAGGAGCAATGCAGTTTCTAATGAAAAAGTTAAGACGGTTTTTAGAAGGGAAATAAGAAAGGTGAGATCGAGGTAAAAAAAGAGACGGTGGTGGTGGTTTGTTGGAGAAAGCTGAAAAATAGCAAGAGAATGGTTTAAGATTGGGGTTTTGCAGAGGGGGATGAAAGAGAGTTCTGGCTTGCATTTTTAGGGTTGAAAGCTAAAAATTTGCAGCAGAGAAACAAAAAAACAGTGGAGAAGGTGATTACTTCAGCAGTGTAAGTTGGGACAAAGAACGGTTGAAAGCTTTTGCCCCGTTAGCCTATGGTAGAAATTAATAAACTGATAATACTTGATATAAGGGTATTTTTAGATTTAAAGGGTAAATTAATTTTTTTCTTACCCGAGATTATTAATAGATAATTTAAAATATTTTTACTTTTTAATCGATTTTATATTTATAATATTATATTAACTCAATTACGTCGTTTTTTTACTTTACAAAACTTTTATTTTTCATCTCTAAAATCATTTAAATATTATCTAATCCAATTTAATTTTTTCTTTTACTTTTTTTTTTATTTTCTCTTTGACAATATTAAATCTAATCTAATATTTTAGTTTTCCACTTTATTTTTTATTTTCTTTTTTCGATATTTTATAATTAATTTTTATTTAAACATCAAAATACAAACACAAAAAATAATTTCTGCCTTTTAACGATTTTTTTTCTTATGATTTCAGGTCTTGGCTCTCCGAGCTCGACACGAACATTTAATTTTTTCGGTTGGTCCCAAAAGTGATCCCACCTTTGGAAGAACCAGCAGCCTGGCAAGCCGTATCTTCCAGTACTCACAAGCTGGTAAAAACACAAAAGTTAGAACTAACTGCATAATCCATGCAAGTATAATACTAACTGCAGTCAATAGGGTTGCGGCAGTCATGGGCGAAGCCAGGGGTCAGAATAATGAATAATTTTAATTTTAATTTTTTAAAAATAAAATTAAAAAATTATATTATTAAATACGAATAAATTAAAAAAAATCTGATTTAACTATTTATTTGTCTTCTGAAGAATTAAAAAAATGCTTCAACCGTGTAACACCAATTGAAATAAAAATTTTATTTTTATTAAAACAAATAGTTGAATTAGCAATGGATCGTGAGACGATTAAAAATTTATTCTGATTTTATATTCATTAAATTTGAATTTGATTCGACTCAAAAATTTTTTTTAATTTTGTTATATTCGACTCGATCCTATATTATATAAATTGTATCCAATCAAATTCGATCCGAAATTAATAAAATATTATTTTTTAAATATAAATATTTTTATATATAATTATATAATTAAATAAATAATTAAAAATATTTTTTATATAATATCAGATCAAGTCAGATTTATTTAAAACTCGAATCTGACCTCAATTTTTTTTAACTTTATCTGATCCGATCGAACTCGAAATTCGATTTTAAAAAAAAAAATTGATCTTATAAAATCAAGTCGAGTTAAACCCATAAAGAATGAATTGAATTGTCGACCCTAACAAAAAGGTGACTAAATTGACAATTTGATGAAAATTTTATAAAAAATTTATTTTACTAAATGTTGTAAAAAGATGATGACTAAATATATTAATAAAATACGTAAACATAACAATAAAATAAATTATTTGAATTTTAATTAGATTTAAACAATAAATTGCACTTCAATTTAACTTAATTTTTAAAATTATATTAAATAAATAAATAAAAACTAATGAAATAATAAAAAATAAAATAATATATAAAAAATTCAAATTTACAAGTTTTATTTATCTTTAGGGGGGCCATGGTCCTTGTTATCTGACTTCTCTAACTTAAAAGTAATTTTGTGCCAACCTTCTTCTTATATATAAATATATATATATATATATTATTATCCAATTTTTAGGTGGCCATGGCCCTGCCAACTCCCTTTAGCTTCTTCCCTGGACGTAGTGGTGGATCCTTTTTTTTTTTTTGTTCGATGTGTCCTCGTATGGATGCTGAGTTTTGAATGGCTAGGTTCAGGTTGGTTATATGACGGTGGTAGTCAATTGACTGGCTAGAAAATTGAGAAAGATATGTTTAGAAAAATATTTTGGGGTGTGAGGATAAAATTTTCCTTGAAAATTTCTTATTCTCAAAACTTTAAGGGTGTCCATGTTAGAGCATTTGCATCAGTCAATGGCACGAAACAAATAGATTTTTATTATTAATAAATGATTGATTTAATCGATTAAATTTATTTTTTTATAAAAAAAATTTTGAGTTTTAATTTAATTAATGATTATTTATTAAAATTATTTCGATTGTACGATTTATAATTATCTATTTTTAATTGTTAAATACGATACATATTATATTGATAAATTAAATAACCTACCTACTCTCAAATTATTTTTTTACCCAAAAAAAAAAAGAAATAGATATCCACCGGTAGTATAAGTGCACCAAATACAAAGCATCCACTCATTGAGATGCTAATAAATTTATCTAAGATCTCGTCCGGCCTTCAAAAACAAATGGATTTGTGATGATAGAATGTAAATTATAGAAGCAGCACAAGTTTTGTTAAGTAATGCTCCATAATAAAGCATGATATGGACAAACTGGCAAAGCAAGTTATTTTGAATAGGGATATTCAAACTTAAATTATATCAACACATATATTAACTATAAGAGGATAACATCCGCAAAAAGAAATGTATGCTGTACATTAATACTGTTGAGGCAGGGGACGTGGCAATCAGCATAAAATTAAAATTGAACCTACGAACCTTTGCCAAACTACGATTGTAGAGGACTGTCGCATTCGACTTTGAGTGCTCTCCATCCATATGTCAAATGTTTGAAGCATGACTTATTGTGACGAATAAGTTGACGGTATAATAGTTACTGATTTACAACAACACAAGCTAAAGCAGACAAGAAAGTGAACAAATTACAAGGGTAAGTAAATCTAACCTGATGAACAGTAACAGTGAGTCTGTGTGCCCATAGATATGGCGAAATTACATATAAGAAGAGAGTAGAAAGCTACCTAAAACAATATCATAGAGTATCTCAATTATATAGCTTTCAATCATATCCATATAATTATTTTAAAATAATAATAATAACATATTAAATCTTAAAATGAAAAAATTAATAAACGTTAATAAATTTTAAAATGAGCATTTAGCTTATAAAAATTTTTATAACAATTTTAGATACTGTTTTTAAAAAATTATTCAATGCCTCTATTTGACCAAATTGTTCAATGTATTGCTTTTATTTTGTTTTTAAAAATTAATATCCTCAAAAGCTTAAGATATAATGGCGGTGGACTATCAATGTTTTAAACAAAATCCTCCATTTATTTTGGTCCAAGAAATAATCATTGGTACGTTATTCAGGCTTTTTTCAAATCCTGCAATCAGTAACAGAAATTTTACACAGCTTAATACTATTGATTATATTCAATAAGACACTAATACGGATAATAACGATAACAATAATAATAATATCAATTACTATAAAAAAAAAAGTGTTAATCTACCTAATAGTTTGACAGAAGCAAGAAAAGATACTTTAATTTAATAATTAAGTTACAAATTAACTCGTATTATTATGTAATTAATTATTAGTAGGAAATGTAAATAATATATTGGTATTTATAAATTATTCGGGTTCGATTTGAATAAAATTTGAATTCGATTTTATTATTATCGAGTCGAGCTCGAGCAACTCAACTCATCGATCGAGTTAAATTCAAGTATTTTTATATCAAACTCGAGTAGCTCGTGAATCTAATCAAATTTTTATATTTAAAATTTTTTTATTATTTTAATTAATAAAATATATCGAATTCGAGTTCGAACATAAATAATTGAGTTCTTGTCAAGTATAAAAAATCGAGCTTATTTTTACATATTAATCGAGCTTAATCGAACGAATTTGAGTTGTTCGATTTCGATTACGAGTGAAACTCGAACTAAAAAAATAAAATTCAATCAAGTTCAAGTGAAGTATCGAATCGCGAATTGAAAAGTCGAGCTCGAATTTCTTACTATATCTATTTGATTCGACTCGATTACACCTCTTATCATTAGATTAATTTTTTTCTTATCTTTTTATCATTCGAAATGTTAGTCAAAATTGTCCATTTGTGTATCAATAATAATATATGTTGATTATTGCCCCCCAAAAAAACCTGTATGTCAATTCACACGCCATTTTGACAAAGAACGCTTGATTTGGTAATCACTAATCAAACTAAAAAAAAGTTGGTACTTATAAATAATTATTAAGATTAATTAAAATTTATTTTTAAAATATTTTTTTATTATTCTCATCAAATTTAAAAAAAAACATTATTTTAATTATATACAAATTTTCTATAACTACCATCATAAAATTAAAAAAAAATCTAATACCATATATATATTTTATTTTTATAATAAAATACTTATAGTGTCTCAACTAATTCAATGCTCACATCATCTACATGATTTTAATATCTGTCCAAATAAATTACCAAAAGTTTTAATTTTGATTTCAATTTTAACCTAGGTGTGCAAATACCAAGTGAGAAAATCATTATCGAATAAGCTCCAAATTAAAAAAAAAAAAGTATCAACCATTGTATGAAAATTTATAGTTTTAAATTTTCAATTTTACATTAAAACAATAAATTATTTTAAATAAAGCAGTCAATTACCTAAAGATAAAATAAATTATTAGACTCTTTCCTCTTCAATTAAAAATTGAAAAAAAATCTGTTTAGACATTTGGTGTCAAACCAAACCAAACCCCAAAAGTCTAAATTATTGGATAATTTATATTCCATTTTTCCGACACTTTCGGGGACAGTGGGTGTGCTTCGGTTTCCGCAATTTTGTCAATCAAATCAGGCCAATCAAACTTTTATGATTCCTTAAAGGCGAGAAATTGAAACCCAATTAATTGTAGTATTCCCGTTATTTTCACTTACTCAGCTTCCTACGCCATATAGTTTGAACACTGCTAAAAAGAAATCAATAAAGTGTGACACCACAGTAATTTTGCAATTGTTTAGCCAAGTCACGGACGCCAGAGTTGGCCAAATCCAAGCATCATTTAAGTCTAACCCAAGTAATCATCTTCCCGGAGGATTCCACAACGTCTCTGCTCTTTAAAAGAGCCTGGTTTCATATACCCAGATTGTATTTTGTTGTTGGGGATCTGATTTGAAGATTTTTTTTGAAAAAAATGGGGAGTTTGGGAGCGCTTGTGAAATACCCTAATGATTTTTATCCATTGTTGAAGCTGAAAATGGCTGCGAGGCATGCCGAGAAACAGATCCCATCGGAGCCTCACTGGGCTTTCTGTTTCTCCATGCTTCACAAAGTTTCTCGTAGTTTCGCTCTCGTTATTCAACAGCTTGACACCCAGCTTAGAAACGCCGTAAGCAACCAACTTTTGTTCTCTATGTTCAGTCCTTTGAATTTTATACGACGTGTGATTTGATAGATTTCTTGTCAATTTCGACGATATATTTTTATTGGTATTAATTCTTATATAGATTCAACAATGTTTTGATTTTATAATATCAAATATACCATTTTTATGGTTTTGCAGGTCTGCATATTTTATTTGGTTCTTCGAGCCCTTGATACTGTTGGTTTGTTCTTGATATCTTCAACCTTTCTTTTCTTTTCAATTTTTAATGTCATTTTCCCATGATGCATATTTTTTCACTGATTCTAAATTATTAGGACTCATTTCTACATATTGGCTACATGACATGCTGGGTTGCATGTAAATGAAATCGATATTTTGCGTTTGAATCTCCAACCAATTTATTTCCTCTCCAAGTTGTTGAATAAGGAAACAAAATTTCACTATTTCTTTAGATCAATATATTCATGCGTTTGATCTGTACTGATGGGTTTTTCTTGCAGAGGATGACACCAGCATAGCAACAGATGTCAAAGTTCCAATCCTTAAAGACTTTTATCGTCACATATATAATCGTGACTGGCACTTTTCATGTAAGCATCTTGAAATTTTACATCCTTTTCAGAGTTGGTTCTTGTCTTTAAATTTTCTGGAATATCAATTTTATATATCATTGAAATTGGTCTAGAGGATATTTATATATCATGGAAATTTTATCTGTCAAAGTAGAATATTGTTTCACTTGCTTATATAGCCTTCTCACTTTTCAGGTGGTATAAAGGACTACAAAGTTCTCATGGACCAGTTTCATCTTGTATCTACTGCTTTTCTGGAACTTGAAAAAGGGTCAGTTATTAAGTTGTTTTTAATCTTGCTTGTTTATGCCAATATTTCAAGTGATGCTGATTTTTTTTTTGTAGTATATGTCTTTAATTAATTTACTTTAAGTCTTTATCTCCTAATTAGGCTAACTTAAATGCGTGACTCAAGTTGTTTTTGCTTTTGGATTTTGACAAATAATCAATAGTTCTCAATTGATTCTGCAGTTATCAGGAGGCAATTGAGGACATTACTAAAAGAATGGGTGCAGGGATGGCAAAATTTATTTGCAAGGAGGTTTGTCATGCATGTGTTATTTATTTTCACCTGCCTTGTTCTTGATGAACACCGATTTTCCTGTTGATGGGTGGGAAGGAAAACACAGGGTTCTATTTCAGTCAACAAAATTCAGGGTTTTCCCTTAAACAAAAAAAATCTGAAAACTGGAATAAAATTTCATATCATTTGCTATATCTGTCATGAGTTATTGGGCACTGACCTATTACCTGGATGTATGAATGAGAAAAAGGTTTTTGAGCTTCAGATATTTGACCATTCATAAATAAAATGTTCATTTATGAAGTATCAAAGACTGGCTGATCTCTTCTAAATTGTTTCTTACAATATATAAGAATTTGATCTCTCAAGCTTAGCCACTAAATTTGCACAATATGTTTTTGCATGAATACAACTTTTAAATGTATCAATATTATCTCATGTGTGATGCCAGGAACTTGTGTTTTTATTGCAGGTAGAAACAGTTGATGACTATGATGAATATTGTCACTATGTAGCAGGACTTGTTGGATTAGGTCTGTCCAAGCTTTTCCATGCCTATGGGTCAGAAGATTTGGCTCCAGACTCTCTCTCTAATTCAATGGGTTTATTTCTTCAGGTATTGCTCTAATATATAAATGAACCAGCATTTTTTGTGCCTGCATTTTAACATTTGTTTAAAGATTTGATTCTAAAACCATGTGTTTTGGATCTATCAAAATGACAGAAAACAAATATTATCCGAGATTATCTAGAGGATATTAATGAGATACCAAAGTCGCGCATGTTTTGGCCTCGCCAGATTTGGAGTAAATATGTCAACAAACTTGAGGTGTGCCTCTGTTGCATCTTCTATGTCAATTTCTGTCCTAACTTCCATTTAAAGTTGCAACCAAATTTCATTCAAGTTTGAGTAACTTTTCAATGTGTTTGAATTTAGTTTTTGGAATATCTTTTAAATATGTGTTTCTTAAATTTCACCATTCACCTGTAGGACTTGAAATATGAGGAAAACTCAGTCAAGGCAGTGCAGTGCTTGAATGACATGATCACTGATGCTTTAATACATGTAGATGATTGCCTGAAGTACATGTCTGCTTTACATGATCCTGCAATATTCCGGTTTTGTGCTATCCCTCAGGTTGGAAAGAGTATTCTACAGTTGTTTTCACTCTTGTATATCATCGAGTTGCATGTCATTCTTTATCGTTTGCTTTAAGTGCATTAAACCAGCTCCTATTTTCAAATATTGATGACCTGTTTGAGCTTGTCTCTAATTTCTTGTCGTCTAGGTCATGGCTATTGGAACACTAACCTTGTGCTACAACAACATTGAAGTCTTCAGAGGTGTTGTGAAAATGAGGCGTGGTGAAGATATTAGTCTTTGGAATTGTTTTCTTTGGAGATTAAACTTGAGGCACAGACACTTAAAAGGGGTTTGAAAGATTTCTTTAAACTTGTTTACATCTATAGAATCCTAATAAACCTGATCTTGGTGCTTTGCTCATTTTATGTCAACCTGTGATCATTCAATTTTACATCTTTTAAGTTTTGGTCCGGGGAATGTATACAGTTATATGGCTTATTATCTGGGATTGATGTTCAGTTTATCTTGATCATGTTTCCAGGTCTCACTGCAAAAGTCATTGACCGAACAAACACAATGGCTGATGTCTATGGTGCTTTCTATGATTTTTCTTGTATGTTGAAAGCCAAGGTATGTGGTTCTCCTTAATATTAGATAAGATATACCAACTTACACATCAACCATGAGAATGTCATTGGGTGCATCATATTCGTATCCCTTTCTGCGTTAGTTTTTTCTCATGTATGCATCATTTCCTCTAGTTTTTTTGTCTGTTTGTTTCATGACACTGAAGTGCTTCTTTGGCTATTGTAGGTCGACAATAAGGATCCTAATGCGCAAAAAACATTGAGCAGACTGGATTCAATCCTGAAGACTTGCAGGGACTCAGGAGTCCTGAATACAAGGTTTGCCAAAGTTTCAAATTTCTTGTTGCTTTTTCTTCTCTTTTTCATCCCTTCATACTTGACAATGTTTTATGGGTTTGACCAGAAAATCTTGCATAATTCAGAATCAGTCCAATTACACTCCACTTCTGGTGAGTTACCATGACTTTTATGCATCCTTCTGTCATATTCCAAGAATATTTACTGATTATTCTATTCAACCCAATGCAGGCTGTCATGCTATTCATTATATTGGCCATCACTTTGGCTAATCTGAGTCCCAACTGGCCAAATAACTAGTAAGTTCAATTACCGAATAATGAGAAGATCAGTCTATTAATTATCAGAAAATACGCCCTTCCCTTTGGTCTCGTTGTTTTCCTCTTCCAATAGGGCTATGCTTTATCCTAGTACATGTGTTGTCTCGTGAAGGTTTTTTTTTTTTTTTAATTTTTTTCTATATTTGTATACAATGCTATGAAGAAGCTACACATAACTGTACATCTGATGTTGTTCCCCTAATGTCCAAGGAAATTAGCCTAAAGCTATGACGCTGTTGTATCTTTTTTCTTTTATGTTTGGAAAGGAAATCCAGCGAGTTTTCAACCATAGAAAAGAGGGGAATAATGTATGGATGCATTAACAGTTGTGGCTTCCTTATAAGATATTGGAAGAAGAATTTAAGAGGACATGGATATTCCTCAATGTTTTTAGTTTAGGCCATAGGGTTTAAAAAAAAAAATCGTCAATTTTCCCATGTTTAATTCTAACCGCAAAAATGATAGACCTCACCATCGTCGGGTCAGTTTCTGAAAAATCGCCATTGCCTTACAAAATTACAACAGAATAAACATCAATGTGGAATCTGGAAACCGATTAAAAAACATAGGACAAGAGGTTTGGTGATGGACCACAAAACAAGATGACCAAAGCATCTGTTGATATGACAAGTTACGAGTTTTCTTCCAGAAAATGTCTTTCGGATCAAAACAATGTGAATAGCCAAACAAGAAATGAGAGTTTTTCACTCATCAATCAACAAACAGCAACAAATCGGAGACATAAATTCATGTCACTTCACAAATTAAATAAATAGAAATATAAAATGTATTCACATATTGATGGGAAAAAGAAAGTGTTCTTGGTATCTATATCACAAAAATTAGGCCAAAGATGAGTTCGCTTAACCTTTGAATGCATATAGCAAAAAAAAAAAACAAAAAAAAAAAAAGATGCACGCAGTCAAAATCATATTCTCAGATGCCAACAAGCAAGAGAAGTCTAGAAAACTTCTGCTACTTTGCTTGCAAGAACACGTTCCCTTCTTTCGATGTAACCAAAAGGGAACCAACCTGCTTTCCCCTTGCATTCTCCCTCTGCCCAGCCATTGTTTGTCACCTGCCAAGAGTGTATTGAAAGTGAATCCTTATTGCAATAAGTTCAGAAGGAAATAATACAAGACACTTGGAAAACATATATGAATGTAAAACCGTTAAACTCGAGTCATTGTTAAACCTTTCGCACAACTACATAGTCACCAACTGACAAAGAAAGCTCCACATCAGATTCACCATTATATGGATGCATAACCTGCGGTAAGACATCAACTAATCATTCATCATACAGATTGCAGCAACTTGCTAGTCCATATGTGCCAATGGTATATAGGACCAAGTTACAAACCTCGCCTAAAAAGTATCCCATGCAGTCTGTTGACCCATTATGTGTTTGAGAAGCATAAACTCCATTAACTTCCTCATATGATGGAGGTGGAGGCATGCTGTCTACACTAGGGGCAGAAGGTGCTTCAATTCGTTGTCGTTCAGATATCATCTATCAAGAAGATGGAGGAAATCATGTGGTCATAATATTGTTGGTTAGTTAATAAGTTGCAGCAAAAAAATATTGAGAAAAAGGATCAAGTGGCACAGCTGCATACCTCGCCTTCAAGCTGATCAAATATCTGAAGGACTCGTTGATGATATGCACGTTCAGCTTCAACCTTCATGGACAAGATAAAATGACAGAAGGATAAATTTCAGGATTAAGTTCCAACAGCATGTCATCCAAAATAAAATCTACACAGAAGGAAATATGCATTACCATAGCAATAAGTCTCTGAAGTGTCAATCTTTGTTGTTGAGCTTCAACAGCGGCCATTGCTGCAGCTGCTTCTTTTCCCAACATTGCAACGTTTGACTTCAGATCATGCAGTTTTGTCTCTGCAGATTCCAATTTCGTGACACTCTCAGGATTTCCTGGTGTTTCCCTCACTCTTGCTTGGCGTTTGGAAACTTCAATTGCCTGTCTAAGCCCAAGAGATGGCATAAATACACCCTTGTAGCACAATCAACCTTTCAAATTTAAGCTTTGATAATCATTACGCACAAAGGGCAAGTGTTACCCCATACTCCACGATACATTACAATAATATACAAAAAAGGAGTAGCACTCTCGGCAACTCTTTAGAGAACACAAAACATCATGTATAGACCAGCAATGAAGCCCCATCTTCACAACTGATTACCAGGCTTCAAGCCTTTCACATCATGGACCTAATTGTTTGGAACTATATATATCAATGAATGAGTACATACTCCTCTGAAATTAAAACAAACAGATATCCAATGGATCAGAAAGATAGCGATAGCCTAAAAAACCTGTGCTTCAGCTTCTTGTCGCATTCTGTCATAACGCTGAGCAAGATGTCGCGCATCCTCCAAAGGAGCTCCCATTACCATTGCTCTCAGTGGTTCAGCAACCTAATAATCAAAACATTGAATACATTACCCAGATGATTGTATGGCCTATCATAATTATGGAAAAAGGTTATACAATTATCTAAAAATGAATGAAGAATCCATGTACAGGTCAATCAGACAGCCTTTTAACATACGAGTCTTCTTCCATAGATTCATGAACTTAGCAACCTAACTTCCTAGAATTTTATGTTCTGGGAATAAAAATTCTAAACAAACCTGCGTGCCAAGAGCCTTCAACAGATTCCCATGTTCTTTCTCCATTTGAGCACGAGCACGTCCATAACCTAATGCAGCTTTTGATAATGTATTGCCACTGGTACAAGTATTTTCAGTACCATATTTCCGGCTATCCTCAGATAACTTTGTTCCTGTTGAAAAAAAAAGTGCATAACAGTCAAAGTCCATTAAATTCAAAGTGGAATTTTAAAAATTAACAAAAGCTTCACCAATTCACCTATTTCAACTTGTTTGGACCCAGTGACAATATACCCTTCTACACCGCGGACAATATCCCTTTGAAAATGCTGAAAAACAAAATTAATCAAGGTAAATGAAGAGAACAGAAGAGACAAAAGTTGGTGCAACAGAACAACTTGGCAACCTTGCCAGCACGCGTTGAGATATAAAGCTTCTCAAGTTTCTGATGTTGCTGGAGTTCTGCTTCATCAGTAATTACATTGTCTGGACCTCCATATCCCCCGGCACCAAACTGTTTGAGGACAGCCTGAAGTAAAATTCAACAAAATATCATCCTTGTCAGTAAAAGTTAACCACGAAGTTCAAAAGACCGATAACATAATCAAGCATTTGAATCAGAACACGCTAAGCAGCCGGTAAATAGCAATCCGAAACAAACAAATCATGCTGAGGAGTTTCTAATTGATTTCAACATAAAATAAAATTTCCAATACTTTTACATTCGTTTTCTTTTTTATCATTCAATTGAAATGTAATTTAAAAAAAAAGAAGATACTGACATAAATTCCATCCTCCAATTCTAAATATTCAATTTAGCAGATAAAATAGCAGCTCATCATTTTCCATTTAATATTCTCATAAAAATTAATTATTTCCACATTGTTTTGAATCGATTCACAAATAATAAACGCGCTAAGGCACATGGAATAGATCCAACCTTTAGTTAAAAATTGAACAAACGCATAATCGAAATCACGCAGATTAACAAGAAAATTAAATCGAAGACAAAGCGCATAACAACATAGTGAAAATATAGAGAGAGATCATGGATGAAGTTGGGAAAGTGACGCTGACTTGGATCTAAAGCAAATTACGAAAAAAGGAGCTGGGGTTTGAGAGAGAGAGAGACCTGTTGTTGGCGGGCGACTTGTTCTCTGAGCCGAGTGGCTTGTTTTCTGATTGCCTCCATTCACCAGACAAATTGGCGATTTTTCAATGGATTAGCAGAGCAGGAAACGAGAAAGCGAAGACCGAGTGAATTGAAATCGTCAAAAGGACTACTCTTGGGGATTATTTTATTTTAATTTGCTTTTGGAACGGTGGTTCAAGGAGCTTTTTTGGTGCATCGCCCTGGGCAAAAATTGTGTTTGATTTTGAAATTTTTTTAAGACAAAGGGGCAGGTGTCATGGTGCACACGTTCCCATTTTACTCTTCCTGAGCTCGTACTTCTTATAAATAAATTATGATTGATTTTCAAAGATTATTAAAGCGAGGGACCATGGTGTATGTTTACCTCGATTAATTCATTTAAAATTTAAAAAAATAAAATAAAATAAAGCCTTCTTAAAATTGAAGTTTTAAGTTTAAGTTTAGATATTTGTTTACATGAGAACTTAATAATTTAAAATAAAATAAAATAATACAATATAAAAATAACATGAATAAAACAAATTAAAATACGATTTAAAATTTTAATAAAAAATAAAAATAAATTTAACAAAACAAAAAATTTATATTCATATTGTCATATTTGTACTAACTATAACACTCAATTTTCATATAAAAAATAATATAAATATAAAATTATTAATATTTTATACAACAAAAATACATAAATTATCATATCTATTTATATGATCTTCCAGTCTGATGTTGTTTGACACATACTCTGCTGATATTTCTCATGAGAAAGAGCGAAGAGTATAACAAGTTTAAAACATTTAGACCGTTTGACACAGTAAAGATATTCTTGTTATGTACTAATTATTTAGTAATTCGTTCATATTATCTGTTTGCTTCTCAAATGCTTCATATATTAATATTAGAAATAACATGTCAAAACAGAAACCAGTTCAATCACAATTTCGTGTTATAACTATCAGAACACTGTCAGCTGCAAGACTGGAGGAAATGGCATAATTCAACTGCTATCAAACAAGCCATATATGAATGGAGGAAAAGAGACCTTTTAAATGGTCTAAAAAGAACTACATCCTTTCCCTTCCTAGAATGGGATAAAAACATATCCAGTAAATAGAGAATCAGTTGTGCTTAATCCTAAAAGAAGCACTAATAATTGTTCCGACCAACTGGGTTTTGTCCTTCCTTGCCAAATTAGATACCCTTTTTTTTTTCCTAAGTAATCCAGTTGCCAGAAAAAAAGAATGAAATTTGAGATTTATGTATGAAAAGTTGGCATGACTGAAAACAATTGTGATGCTACATCAAGATGCGGACTACAGCTAGACCAACAGTAGATATGGAGACAAGGGTGCCTATGCAGTACTTGATCACATCATATTTTGCAGCTTCCAACTGGGCTCTTAACTCATGAATTTCCTGCAGGCAGTTCAAAATATCAGGTCACTGCTGTATATCAGCATCTAAACACGGATTTTCAAATGAAATAAACAAGCAAGCTCACCCTATCTAGCTTGTTTGTCAGGTTGGTAGTTTCTGCATTCTGATTGGCCAGTTCATCGTGTATGCGCCTAAAATCAGTTGAGAGTTAAGAAAACAATGTGTGAGATAACAGAAGAAAGCAAGTATAGTCATGCAGAGAAGCAATTGAAAATTAAATCTACCTACCCTCTTTCAAGATTTAAATCCAGGCGCTGCCCAGCAGTGACCTTGTCAATTTCATACCTGTTTGAGAGACCAGTTGTATAAAATCAAGCTATTAAATTTTCATAAAAGTAAGAAACATTGCCAATACCGCACAAAACATGCCTTAGTTCACTTTGCATTTTTTCAATATCACCTCTAAGTTTTTCAGTTTCACGTTGTAGCATAGAAAAATGATGCTCCTGCACTAAAGAGATTCTTGTAAGAAACCACATGAGGAAAAGTACTTGCAATATAACCATCAGATGGTCCACTCTCAATGATAATAAGAATAGATGGGTTAAAATTAAAGGAACGTTTAGAATTACTTACTCAAAGATAGACATATTTACATGAGAAAAAGGAGTAAAATAACATTGGCCATCAATGAACACTATGGAAAAAGCACGCTCCTCTATTGCAACAAAAAGAACCATATTTCAACTGAAGAAATTATCAGTAGTTCTGGTTGCACCAGTACATGGCAAAATAACATCATTATAACAGAATGGAGGGAAACATTCAGCTAATATATATATAGGGGCCAAAATTTTTGTGCACTAATATGGATGAAGTTGCTGATTAGAAACATTACTTATGTACAAAAGGTGCATATCAACAGACTGATATCAAGAACCACTATGAAGTCTAATCATATGGAAAACCTTCCTACTAAGGGTTCAGATTGTTAAAAGTTGATCCAAACAAACTCAAAGAGAAGAACTATCTTGCAATTTCAGAATAGACCAGGTGGAGAAACTATTGAGAGACTCCCCAACCCACACAGGCTCTCTTTCATCTTAGGATAAATTTTGAAATAAAACTCAATATGTTGTCAATCGCTAATCATAATGTTCCAAAACCTCACTGTTTTCCTGCACTGAGGCATCATCACCTGAACTTTGAAGTATCCATCTAATTTCTGCCCAACCCTGTAGTGTTCTCTAACCTAAACCTCACCTTTGATACAAGATTTGTCATCTCTACTTTTCTCCTTCACGTCCTTCCTTCTCTACACCTGACCTATCATATAGAAAAAAGGGCAAAAGGAGAAAGTACTGGGACAAAGGAGCACTAAAATAGAAAATATAATCTCAATTACCCTAAGCCTAACCCAGCCTCACACACACTGAAGTTGACACAAGAAAACAAAAACAGAAGAAAAAAAAAGGAAACAAAAACTTCGGCACTAATATCAATAATTTAGATAGATTGAGCTGTGAGATAACATATTTTCTGCCACGAACGGTATTTCTAAAGAATCCCAAATACTAGACTCACTAAGAGATTGATAGAAGTGTTCACTTTTCGTCAAATGGAAAGATCTAAGTAATGAAGAGCGCACATAATGAAAACGTCTTCTTTCTGCTTTGCTGCTTCATTCTAAGAAAAGCATATAGATTAATAGTACCTGGGAACTCTTTACTTCGGACTTAAACTTTGATAAATTGGCTTCTTGAAGCATCTCAGTCTACAAAAGTAACACAAAGAAAAACTTAATATCAACAAGCTCACAACTGACCATACACCATCAAGAAAACGTCGAAAACATGGTGACAAAAGATCAAACAGTAAGAGTGCAGAAAACAAAAGGCAAAGGAAATTAATAAAGAGAGATCCTTGCCTTCTGCATTTCTGCCTTTGAAACAAAAGAATGGGACACATTCTCCAAGCTATCGTTTAACACTTCAGTGATTGATGCTGTTATTGCCTCCGCTTGTTTTGATGGCACTCCTTGCGCTTCCAGACTTCGAACCTATGAGTGTTAAAATAACTCAAAACAAATCAAGAAAATTCTTTTCTGTTGTAGAAATATAATGAAAAAAGTGAAAAAGAAATCTCATTCGAATTAATTGTAATAACTGAAAGAACTAATGAGGAAACCAACTCGAATTGATTTTCCTAATTACAAAAAAGAAAAAAAAACTGTTTACGTTCTTCCCTATTCCTTAGTTTTCTCGACAACCAAACAGGAAGTTCTAAGAAAATAAAGTGAAAAAAGAAAGGGAAAAGAGAAAGGAGAACCAGAGCCAACGTATCGACGAGAAACGCACGCTTTCCATTGGACTTAACTAGTTGAGAAATCTGCCGGTGTCCAATCCTGTTAAAAACGAAACTCGAATCCAACCTAAACCCCAATTGAACCACGCGCTTATACGCTCTCATTTTTTTCTCCCCTTCGAATCTAAAAAATAACTCCGATCCGAAAAGGGAAAAAAAAATAATTCAAAATCGACTACAAAGAAAAGCAGTAAAACTCGATCATTTTGTGTTGATGAAGAGAGCGAAAGAAAGAACAGAAAAAAAAAAAAAACAAGGAAAAAAAAAGGGCGCGGCGCGTGGGCAATAGAGGGAGAATTTTATGTCTATTTCTTGTCGTGCAAATGGGAGGCGGCGAAAAACGCGATTATGGGAAGATTTGTTGATTGAAATATTTTGGGATTATAAAAGTTGTTTTTTTGGAGCAAAAACATGTGGAATGAGATGACGTAATCTGTTTGTTGGGCCTTTTTTAGTTTTGGTTTCGGCTTGCCCGAAACGTATTCGCTGCTCTCGCGTTCCCCCTCTTGTTCGTCTTTAAAATCTTGCTTCGAAGGATCTGTTCCGTGGCATTCCATGAAATTAATTAGGAGAAATTAAGAGCATAAGCACTGCAATGAACATTCTATTATGCATCAATACTAAACATCAAAATTCTTAACAGTCAGCTGGCTTTTTTAAGGCTGACAGTTTAGTACATTATGATATCAAATTTAAAAATATTCGACACAAATTTATTCAATTCAACTTGATATATATATATATATAATTTTATATTTATATAAAAAATAATATTTTATTAATTTTAAATAAAATTAATTATGATTATATATTTAATCAAATTCAAATATAAAATGATATTTTTATATCAAATTAAATTTAAATATTCATTATATAATCGGATCAAATTCAAATTAAACAAAAATCTTTTTGACCCAACCTGTTATCATCTCTAGCATAGCTCTATAAATGAACAAGCTCCCATCAGTGGGAGCTGCTTCACGTACTCAACAAAGACGTTTTTACTACAACAGTCAAATGCTTCATCATCCAGCCTTCAAGAGAGTGTAACTAATTTGATTCATATAGGAGACAAAAAACAATAGAATTCCTTCTAAGTTTATTTGTATCATAATTGTACTCAGCAACTCACTTTGGTCGCCTATACAGAATGTCATCCAGAGTTTCTTCGATGCGGTTTCCAATTTTATTTAGATTCTTGGCAACACCCGATGCAACAATGCCTGCGGTCCTTTTAAACCTGTTTATTCAGTAATCAAAATGTGGGGTTCTGGTTTTTTTTTTTTTTTCAATATATGTTAGGAAGAAACATAAAATAATCTGTAATACTTAACGTATCAAGAATTTTCCAAGTTTCAATCTGTGCTTGCCTGCTATAGAACTCATCTCCTGTTGATTGTGGTGGCTATCTAAGAGCAAATACCAGAAACATTTTGTTTGAAACGAACCAAAATTTAATCTTAAGTCAATCTAAAATATGATACAATAATATAATATAAACATGATATAAATATAAGATATGAAAGTGATATAATTTAAAATTTTATAATAATTATATATAAATTTAATAAAATTAAAAAATAAATATTTCATATTTTTATATTATCATGAATTATAATTCGTAATTTTTGTATAAAATAAAATATGAATATATAAATTTATATATTTTACACGATATAAATATACAAATCGTCAAGTTTAACATTGAAATTTCCCTCTCAAGACTATCTATTGGCCCTATTCTTTTCTCTCTCCCCTTAAATTCCACTATTTTCCCTCCTCTTTCTTCGGTTTTATCTCCATTCTTTTTCCTCCCTTGTTCTGCATTTTATATCCTCTCTTCGGAAGATTTTTCCTAATGAATCACCAAACCCGAACAACAAATTGCTCCTAGGAACTTTCTGATCACTGATTTTAACTCCATCATCTCTGCTTCTACTTTTTAATGAAATTGCACTCATGCATCCTGTTTGGTCATGCTTCACCTAAAATTTTCGGACTCGAAGTACTCCGCCAGAATTCAAACTAATGATTAACTCCAGCTTTAGTCTCATCTGCTACGACTATATCATCCGCAAATAGCATGCTCCAAGAGATAGCATCAGAATATATTCTTTGCAAGTTTCATCAATAACTCGTGCAAAGAGGTAAGGACTTGAAGTATATCAATGGTGTAACATTATTCTCAGACTCATGACTGTTCCCTCACATGTCTAAGACAAAAAATTCAAATTGAATGACTTCAAATACCTTTGTTTTTATGGATTTTGGCAGGAACATGGTCAGTAGAAGCAGTTGTTCTGTCCAACAATACCTGAAGCAACAGGTAGAATATTATTTGAAAGAAATATAACAGACATAAAGATAAGAGCTGAAAATAACATATTCCGTATGGAAAATGAAATCGATTTTAAAAATGTTAGATGGTGCTCATGATTCATTCCAGCCTTTACGAAACATGGATTATCTTCGTAGGTGGACCAATGGATGACTGAGTTACCCATCACATATTCAGCAATCTATAAAATCACATGAATGGAATGCAAAAATAACCACATAAGAAATTTAAATTCATAAATAATCATGGAGATTGAGAATTTATTTCCTTCAATTCTAATCATAAAGCCCTTGGAACACTGGTATTCATGTAGCATTATACAAATCCATAGATAATAGAATACAAATTTGTTACGAAAATTCACAATCTTCGAACAATTTGAAAACAAAAGACTCCCTCAACAACTAATTTAACCGACAATCTCCAAAGGTGCATTAGGAGGAGAAAGAAACAACAGAGAAAAGGAAATGACTCGAGACTGACACAGAACGGTAATTCAGCATATTTATCAGACTTGAAATATGTAAGAGTACGGCCTTCCTTGGAAGCTTCCAACTCAGATTCCCCAGTTATCTAGCTAGGTACTATAATAAGCTTCATTTAGTACACTTTTTTTTTTTCCAAATTTTAAGAAATAAATCCAATAGAATCAAAAGGAACAAGAGAAATATAGAAAGTGAGATTGAGAAAGAGACCTTGTTGGGGAGTTGAGGATGCCAATGCAGATGGGATTTCGGGAATTGGATTTAAAAGCGGAAGAGTAATAAAGCAATCCTTCGCATGACTTCCCTTTGCCCTTGGATCCTTGGCTTTGATTGTTAGGGTTGGAATTAGGGTTTTGATTTTGGATTTCGCTTTCTGCATCTTCATTGTTCATCCTCCTACCCATTAGATTGATTACTCGTTCGTTGCGCGTTTAAAGGGAGCTGATTGTCTCCTGACTCTGGCTCTTCCCCTTCATTTTTCATTGTCGACTTGTCTCAAAAATTATTTCACCGTTTGACGTGAAAGTTTAGAAATTTCATTAGCGCCCAATTGAAGGATTTTCACAAATTTTCTTATCAGTAAAAAGAATTATAATTTCAAACCTAAAACTTGAATTTGTTCTTTATAAATTTGTTTTATTCGATTTTAACATCTGCAAAATTGAACCCGCAATTCTGTTTAACAAGAAGCCCGGATAGCACTGGACGTCCAACCCCATAAGCCATAGCCATAGTTCACCAGTAACCATAGGACAAGTTGTGCCACGTTTTGTAATTCTAAGAGTTAAGACGACATTCCATTGGAGAAAGAAAAAAATAGATGTGCTAAACTACAAAACAGTTTTACATGTATAAATCATTCAAAAGATAATATAATGTCAGGAAATTTTCAAAAGGAATTTTACTGTACAGATATAACTAAACTATGCTGCTTTAAATTTGCCAAAATTTAAGTGTGCATATAATCACACGAAGACCCTTTCTTGCAGTGCCCACTTTCATGGAATTTGCAGACTCTCTGCCCTTTTAAGGGCGATCTCGAAGAACCACCTCCACTGCCAAATGATGGCTGCCTACTCCAAGGCTTGACCCCACCATAACCAGAATCACCACCCTGAGAACCCCTATCCCTTTGATTGGTGAACTTCTCTCCGTTGTGATTCTGTTCACTTCCCCACATGCCTGAATTTCCCCGGGGCGCCACATAACCAGGATTTGCACTTCCTGGTGCTGCCTCTTGCCCCGTAGCAACCCATCCAGTACTCGCATTAACTACTGTGGACCCTTGGCCAGATGGTGCCCACCCTTGCATTGCATTCCCAGGAGCAGTCCAACCTGAACTTGCATTCCCTGGAACTTGTCCTAGGCCGGGTGCAGCCCAACTTGGGTTTGGATTAACAGATGCTGGACCCTGACTAGAAGGTACCCAGTTAACATTTGTATTTGCAGGAACAGGTGCTCCCCATCCCATGTTTTGATTCCCTGGCAACGCCCCCCAACCAGTGTTCTGATTTCCTGGTACTTGTCTCAGGGCAGTACCTTGGTTATCTGCGACAGACATACCCCAATGTAGATTGGGTGGAACAGGAAGCTGAACATTTGACTGAACAGAAACAGTAGGCCTCCAAGAATCCGATGCCATCATATTCGGTTGGCCAGGAGTAGGAAAAAACCCAACAGGATTTCCTGCGCTAAAAGGAGCAGACTTTTGACCAGATTGTGATGCGTCATTCCAGTTACCATAAGCAGCAGGTTGAGCAGGTATGGCAAGCGAAGGATTTGGCTCTAGCTTCTGAGCTGAAGCATTTCCACATGCTTGAGTTCCAGTTGCAGGTATAGAGGATGCAGCAATTGCTTCTTGCCTTGGGACTGAGGTGGAACCCCATCCATGACTTTCAACAGAAGGATTATGAGAAGTCATAGAATGAACCAAATTGTAAAGAGATACACCTGCATTTTTCATATCAGTACCTGAATTAATTGAAGCCTGAGCATTGACCTGTGTCCTGTGTGATTCACCTAACACCATCGTATGAGAATGAACTACAGGAGCAGCTGGGCTCCCACTCTCTGAAACAACAGTATGAGGTTGCAGCCCTGAGGTAACTCCTCGCAACGGAGCTACCGAAAGAGAACCCAATAACTGAACAGGAGTAGGTGACCTTTTGCTTTCAAATGCTGGTCCCTTGTTCCCACCAGTGGGATTTTGGTTTGGAGTGGGAGAAGGTAGATTTGTCTCAGAGCTCCATATATCTCGAGAATACTTTGGGATCTCAAGTGAAGATGGAGCAGGTCTAACTGTAGAAGAACTGACTTCATTTTGAGATTTCCAACTTTCTCCGGCAGATTGGCCTATCGAACCCAAGTTACATTGAGGACTCCGAGCTACATGATTCTCGTCAAAACTTGATCTTTCGCCAACTTGACTTTCCATTCCTTGTTTCAAGGTTCCTCCAGGAGAATTCCCATACAAGGTCATTTGAGCCTTTGGAATGCTATTATCCGCTACTGGAGGATCTTTCTGAAACCTTCCAGCCAAGGCATCAGTCAAAAGTATAGAATCATCTTGCTTCTCATTAGTTTTCCAGATTTTTAATTCATCAGGGAAATATCCAGTGTTACTCCACTTCCGCAGCTGCACCATTGAAAATGGTCCCTGAACCTTGCCAGATGGATCCTGGTAATGCCAAATTTTCTCTGTTTCATTAATTTGGACAACAGCTGTTACTCCTGTGGATAGAGGTGTAGGTGAAATTTCTGACACAACTTTCAAAGATGGTTCCTGTATTACAACAGAGTAGTCATTCCTTGTGCCAATTTCTGAACTCAAAGCAGCTTTTGGCTTGTCCCAACTGTTTGGTAGTTGTGCTTCTCTCTCCCGTCCTAGCTTCCATAAACTTTCGTTCCCCATCTCACTAGCTCCAATAGAATCATCACCTTTGCTTGTAAATCCTTTATTAGATAGATTCCAGCCTAAATCCCGATTCATGCTAGAATAGTTTCTACTTCCACTCCAAGAATCACTTGAACTGAAACCTCCCTTCCGGGGAGAAACTGGCTCCCTCCCCCTCCTGCTAAAGCCACTGCCTCTTGGCCTCGTATAGTTATCTGTATGAACCAAAACATTATCAAACTGAATGGCAAATAAGAGTTATAAGAGAGGATATGAAAAAATTTCACAAGAAAAAAGGACCTTGTCTCTTATCATCCTCTCCATCATCTTCAGATTCGTAACTAGGATCCATGTTGGGGTCTACATGTATCTCTGGAATCTCCTCTAATCTACGCTGTCGCTCCTCAGGTGTCTTTAAAATCTGCAATTTCTCTACACATTCTCTAAGCGTGAACACAAGTCAAGGACTACATTGAAATTGTTGGAGACAAACAGTCATTTTCATTAGAAAGAAATATATGGTGCACATAGAAACTGTAGAGGAATTCAGCAAACAACATGAATTCTAACTACACTTACAATCAAAATCAAGTTTTTACAAGTTCAATTCATCACTCAGCCATAGAAAAGGTATCCTACAGCAGTTACATTCATCAATTACTACAATCCGTTCAGGAAGTCTCTTCAATTTTTTACTAGAACAATGCAAAAAATAATTTTTATTTTCAGATTGCTCAAGAGTAAGGCTGTGCAAATTAGTACTTTCTAGAGGCCAAAAAATAATGGGCATAGTTTTCAAATGAAAAGCAAAGTGACAAATCCCACCATAGAGTTCGTAGATGTATTAATTTAGTAACTAAACATTAATCCCAGCACAATCTAAACTAAGTCACAGAACAACAGAGAAAAACAAGCACAGGATAATCATTTATTGAACATGAATGATTGAGATAGATAAGCATCGAGTTACAGCAAAGTTCATCTTTATTATTTACACAAATAAATGGCTCAGACTATAAAAAAAAATTATCTTAGTATATTGAATCTATCACTTATTAAGATTAAGCAAGCTATTGAATCTATCACTTATTAAGATTAAGCAAGCTTGAAGTCCCTAGGGAAATTATGTGCGTGAATTGTTAGATCATTCAACACCAAGTAGCCACATAAACATCCTAAACATTATACATCATAACTATGATGGAAGAGGAAGAGAGGAAACAGAAGGAGTTAGTAAGGTTTCCATTCTTTGGATTGCTTAAAATCAAAGAGGCTAAGGAAGGAAGGGGTATATCACCAACCTTGTTTGATTAAAGAGTGGAACTGGAAAAAAGTGGGTAACTTGTTGTGTTCTTTTAGAATTATATACTTTATAAGTTATATTTAAATGTTATAATAACAAATTTATCCGTATCAAGTAAAATGTTTTTAACAAGGAATCCTTCTCCACCAAACCTCCCAATTTGGAGAGTTCAAAAAAAAATGGTCTCCAGGATTTTGGAGGGATATCTCTCCCTTTTTTCTAAAGGATGTTCTGAACAAGGGTGAGGCAAATGGTCCTCCTCCCTTCGCTCAGTCCAGAAATTACAGTCAAGCCTCATATCAAATCCACAACAAAATGTAAGAAGAATGCCAAGCCATCAAAAAATAATAGACAAGCATCCAATGGCAGTTGAGGAAAATAATAGAACAGAAAATAAGAATTACAAGCAAAGGATATTCCTTTCTACGTCCTTTTTCACTGGCTCGATCCCGAAGATGGCTGAGACGCAATATCTCTGATTCCAACCACTGCATTATGATAACAAATAAACTTAGATTATTCTTTTTACTTAAAAAAAAAGGCTACAGATACTGATATTAAAATATCAATTGTACAACTCAAAATGATCAAATTCAGGATTAAGAAAGATTTGTGATTCATTTTTGCATCTTATCCATATTTTAGAATCTATTTTCGTTTCAGATGCCCTTCGTTTTCATACACTGTATAATCAAGACTTCCCAACAGATAATCCTGTGCATTATGCTTTTCAAGATTGCAGAACATTCTAATTTACCATTCTCCACAAATAAAACTATGTGTGTGCATGTACCTACATATAAACATATTCATATTGTGGAAATCTAATCTTCATTATTATTTGTTTAGTTGACTTTGTCTATTTTAGTTAAGTCTCTTATTAGAATAAGGAGTGATTTGGGTAATTACACCAAATTCATTAAATATTTTCCTATTATGTGCAGAGAGTAAATTACTCCTTTGATTAGTTGTTTTAGTGCATGAAAATCTTGGGTTTTAAGGCTGAGAACATTCAATCTTTAGCCTATATATTTTCATGCAATTCTAGCATTGTGATAAGTAAAAATATAGAAGAATAAAATAGTTTTAATCTGATTCAATTGAATCTTTTGATGATCTTGATCAACTGATTGCTCTAAGGAAAGGTGCGAGATCATGCACTCAGCACCCAATCTGTAATGTGGTTTCTTATGAAGGTTTATCACCCAATTATCGAGCTTTGGTTACCACACTAAACAATATGTAGATTCCCAATATTATTCATGAAGCACTCGTGCAATCAAAATAGAAGATGGCTGTTTTGGAAGAAATCAGGGCCTTAGAAAAGAACAAAACATGAGAGATTTCAAAACTATCCAAAGGGAAAAATCCGGTTGGCTACAAATGGATTTTTACTGTCAAGCACAATGCAAATGGAAGTATTAACAGATTCAAAGCTCGCCTTGTTGCAAAAGGATTTACTCAATCTTATGGTGTTGACTATGAGGAGACATTTGCTCCAATTGCTAAACTTAATTCAATCTGAGTGTTATTATCATTGGCAGCAAATCTAGATTGGCCACTCCACCAACTACATGTCAAAAATGCATTTCTTAATGGTGACCTAGAAGAAGTTTACATGAAAATCCCTCCAAGATTCAAAAACCAGGACAATTCTGGCAAGGTATGTAAATTGCAAAAGTCTTTATATGGTCTCAAACAATCCCCACGTGCATGCTTTGATAGACTAACAAAAGTGGTAAAGAAGTATGGTTTTTCACAATGCCAGATTGATCACACAATGTTTGTCAAACATTCACTTGAAGGAAAAATAGCCATTCTTATTGTCTATGTGGATAACATTATTTTTACTGTAGACTATGTCGAAGAAATTAGCAACCTAAAGAACTTCCTAGCCAAAGAATTTGAAATCAAAGATTTGGGACACCTCAAATATTTTCTTGGCATTGAGGTAGCTTGCTAAAGGAATGGCATCTCTGTTTCACATGGTAAGTATGTCCTAGACTTTCTAAAGGAAACTGGAATGCTTGGATGCAAACCTGCTGACACCCCTATGGACACAATGAATAAGGTAAGAATGGAAGAAGGAAGTCCACCAATAGATAGAGCAAATATCAAAGACTTGTTGGGAAACTCATCTACCTCTCTCATAAAAGACAAGATATCGGTTTTTTGGTTACCATGGTAAGCAAATTCATGAACAACCCAACCAAGGAACACTTGAGAGTTGTGTATCGAATCTTACAGTACCTAAAGAAGAGTCTTAGCAAAGGATCATTTTTTAAGAAGATATCACGCCAAAATGTTGAAATTTACACTGATTGGGCTGGATCCATTACTGACCAAAGATCAACTACTGGTTATTGTACCTATGTGTGGGGAAATTTTGTTACTTGGCGAAGCAAGAAGCAATCTATGGTGACTAGAACTAGCACGGAAGCTAAGTTTAGAGCTATGTCTCATGGCATATGTGAGGGAATTTGGCTTAAAAGGTTGCTAGGGGAGTTGAAGGTCTCTGCAGAAGAATCCATGAAGATATTCTGCGACATCAAAGCTACCATAAGTATAGCAAAGAATCCTATTGATCTTCACTTCATCAAAGAGAAGATAGAGGAAGGAATTGTTAGATTAGTTTATACTCCCACATGCTTCTAAACTGCAAACATACTCGTTAAAGTTCTCTCTCAAAACAACTTCGAGAATCTAAAGTCCAAGCTAGGCATGATTGACGTCTACCACCCAGCTTGAAGGGGAGTGTGGAAATCTAATATGCATTATTACTTGATCAGTTAACTTTGTCTATTTTAGTTGAGTCTCCTATTTTTAGAATAAGAAGTGATTTGAGTAATTACAACAAATCTATTAAATATTTTCCTATTATGTGTAGAGAGTAAATTACTCCTTTGATTAACGGTTTTAATGCATGAAAATCTTGGGTTTTAAGGCTGAGAACATTCAGTCTTTAGCCTATATATTTTCACGCAATTCTAGCATTGTAATAAGGAAAGATATAGAAGAAAAAAATAGTTTTATTCTAGAGATTGCTTCACATATATAAGGATAACCCTGGCCCAAAAGAAAGATATTTACATCTTTGACTCTGACTTCCTGGATTGCCATGGCCTTTTCCTGTATATTTCCCTGCAGCAACCAATTGCTCTTCTAAAAATGACTGAATGAGATTTAAAAGAAAAACAAAGATAACTATTAGATAGTATATAAAATGTGATATACTAGAAGTGAAATTTACCACAGTCAGCCGGTTGATAAGTCCACATTTCATGCTCTGGCGCAGACGCTTGCATTCATCCTAACAGATCAAGTGACTTAAAACATTTTTAACAAGAAATATGATTTAAATATCATAATAAAAACAAAATACTGGCCAACGAGATTCCAAAATATAACAAAAGCTCATAATGCTACTGATATTGGCACTTCTTGATTTCTCCTAGTAAAAGAGAAATAGATCCTTTGTTTTTGCAACAAAAAAAATAAATAAATAAATAAACAAGCCTCTAAGTGTCTAAGTGAGATATTATGAAAAAGTTTTAATACACATGTATTAAAAGGCAAAGCCTCAATATTTGTACTCAAAATTTTCTTTATCAGAACAACATCAAAGATGCAGATGGAAATCAACAAAAGAGAAAATTCACATGCAATTCCAACTTCAGCTAATAATTACCTCAGTGAACTCTTGATTTGATATAATATCAATCGATATGACTTCTGTCTTATTCAAATTTAAAATCTCTAGTAGAAAATCAGTTGTTTTTTTGCCAACTCTATATGATTCAGCAACTTTGCTTGTACCTATAACAGGAAATCATTAATGTGTTAATCCAACTTATGAGATTTTGATAATTGTATGCTGAAATAAAAAACATGTGAAGATAGACAGTTATCCAAGTATTTACCGACAACTTGCACTAGCCTATACAAATCTTGCTTTTGACCAGCACCAGATATTCTTATTCTCACAAAAGAACCCACAACCTTGTCATGGAATGTTTCAGTATCTTCAATCAAATCCTCCACCAAATTTCGTCGCAAATAAATTAGATTGATATTATGTATATCAATGGCAGCATAATCATCTAAATTTGATTGAAGTCCCCTTGCATCACCCTTTTTACGTGTTTTACGTTTCTTATCTTTTCCAGTCTTTGTCAAAGCATCAGAGTTCCAATCAGAATCTAGTTGATTAGCTTCAGCATCAACAACACTCCCTTGAAGATCATCTGTCTGAGAATCCTCCTTTGTGAAAAAAATGTGAGGGTCAAGAAGATTTAACATTTCAATATGCCCCACTCTCGGTTTCCCAAACAGATTCTTAAGCCTTGAGTCACAAATGACATTAGACTTATTGCGACGATCTCGAAGTTTGTGCTTTTGAATGTAATCCAGTATAAGTTGACTTAGTTCCATTCGAGATAAAACAGATTTCTTGCCATTTCTCATGTGCATAACAACTTCCAAGAGCTCTTTTGATGCCCACTCAGCATTTTCATCTGTGGAAGCCCCTTCACCACTAGCTGTCATGGTGCTTGGTAAATCATCCTCCCTTGCACGTGACTTTGATTGACTCCTAGTTTTTCTTCGCTTAGAAACAGTTACTTCCGCATTCCCAGCAGAACTATCTGAGCCAGACCCTCCACCATCATTAAAGCCATAAAGTTCATTAGGTGATTCCTGTTTAGCACCACGATATTCAGATCCTTTCCAGGGATTTTTGGCCTGAGCCAGTTCATCTGAAGTTATTGATAATCTCCTTTTTAAATCAATCCAGTAATCCTTGAATAGATATTCCCAGCTGCTTTTGTCATCAAAATCTACTTGTGCCTGCAAAAGTAACAACAAAATATAATGGAGCATGACAAAAAGGAGAACTTTCCAACAGCAAAAGAAAGAGAAAGTGATTTTTGTGAAAATAAAGCGACTAATATACAGCCCTAAAACCCAAACAAGGAATGATCAACATTCATATGTGAATATAGCTATAAAATACTAAGCTATGACTGTTAAATTTTTATTTACTCAATTAAGCAGAAACATGATATATATTGCTTGATTTCCCTTTTAGCTTGGCCTAGCCTCTCTTAATCTGAAAGATCTTAGCATATGATGTTCTCCTGTCTTGTCCACTTTCACTTTCAAGGAATTTAAGTAACTGAAAGCAGATTGAAGATTAAAACTGAAAACAATGCCAATAGGAAGAACAAGAGGTTTGTATAGAATTTCTTGACATAGCATAACAATTCAAATGCATTGATATTTGTTCTAAAGATTATGAAACATTTAGAGCCCAAAGTTATGCAATGAAGAAACATAGACCGCTAAATAATCCACAATGAAAGGAGGCATAATAGAAGTGAAGACAATAAGACAAAATATATCACATAAATAAAACAAAGTCTAAAGAGACTCAATTAATTGATGGTTCGCAGTGAACAGAAGCCAAAAGAATTGCAACCCCACAAACCACCAAGAGAAAATTAAAAGAAAAAAAATGCTCAAGAATGATATTCCTTATTTTGACATTATGTGAAGGAAGTTGACGCTATGAATTGCCCTGTTACATATTTATAACTGACCACACAATCATAAACCTAATCGCCCAAAAAACCATCAAGAGAAACTAAAACTTCAAACAGATTAGTTATAGCACGGGCAATCAAGAAAAGTGCAGGAATGGTTTCAAATATTTCCCACTGTCAATTAAAATCATGGATGTACGCAGCAAATACAAAAGACAACAGCAGGAGTAATACATACTTAATGTGCATAAAAATAAAAACAACAAAATCAAGCTGTCAATATTTCAACAAAGAACAAATAAAGGAAGATAGAGAATGTAAAGAATAAATACACAAAAAAGGAATGATGTAATAATACTATTCCTACATTTACCTGCTCGTTCCTTTCAATCAACATGACAAGATTCATGCATGACTCACAGAGTCCTTTGTTACCCCTAACACATAGGATTACAGCATCTATGATGCATCCCTTGCATAAGGAAAAGGTACATGTGTAACACATATAATAGGCATTCTTCTTACAGTTGCTGCACAGATGCCAACCTAATTCACAGAAAGAACATTACTCAAATTAGATAGAGATATAAAAGACAATAGATTAGACCTGTTCTGAAGACATAATAATCACAATTGATAAATGATATGTGTGTGTATGTGTATTAAGTAAGATCATGAGCAAGAACACCCAAGAGAAATCAGACAACAGGTCAATAGATATTATGCCTGAAACACTATAACAGAGAGCAACAGCATACATGCAGTGACATAGATACAGGAAAACAAGAAGAAATTCAAGGAAGCATATTTCAGGATTCACCTAAGTGCATGTACACCCTTGCACCTTGAAGGCTTGAACAAGCAGACTTGCATCATAAAGAATTCTAGAACTTAGTGAACTAGTCTATTACTTTCTTCAGACATTGAAATCGATAAATATAGGGCAGCAGTTTGACAAACAAGCTGCAATAAAGGCATAACCTTGAACTTACATATTTTATAGACCCTTTCATTATTAGATGATCCCAAACTTTATAAACATCAGCACATTACATGTTTCTCACTCAGTAGAATATGCCTCAAAACTTATTTTACCCAGTGTATCCTGAAATTAGTACAACCGGTTCTTTCAACTGTCTTGGCTATTGCTCATTCAAGCCAAAAGATATATTCTCCCTTCTACTCTTTTTCTTTCATTCTTTTATAAAACAGCTATATTCCTAAGTTCTCATTGCATTTTCTCATACTATTGAGCATTTAAAAGTTCAGCTTGCTCAAGGAAAAGGGCACTGCTTAGAACTACAAAACAAAAGAAAAGAAAATTTTGTAAGAAAAAGACTTTAATCCAAAAGGTTTGCCCAGTGCTTCCAAAACAGTAGCCTCTAGTCCCACAATCAATTGACACAAGTTGCTAAAATTGTAAGTTCTTATTCCTTTCAATGCATGTTCATCAAATAATAACAGTTTAAACAAACAAAAGACATGTATTTCTTGTGGGCTTAAGTAAAGTGCATTTAGGGTAGATCTACATTGCCTTTTGTAAAGATAGCTACATGTCATTCTCAGTCAATTTTACACAAGAAAAAAAAAATTGACCCAGAATCCAATTCAGCATTCATTACATTCCATGAGATATTTGAACAGTACTTAGCAGAAAGACATTCACAACTTTAAAAATGTGAAATATATCATTAGTTGGCCCCAAATGCACATTTAGCATGCAAAAGCACATCTGCCACTTTTATATGAAACTCAATCATTTTGCAGATGCCACAACTGATGCTATTATTTCCTGCCCATTTTTAAAGTCAAAGTACAGCAATTGCCAGTTCTGCACTTATGTCTACACAAAAAGGCTGGTAACCAAAATGCTGCTCTCATAATCTTGACAAGTTGTATTACAAATATAAACACTGAGAGTCACTTGAAAACTCAGTCCTCAAGACCTTGATTAAAATTTTCGTAAGCCAAGAGCATCCAATGACTAACAGATGATCACATTCCCGGATAATAATTACAACTTGCAGTTTCACTAGAAATCCAAGCATTGCCAGTAGCCATTGCCTTGACTTGGAATGATAGATGAACCCTAATTACTGCAGAAAGATACTATGCTTCAAATGTTCTTTTCAGAAAAATTAAACCAATTTGAGAAGCATGCAAAACTTAAATGGTGTGCTGAACAAAACTGGATATTGAACTTCCTATGCCTTCACAAAAGCCCACTCCAGCAAAACTCACTGTCATGTAAATCAAGCCTTTTGCAAAGAAAAGAAATAACAAATTCAATAACACTGTAATTAAATAAGAAAAGAACAAGGGATGTCACAGTTCAAAGATTTAGGTGCTCATGTTCCCAAATCTGTATCAGCCAACTACCAAACATCAGTCTTTTTCCCCCTAAATATTTCAAAAACTAAACATAAGCACACGGTATGCTCATAATACAAGATAAAATGGCACTACCATAAAAGGCAACGTATACCACTTCATATTCCACAAGGCCTCAAAATAGAACTCAGATATTAAAAGTTAAAGAGCGCACACAGAAATACAACAACTTACCACAATTCCATTTACCCTTAGCTCGAAAGAATGCCTCATCTCGACCAACACATCCAGTGTGGTAAGCTTTAGGGCAACCCCTAAGAAGGAACAAAAACAGAAAGCAAAATATTAGGACAGTGGATATACAGATCAACCTGTCATGAGAAAGGCTTTGGTAGCCTCACCTGCGGTCACAAAGCACAAGATCACCACCGTCAAAGCAAATGAAACAGACATCCTCTTCCACCTTCTTCCTTGATGGAGCTCTTGCCAGAACCTTAGAATTCAAATTCTTTCCCTGCTTGCGCTTGCCACCACTGCCTTTACCAGCATCCTCTCCCTCCTCTGTATCCTCTGTCTCCTCTGCGGCCTCTTTTTCTGCTTCTTCCATCATGTCAAGCATCTCAGTGTCCTTTGCTGCTTCCATTTCCTCTGCCGCATTCCCCATCTCTGTCTCTGTACCATCTGCTTTCTCAACATCCTCTACTAAATTCCCTGTCTCTGTATATTCTGCCTTCTCTGGTTCCTCTAACATCACTGTGTCCTTCGCCACCTCAGCAATATCCATACCTTCCCTCACTGCCTTAGTACCATCCAAATTTTCAGTTTGCTCGGACACATTAGCCACCAATTTTTCTTCCAAATTTTCATTTTTCTCAACTATGTCAATCACCCGTGTTTCTTCTAGAATTCCTTTATGGTCTGCAAAATTAACCTCCATTTTATCCTCCGGTAATTCCCTTTTCAAGACCATGTCAGTAAACCCTGTTTCTTCCACAATCCGAGTTCGTTCTGCAATATCAACCACCAGTTTCTCCTCCAGCAGTTCACTTTTCCCAGCCGTGTGAACCACCACTGTTTCTTCCAGAATCCCAGTTTGCTCCACCTCATTATCCACATGTTTCTCCTCCAACCTTTCCCTTTTTACAGCCACGTCAGCCAACTCCCTTTCCTCCATAATTACAGTTTTCTCAATCACATCAGCCACGCATGTTTCCTTGACAACCACAGTTTGCTCTGATACATCGCCCACCTCTGCTGCCTCCAAAATCCCTTCCTCCGCTACGTCAGCCACCTCTTTCTCCACAGGCATCTCTATTAACACCTTTTGCTCCTCCGAATTTCCCGCTTCCTCAGACAACTCAGCAACCGGTTGCTCCGCCACAGCCACTTCCATCCCTTCCGCTATTCCTCTTTCAACTGACACGTCAGCCTTCTCCATTGCCTCCATCACCGCATCCACTACCGCACCCTCCACCACGTCATCTTTCTCTTCCACTGCCACGAGGCTCTCCTCTCTGCCAGCCACACCCTCACCTTCCTTCTTACCACCAACCGCAGATGAAGCTTTTATTTCATCATCAGCATCCAACATCTCGTGCTTCTCATCTCCAGCGATCAAATCCCTGCCGCCCTCTTCATCATCAACTGCCGGCTCTAGAACCACTTCCACATCAACGACTCCCTTGCCGTCACCTTCTTTCTCCTTTTCATTAACAGGAGACAGAGCCAATGATGCAGGTGGTCCCGACTCGTCCAACTCGGAAATGGACTCGAGCTCGCATTGTTGTGGCTCAATGATTTCATGCTGTAACTTGGAGGTCGTAGATGTAGTCACCGGGTTATCTTCTAATCGAAGAGAAGGCTCTACGTTGGGGACGTGGCGAGGCTCTTCTTCCTCGGTATCCATAGAAGAAAAAAAGATTTGGAAAATTAAAAATCGAGGGAAACCCTAGAGATTGAAAGGCCTAGGGTTTTGAGTTCGGAGTAAAATTTTTGGGCCTCTTTTTTTAATTTTACAATATTTTTATTTTGCTAGAGAGAGGAAAACACTGCCACGGCTCCTAGAGAGAGATTTTTTTTTTTTTTGGATGTTGGTGATGGCCTGAATGACGATTATGTCCTAAAGTTCGATAATGTAATAACGAATCTACCCCCTTGTCTCTGGGCTTTGTTGGACTCCTCTCACCTCCTCAACCAGCCCTGCCAGAGCCAGAGGTGGTAATCCAGTGATTACGGCTCCTACCTTGATGATGTTATGATTCTTGATTCGATTTTGGGCCTTTCCACATCCGTTATTGTTGGGAGGGCTTTTATAACTGTTTCTTGCTCGGATTATCCAAATATCCTTTCAGGAGTTCCTTCTAAACACGGCGCTTTTCTCAATTCTCAGTAGTTATTTGAAAATTCCCCATTATTAATCGGACGAGTATCAATCTCAGGGGAACAAAGAAAAAACAAAAAAGCCCATCAAGCTATTGAAAATTGATATTCTCAAGCATTACCAGCCAGCACTGGCAATCTATGAACCAAGAGGCCGATGGGCTGTATACACGTCCTCAGCAAGGCCTGTGAAAGATGGGGAAGCATTCTGCTCTTAAAACTTCAAACAATTAGCAGAGGATGTAATACATCAAGGGAAAATCAGATTTGAGGATCTAAGCAGGTTTAGGCATTAACAATAAATGCTTTTATTCCAAACAAATGCACCATGATACCCAACAATGTCGTTCTAAAGAAAATAATGTATGCTTCACATCAACTTCGGCAAATCACTACACTTACATCTTGTTCCAAACCTTCAATCACAAGTAAAGCATATATAAATTGCCACCGACATAAGCTGCATTGTCAGTACCTCCGAGGATAGCGGTCCAAATACCTCCCAGAAGGGCACTCATATGCCATGTGTCCCCTTCCACCACAGTTGTGGCAGATCATCAAAGGTCCAATGCAATCCCGGCTCATATGACCGAGTTGATGGCAATTTCGGCACACAATGTCTCGATGGTCTCGGTAACCACCGCCACGACCACCAACACCTCGATCTCCTATCATGTTGGCTTTTGGGCAATGCCTAGCCACATGTCCCGCTATATTGCACAAGTTGCAGATTGGATCATTTGCACAATCACGAGCCAAGTGACCTGGCCTCCTACAGTTGTTGCATGCCTTGTCATTTGTACAGTCAGCTGCAATATGACCAGGCTTATAGCAGTTATTGCATAACCTCACATCTCCAGGTGGCATTGAGGGTGCTGTGCAGTCTCTGGCCCGATGCCCAGCCTTCCCACAGGTGTGGCAGATTCCCTCATTTGGACAGTTGCTAGCTGTGTGGCCAGGTTCACGACAATTCCAACATAGAGACTTGGTTGTGCATTCTGAAGCAATGTGCCTGTTCAAATAGTTCCAGCACGGTTATAACAGCTCCACAACAATTGCAAGAGTCTAAAAATAAAAGCAGCATAGCAGGGCTTTACAGCTCAATCACAAAGACACTACAAGATTACTCAAAAAACGAGAGACGACAAAGAATTAACATATAGCATAACAGCTCCACAACAATTGTAAGACTCTAAAAATAAAAGCAGCATAGCAGGGCTTTACAGCTCAATCACAAAGACACTAAAGATTACTTAAAAAAAGAGAGACGACAAAGAATTAACATATAGCAGTGGAACTTCCCCAATTAGACCTAGTTTATTTGCTTCAAAAACTCATTCCAAGAAAGGAAAGAAAATAAACAAAAAAAGTTGGAAAAGTTTTACTCCAAACGATAAAGCATTAAAAAAACAGGAATTTGAAATATGCAACACGCCATTGAAGGATAAAAACTAGCTCAAGAACTACTATGGACAGAAAATTACATATAAACATAACGGTAGCCTATAGCTCTTTTAGACACCTTGAAAATGAAAATATAAAATAAAAGGTTAACTAGACAAGAGAACAACAAACTTGACTTAACTCAAAAGATCTATCAGATCCAGATTTAACTACAGGGAGGGAAGAAGGCTCCTTACCCAGGGAGATTACAATTGTGACAAATTGCCACATTGGGGCACTCTCTAGCATAGTGACCTGGTCGTTTGCAGTTCTTGCATAGACTGTTTTGGCTGGAAAGAAAAGAGATATGGAGTTAATATTTCAAAGATCGTTAGATCACAATTTTCAAGGAAATTCTGGTAGACAAAAAAGGAAAAGAAAGGCGGGCAAAATATTAAGGGAAAATTTATGAGATATATCCATCCAGAAGCCAGTTTATTACTGAAATTTCTGGCATATCCCAGCAGAAAGCAATAAAACAAAGTAAGGGGTTAACTTTTTTACTCACTAAATCTCTTGAGGAAATGAGTCCGCAAAAACCTAACCTCAAACCAAACAGTGCTGAAAAATTACTAACATAAAAGATCATAAAATTACATGATAACAGCCACATAAATATAATAAATAACGCCCTACTTCTATGCGGTAATTCAGTAGTAAACACTCGAGTGCAAAGAAATATAGAACCAGGGAGTTCAAAATATCTTCTTAATCATCGTCTTGCTGAAGCATGAAACAACAATCATGTTATAGTTTCTTTTTCAATGTGAAACTGGGGGACAAATTATCAGACCCAAAATCTTTTCATCCAAACCATGACTTAAAACACTTGAGAAACATGGGATTTTTTATTGGTGAAACCAAGTAAATTCCCAGAAAAAATACCTCAGATTTAAAAATTACATGCAAACTCATATACTTTTCTCTGTGGAATTATCACATTCAATATTCTTTAAAGATTTACATCACAATTATAAGGAGAAGAGAAAACTTTCTAAAAACCATAAATCACACATTTTTCCTCAGGCTACTTAACTAGATGAGGAAAGAAAATTAACCAAACGATTGAGAATTAGAAAACCTGAAACCCCGACGAGACTCCCTCCTGTAGGGTGCATTACGGTAAGAAAACCGATTAGATCGGATCTTACGATCCATGGGGCTCCGGCTCCTGCTCCTGCTTCGGCTCCTGCTGTCTGAACTCATGTTCAAACTTATGTTTATCAACACCTACCACCACCGATCAGCAAAAACACCACCTCAACCAACAAACTAGCTGCTGCTGCTGCCTCCTCCCTGTCCACAGTACAACCACACACCCATGATCATCCATGATCCATATCAAACCTCTCACAATTCCCTCCAAAACATAAACACCAAATCCTAAGAGTAAAACACATAAGAGTCAACAAGCAAGCAATCCATCTTATATCAAAATCACTCAATTCAGCACCAAGCACTTGATGATCCCACACCTCAACCAAATTCCTCATCAAAAGTTCAACCATCTCTTGCAAAAAGTCATCACCCAGTTCACATCAGGCCCAGAAACTCATGAACAGACACATAAACTCCAATTTACAACCATCCGCCCATGCTACACAGACAAAGTTCATTGGACAGTATCCAAGAGATGATTAAATGAGAAACAATGGGAGCAATATTGTTAACTATGAGAAAAGGCCAATGGCTGGTTGAAGAGGAGCTTCTCCATCGATAACGAAAACTACTATGGTTCAAAAGAGAAAATAATGAGACTAAAGAGATTGACAAAAGATAGAAAACAGCAATTGGAAACATGCTCCTAAATTCCCTCTGAGACTTTCAACTTTAATTGTAACAATATATAACTTAGAAGTGATACAACAATTAAGAATTTGAAGAGAGGGGATTATTGGAAGCCTCTAGGTGGTTGGAAAGCAAAAGAAAGTCAGTAATATTAGTTTCCATAGGAAGATATTCTGTACGAGAATCAGGTTACAAACTATTAAATTCCATTTCCAGGTTTAAGAACCGCCATTGAACTGCCTCCTCATTTACCCTCATCCTCTTGAAATTTTTTGTCACCTGGACTCCTTTTTCTTCCCGAAAGGACTCCAAAACCAGCAACAAATGCCCTATTCTCAATATGTAACATGAGCAGCTTAAACCTTTTTTTCTTTTGTTGTTTAGAAAAGCTGGAAGCAGTGATGATTGACACAATCTTGATATCAACCATTTTAAATAAGTCAGTGCCTTAGTAACATCCTACATTCTGGAAGACAAATCACCGGCCTCCCATTTCCCATCATTCATACCCATTAGCAAACATCGTGATTCAGGCCAATGTGCAGTCAATCATCATATTCTCAACCAAGCCAAAAAATTCAAATATACTTCAAACCTTACAAAAAGAAAAGCCAACTGACTCCTTAAAAATCTGAGAACCCATCCAAAAGAAACAACAAATGCAAGTCCATTGACAAATTCATGGAAACAACAACTTTTTTAAAGCTTAACCTTTTCCTATAGCAATAAGAGTGACGCAGAAGGCCTAGCATTTCCTTTACTCTCTCTTTAATAGGTTTGCTCTCCAGTTTTTCTTTTTCTTTTCCTCTTTACTTTCATGTGGTTCAAATTTGAATTAAGATAAAATAATAGTAACCCATTATTGTAGAAACCAAAACTCAAACCTCTAAAAGCTTTTAATACGAAACTTAACATATAACTTAAAGATATGTTTGGTGCACAAGATTATAATAAGATAGGATAAGATGATATTATAAATAAGATTAGATTAAAAAATGTTATCCTATCTTGTTTTTTATGCGTGCAAGGGTTATTATAGGATAATTTTATTTATTGGTCAAAATTATCCTTCCTCAAAGTTTATAGAATTTAAATTATTGGTGTAATTTTTAAGGATATAAAAAGAAATGTAAGTTCAATCTCATGGATTAAAAATAATTCTCTCCATTTTGGGAGGATTGAATTATCTTATACCAAGAGTATAATTAATCCTATTCCTTTTTTAGATAATAACAAAACATGGTATAAGATGATATCATCCTATCCTATCCATCATCTTATGCACCAAACATGACCTAAATTTCACATTTCACGGCAAACGAACAACGAAAACCCTAATTATCCGATTCAAAACCAAATTCAATCGAAACTAACAAGAAAAGGCAAGAAATACCCTAACCCTAACGGAAGGAACGAAAGCGAAATCGAAGGAAGATGAAAGGTACGAACCTGACGCTTTCTGCATATGTTATGGCCGAGAAGGAAGAGATATAAAAATTTGAAAGGAAAACTGTACGGGCCACCCCCAAAATTTGTTTATAGTGTGAGAGTGAGATTTGAAGGAGGAAAAGCGGCCGCTGATAATCTTGCTTTTTGAAGCAAAGGTTAAAGCCAGGATCCCGTTACAGTAAAATTAGTCGAGCGCTATTGGGTCCGATAACTTCAGTCATCTTCGTGCTAGTGGGCCTGGGCCGATGAGTTGAACAGATGCCCGAGCTTGATTCGGAGGGCGGGCCTTTTTTGCCCATAAGAATTTTTATTATTTATACGATAATAAATAATTATTTTATAAACTAATATTATCTACAATACTGTCCAAGTTTTTTAATTTAAAAATGATGTTAGGATAATCTCACATGTCTTTTTATTTATCATATGAATTTAATAATTTTTTAAAAATATATTTTAATGGATTATATAACAATTTTCTAACTCTATTAGTAAAATATTAAATACTTTTTTTATTTTCTCAAAAAATATTATATCCATAATGAATATTTTAAATTTCATAAAGGATTTTTTTATTTGAAATTATTGATAATTAAATTTTAATTATTAAAATAAAAAATTTAATATTCTACCAACAGATTATATAATTATAAGTAATAAATTTTATATAATCGATACACTTATTTATTTAGTTATTTTAATTCATTAAATAATTTAAGTGTAGCTTAATGGATTGCATGATATTTTTGAAAGCTCACTTATAGAGTTCAAAATTTCGTTATTGGTGCATAAAATATTTTTTTATAAATTTATAACCTAATAAAATAATGGTTAATAAAATATAGTGAAGCTTAATTGCTCTACAAAATGATGATTAATGTGTATAGATAGATTATTTAATTTCGATCATATGCATATATAAAACAATTATTTCATGTAAATTTAAAACATACAATCAATTAATAATTATATGATTTATTAATAAAATAATAAATTATTAATTTTAATAATAAAAGTTTAATTTTTAATAATTTCAAATACAAAAAATGAACAATATTTTATAATGATGTCATTAATTTAATGCCAATATTTGATATATTATTTTTATGTTGTACATAAAATCATGGTAATGTAATACAAACTTTTATATATGCTTGTTTATTAAATCATATGCTAATAATATATTAATTATGGGAATGTATTTTTTTCAACAAAGAGAAAGCAAATAACTAATATTTAATTTAAATATACCTATAATTTTAAACATGAGATAAAAATAATATTTTAAAAAATAAAAAAATATGATTTAAAATTTTTAATAAAAATTATAAATAAATTTAATAATAATTAAAAATTTATTTTATATTTGATATATCGATTAAGATATTTTTTATTTTATATGTATTTAATATAAGATAACACAATATAAATATATATATATATACAAATTTAAAGATGTTGATGAATAATTGGAAATGGTAAGATAATGTTAAGAATCAAGGACACAATTTAATTGGTGGTGGTTCAATTGATACGGTATTAAATACGATGTTTAAAGAAATAAGTTTAAAAATATCCCCATTCGAAATAAAAATTTTAAAGTTTCATCCCAGTGAAAAAATATCTCAACCCACTACACTCTACACTCTGTGGTTCATCCGACTTATACTGTGTCGTTTTTTCCTTTTGCCTTAAGACTTGAGAGCTCGTTAGCCATAGCACGTTGCTTCGTTGAAACGCCACGTCCATTCCCTCTCAATTCAAGTCTACTAGTCTTTCAGTTCTTCTCTAGTCCGGTACAAAAAAACGTAGTCTCACTTTTCCCTTTTCTGGGAATTAGGGTTTTCAAATTTGCTAAATAATTTGAAATTGGTATGTATATATATTGTCTTCACTTTCTCTCTCTATAAAGTTTAAAGTATTGATCTTGGAATTTTCATGTATGGCTTTAAGAATTTAGGGTTTATAACTTTATATTAATATTATGGCTTTTTAATCTTTTTTTTTCTTTTGCCATTTATACCCCATGAATAACTGCTATACTACGAGATCTTGATTTATACTCCATTTTTATGAACCAAAAAGAGATTGGTAATTCATATGGAAAAATCGGTTAAGTTTATTATTTGATATATACAGTGTTTGAAGTTCTTGTTGTTTTAATTTAAGGTGAAGTGGGTGAAGTGACGTTTCTTGATTACTATGATTTCTGCTCTTAAATATTGTTATTTGAATCATGCCTTTTGTTCAAGAACAAAAGGAAAAAAAAAAAAAAAAGAAAGAAATCTTTTTGGTTGAACTTGTGTTATTCTGATAAGGGCATTATTATCATTCTAAATCCTTTTGGATACTATTTGGGAAGGATTGTTTAGAGAGGATTGCTGCCATGTTCTGTAATCTGCTAGTTTGAGTTGTTGAAATCAAACTTCAGATTGCAATATTGAAAAAGTGTGTCTTCCTTAGTTGAAGTGGATCTTTTTTGTATTCTTAAATTGTTTATCTAGAATATGGTTAGATGAAAACTTATAGCGGGGAATCGGCTTTGTGGTTTTCAATTTTTCATAGTAATATGTGTACTACAGGATGAGTATATGTCTATCTAATGCCAGTTTTTATTTTGGAAGTATCTTAACCAAATAATAGTATGTGTAAAATTCAACATTTGCTGAGTGAAAGGATCATAGTTCTACATTATGTTTCTGAAGGAAGTATCTTCGGTTTGATGAAATTCTACAATGTATAACCTTGTCTTTTCTTCTTGTTATTGACATTGTTTATTGTAAAATTTGTAGCAATGGATGTAGAAAATGAAACAAGGGAAGGCTCTGTTTCCTCTGTTATTTTTGAATCTTTGGAATCTACCCAGGAGGGAGATAAGCTTTCAGATGAGGATTTGGCTTGGGTCAATTCTTGTCTGGTTACAGATACTGAAATTTTGGAACGTAATTGGACTTCTTTCAAAGATGTTTTGCTGGAGATCATTGGTGACCAACCTGAGTCGCTTGACTCTTCTGCAACTGGAAGTGATGGTTTTGCTGGAGGAACTGAAATCAAGATAGTTCCTTCCATTGAGGAGGCAAAGACAGCCTATTACTCAGGAAGAACTGATGACAATCTCGTTGTCATTCCAATTAATGGAGACACTGAAACAAACACCAATAATGTTCCAATCAAATGGACTCATAATCTGTTGCAATTTTATAAGGAAGATTCCTCTGAAACATTTCTGGGAGATCCTTTCCTGTCTACCTACAATGAGGATGAGAGAAAGGGTGCAGCTATTGATTTAGGACTTCAATTGAGTTTATCTACAGAGGAGACGAATGGATCAACTGTAGATATCTTCAGGGTCTGGGATTTGGACATTCCAGTTGAGGAGGATGATCTTATTAAACAGTTGAACAAGGCCATTGCAGAGACTTCCTTTCAATCAATGCCATCAGCTTTTGATGATTCAACTGCATGGAAAGACTTGAAAGATGAGCCACTAGATGATTTAGTTGCTGGCATTGCAGATCTGTCTTTAAATACTAAAAGTGTTAGTTAATTTGTCTGACCATATTAGAATCTAGGCATATACATGTGTAGATTGCCAAGATCCGTGTTGCTGGGTTCTTATGACATCAACAATGAGGTAATAGGCTTTTCTTTGTTTCATCAGTTTAAGATGACCCTTCGTTTTGCAAAGGATTTGAAATTAGACCAACTGTTCACATAGAATTGCAAATGTTGAATCCGTATATTGTTTCATTTGGTTCATGCTCTTATCTTTAAGAAATAACATTCAATAGGTTTAAAGTTCGAGTCTCAATATATGCAATCCCTTCCTTTCTTTTCAAGTAGCCTCATTTGTACTAACAAAAACCCTAACATTGGTTTAACTCTAAACATGTCCTATGTACTACAAGACAGCTTTGTGGATTTTAATTTAGCTTGGCATTGTCAAATTCCAAGACCAAATTCTGCATTAAGAATTGGCAGGCAGAGCATTAGCTTAGAATTTGTTGGACATTATGTACATTTGAAGTTTGAATCCCTCTTCATATCTAAATGCCTCCCTCGTCACATCTAAATGCCCTATTACTATATATTGAGATTGAGTTGAACTCCCAAAGCATCATTTTCCTTCGTTTGGCAAGATCAAGCTCTTGCTACAGCCATGGGGTCTGCAAAAATGATGCTTAACATTTCACCATAGCAAAAACAATAGTTCAAGTGATTTTTAACGACAGATCATATGCTTTTTCCATCAGCCGCATGTATGCCGAATGATGATGCGGGTTCTCAATATTCCACATGGCATTGAAAAGTCTCAATGGACCAGATGGCTCCGACATGGGGTTAACTCACAATTTCATCAAAACCATGTACTTAAAACATGACCATTAATCCCAACAAAATCACAACCTCATGTTTACTTTCCGTAGGAATCTCTCAAACACCTCAAATTTGGACGTACTACATAGTGAATGTGATGCATTTGTCTGGACCGTTATTACATTAGAAGAAGAAGAAAAAAAGAGATTTTGGTTTTTTAAAAGCCCAATTTTCAAATAATTTTTACAAGGTGAGTATAAAACCATCCATATCAACCACGTATGCAATCTGCCATAGTGTACAAAAATATCATCCACATGGCACGACGACATTGATCGACGCATGACAGCCTCAAATGTGACATCTTATGACAAAAGACCACAACACAACTATAAAATCCAGTGAGTGAGACTTGTATGTGTGGTAAAGAAGGCACGGAGAGACGAGATAAGATTATAGTGAAAAAAGAAGCCGTTATAGCCTGCTTCAAGAGCTTCAGCTGTTAGCCCCTCTCACTCAAAGCCAAAGAAAAGAGCAAAAAAAAAATGGCATCAGCTTTGGCAACTCCCCTCAAGTCTTCGCCTATCCTTGACAAGTCTGAGTGGGTCAAGGGCCAAAGCCTCCGCCAGCCTTCAGTTTCTTTTGTTAGGTGCCATCCCACATCCCCATCGGCCTTCACTGTCCGTGCTAGCTCCTATGCTGATGAGCTTGTTAAGACCGCGGTATGTAGTAAATTCTAGTCCACTCTTCTTACAAAAATCTCCTGATTTTAGATATAGAAGTTGAATTTTTATGTATTACCTTAGCCTAGTTAAAAGAGAAATTGCATGAAAACTCGAAATTTAACTAAATTGATTCATGCATTTAAATTTAAATTTTAACATGTGATCCCCACTTCGGCCTTCTTTGAGATAATTCAGATTACTAATAAAAGGAATACAAGTCATTGCCCGTATTAAAGATGTTTTTTTTTTTTTTGGATGGTAGAAAACCATTGCATCCCCAGGTCGTGGTATTTTGGCCATGGATGAATCAAATGCTACATGTGGGAAGCGACTTGCCTCAATTGGTCTAGAGAACACTGAGGCCAACCGCCAAGCATACCGTACCCTCCTCGTGTCAGCCCCTGGCCTTGGCGAGTACATTTCTGGAGCTATCCTTTTCGAGGAGACTCTCTACCAATCTACCATCGACGGAAAAAAGATGGTTGATGTTCTTGTTGAGCAAAAAATTGTCCCTGGTATCAAAGTTGACAAGGTAAAGCCAATAATAATTTACCATATATCATCCACACTTAAACATATTTTTAAGCAGGCAACAAAATCTGTTTGATCAGAATTGTACTAACACATGTGATTCAATGATGCTAAAAACAGGGTTTGGTGCCCCTCCCTGGTTCCAACAACGAGTCCTGGTGTCAAGGTCTTGATGGTCTTTCCTCTCGCGCGGCTGCCTACTACCAGCAGGGTGCTCGTTTCGCCAAATGGTACAATATTGTTTGATAAATTCTCACTCATATTATGTAGTGCTGAAGTAACATTCTTATATAACATTAGCTCTTTTTGATTAACCAGGCGTACTGTTGTGAGCATTCCCAATGGTCCATCTGCCTTGGCAGTTAAAGAAGCAGCTTGGGGTCTTGCTCGTTATGCCGCCATTTCTCAAGTAAGTCAAAAGAGCAGCAATTATTATGTATATGCTGCTTGTTATTTTCTCTACGACATAGATATTTCTGGATTGTTACTGAGAAATTTATGTTGCTTTGTATTGCAGGACAGTGGATTGGTGCCAATCGTGGAGCCAGAAATCTTGCTTGACGGTGAGCATGGAATTGACAGGACTTTCGAAGTAGCCCAGAAAGTTTGGGCTGAGGTTTTCTTCTACCTTGCTGAGAACAATGTCATGTTTGAGGGAATCCTCCTCAAGCCCAGCATGGTCACTCCTGGTGCTGAATGCAAGGATAAGGCCACCCCTCAGCAAGTTGCTGACTACACCCTCAAGCTCCTCCACAGGAGAATCCCCCCAGCTGTCCCTGGTGTCATGGTACATTTCTATACAAACAGTTCGGTGATCTCAGAATTTGCTTGTGTAAATTAGTAAATCCAATACTGGTTATTGAATATTTCTGTTGAACAGTTCTTGTCCGGTGGGCAATCTGAGGTTGAAGCAACCCTCAACTTGAACGCAATGAATCAATCTCCAAACCCATGGCACATCTCATTCTCTTATGCCAGAGCTCTCCAGAACACTTGCTTGAAGACATGGGGAGGCAGACCCGAGAACGTTAAGGCCGCTCAGGATACACTTCTTGTCCGTGCCAAGGCCAACTCACTAGCTCAGCTTGGCAAATACACTGGTGAGGGAGAATCAGAGGAGGCCAAGAAAGGAATGTTTGTCAAGGGCTACGTGTACTAAGCCGCTGCAAAACAAAACTCCAGATGAGATGATGGAGATATCGGATTTCGTTTCTCTTTCAATGTGTTAATCCTCTATAGCCCTGGAGACTATTTTTGTTCTTGATAACAATGCATTTCTAGCCACTTAAACAAACTCCTTGCTGATGAGATTAGTTAGTTTCTTCTTGCATGCATTATCACATACTAAAATGCTTGAATCTGCATTTTGTGCTCCAAAATTTGGGTTAACTGTGATGAATTTCTGAATCATTATTTCTCAATCCTGAATGATACTGTTCAAAAACTGTTTGGTATAGTTTTCAATACATGTTTGCAGGGCAGGCCCTGTCAACTAAGGCATAAATCATGCCATAGGTGAGTTGTTTGAACCGCCCACTTCTATCGTCTTCAAAAATTAGTACTGAGTCCAAGCTAACGAGTTGTTGTGAAGTAAGAAATAAAGAAGGAATTGCCCATTCTCCATCTCTACACGTTAGAATTGAACTGAAGATATTGAACTATAACTTTGCTTCTCATAATATTCCTCTTATCTTTTTGGATTCCAACATATCTGAAAAATTTTGGGATTTTATTGGATACTCTCATTGCATGTTATTATGTCTAAAATCAATTGAATTGGTAAGCAAAACTCAAGTCACCATTTTCAGCTGGTATCGTTTGTCACAAAAAAAAAAAAAAATTTTTCCCACAAATGCTAAGAGTTAAAGTAATCATGAGTCAAATCTTGACAATTTCATAAAAAAAATGCCATTTAGAATGATGACCACAAAAATGATTTAGGTCTCTATTTAATCCTCCTATTATGGTCTGTCACTGCTTGCTCTGTTTTTCATCCCCAAAATCCTAACCCCCAAAAAAACATAATTCACGACGAGCAAGTGGGGATTTTACCTTTCAAAGTGAACATATTTGCCTTAGATATTCTTATATTGTTCACTTGAAATTTGATGTCAACTTGTGTTTCTGATCACCAGCAACAATGTTCAAGAAATTTAAATTGCAACGACATTCGAACAAATATAAATGTCACAACAATTCTCATTTTTGTGTAAGGAATGGAATAGAAAGAGCCTAACCCATGGGAAAGGAAGACATATCTGACAACAACAACAAGCCCTTAACTTTATTTGATAAGAAAACTAATTTCAAAGAATCGTTCATCCATGGAGTAGAAAGAATGATGGTCATGTAATTTAATAAGAAAATCTCAGACATGATAGCAACAAAACTTGAGATGTAAAACTGTACTACTGCATGGAAGGTTAAATTACAAGGATAAAAACCAGAAACATAGAATCTCATCCATGTCTTCTAATATGCATATCTAATAGCAGCAACAATTTCATTCTAACTTCATCAAAATTGACAACAGTGAAGGAAATTTCTTTCTCAGTTCATAGTTCACATTGGTTGACAATTCCTAAGTTCATTCAGAACAAATCTAATTCGGAAGCAACAAACAAAAAAATCCACCTAAAATGACAAGAAAATGTAACCACAAGCAATGTCTTGTTTTAGAGACACATTCTTTGTCTTTCTTATAGTCAATTAAAGATCACCAAAAGCACAGAATGAGCTCTCAGACAATAATAACCGGTGCTTTGAGCAAAAGGCCTTGTGATTTGAGAGGAAGCCAACCTGCTTGGGCAATCCTATTAATTATTTGCACATTTTATTAATTTTAGATCATATGCATTCAAATATGTAACGAGCATATATAATAAAAGTATCAAGAAATGCCCATAAAACAGAAAAATCTGGGACCAGAATGTTAGCAATGCTTTAAACAAGTGAATAATCTAAGTCGGGATAGTAGTTATACCTAGCTCATTTTTCAGGCTTTCCTTTCAAGGACCCAACAGGGACCACACTTGCAGAGTCATGATTATTGCCACTTGAAACATCCATGGCTTGCACCTTAAACATGAAGCAATCACCACATTAATTAGGTTTATAAAAAGCATGTAAGTACAACGCTTAAAAATACAAGGTTAAGAACAAACGCAGAGGTCGCAAAGCGTTCGCATTCTAGTTTACCTATTTGCTTTCCTTTTACTCCTCCTTTCTTCGCTTCGACGGCATTCTCTCACAGAGCGAAAAAAACTTGACCAGAATTTGAATTCAACGATTCAGCAAATGGTTATTCATTCAAATCGAACCAGAGAGAAAGAAAGTTAGCAATGCAGTGATTTAAAGGAGAGAAGGATCAAATTAAAAGGAAAGGATTTTGTTAAAAAAAGAAGCTAAATCAGAGAAGCTGGACTCGTTTTGTTCCCATGTCCCAGAGAAACCGCGAGAAAGAAATTGCCAAGAACACAATACAACGATGACTCGCTTGAGTATGTAAAGCCCGTACTCGCTACTTGTTTCGTACTTTTTTTTTTTTGGTTAATCTGCAATTTGACCCTAAATTATATAAAAATTTTCATTATTTAAAATATTGTTTCTATCAAACATTTTATACCGTTGATTACCTATGTTACTCAAAATGATAATGTGAAAGATTATGATATTATATAAATATTAAATTAAGAAAAATATATAATTTAAAGGTTAAATTATATTTTTCCCTTATTTATCAATTTTTTTACTTTTTAAAATGTAAGATTACCGGTTAACGTTTTCGTTAGTTTAAATAAATAATAAATAATTTTTGCCAGTAAAAATAAGATATTAGTAATAAATATTTAGATAGCCTCCAAAATTGCGGGGAACGTGTCAGCATTTAAAAGCGAGTATGATTTGTTTAATTATGCGGGCAGTAAATCTGTGAGTGCTGAGCTGTCACGCCATAATCTGTTCCATGTTTTCGGCTGTTGGCCTTAAGAATAACAACTACGTACGCTCTTATTGAGGGTGTGGAAGACACGACGATCGCCGATTGCATGGCCCAGAGCCTCCTGGTAAGTGGGTTACAATCGCATGACTGGACGGTGAGCTTTCCAACGAAGTTAGCGGTATTCTATGTTTAAGCTTTGGTGTCTAGCCATTAGAATTACCATCCAAATGGATCCTTTTCTCGTTTGGTTTTTGGATTGTCTTTTTTTTTTTTTTTTTCCTCATTGGAATTTTGGATTGTATGGTTGAAAAAAATAATTTCCTTTTTACAAGAGAAATTTTAATTTCACCTGCTGTAAATTATAGTAAAACTAAACAATATAAAAATAATCTCACATTAAATTTAAATTTAAATTTAATTAATTTATATAATTATAAATAAAAATATTATTTAATAATTTTAAATTTTATTATCTGTAATTTTTTTCTTATATTACAATCTCTTTTATATTAAAAACAGTCTCATATTATAGCAAAGAGTGAAGAAAAAGGGTGGAGGGGTTGTGTGATGAAACGAAAAGAGCCAAAACGTGAAGAAAAATTTTTAAAAGGGTTTGTGGTGCACACCTTTGGCCACTAGATTCGAAGGTAGGAACAATGAAAGATCCCTCAAAACAATTTTCACCCGCCAATCTAATATCCTGCATTGTCCCACACTACATAGTTTAAGGCCACTTCTTTTCGCCAGTTATGTTGCTTTTTACTTCACACAACTTAGGCTCCCTTTGCATTACGTTGCACCCTTAATGGTGGTGCTTATGTAACCAATAGTTGTGCTAACTAAGGTTTTGTTATTTACTATATTAATAACAATTTGAATAAATTTTATATAATAAATAAATTTAAAATAACTTAATTTTTTTTATTATATATAATTTTTAATCTAATGTTATTAACAGTTTTTTATCTCATTATAATTTACTTTATTATCGTTGTTACGTTTACATATAAATATATATTTTATTATTAATTTTAATTTTATCTATACAATAACTAATTTTACTTCTACCATTATTTTTAATTTTATCAAAGTTAATAAAATTATCTTGAATAAAACTTTCAAAAATATATATAACAATCCTAAGACCTTGATCATATTAACTTAATTTTAAAAAACAGTTTAAATCATTATATACATTCAGGCGATGATGATATCTAATATATATATATATATATATATATTACAACATACAATATTACATGATCAAAATTATTTATGTGGATTGTTGTTGGATAATATCTTTTAACGACACATATGATAATATATTATATTATATTATTTATCAAATAAAAAATTTTAATAAATTATTTAAATTGAATATTTTGGATAATTATTTAAATTGAAATCAAAATCTATCTAATATTTAAATTTTTACACAAGATTTTAATTCAAATATATTAAATCATAATTTATTTATTTTTATTTAATACCAGTTCAAAATGTATATACTTAATAAAATTTTATTTTTTGTCAAATAATTTTATTTAATAAATTATTTAAATTCAAATCAAAATCTATCAAATATTGACAATTATTTAATAGATTATTTAAATTTAATATTTTTATATAAGTTAATAAATTATTGACTAGAAAGCATGTATTTTTAAAGTAATAAAAGTTTTACATCTTTATATTAAAATATGAGACATTTGAATATTGATAAAAAAATTAGATAAAAATATGTTTTTACTTTGAAAACAAATATATTGTTTTATTGATGTTCTAATTCAAATATTTTTATATTATATATTTAGTTAATTTATTTGTTTCTCTTTAGTTCATAACTTTTTTTAATTTTGCTTAGATTAATTATAATTAATTTTTTGTATTATATTTTTTTTGTTTTATTTATTTCTTCAATGTTTTTATTATCTGTTAATTTATTAACATATTTGCTTTTATTATTGTATATATTTAATCTTGATAAATTACTATGTAAATTTATATTTTTTATTATTGAATTTTTTTGTCTACAACGGATGATATGAAAATAATAATGATCACTATTATATCTAACTCACAAAAAAATACTATCATATGTTAAAAATGATTAAAAATAACAAATATTTCAAAAAAAATGTTTTTAAGCATAACATAAAAAATTATTGTTTCCCTTTTATCTAAAAAATAACTTTATTTTGTTGACATATATAAAAATAATTGTTAGCCCAATATATTTGTGTAATAATTACTTGAAGTATGTAAAAAAAAAAACTAATAAAAAGCAAATGATTATAATAAAATTAATAATTGTGATTTGTTGTTCAATCAAATATATATATATAAATACACACACCACCCAATCAATATTATGATAAAAATAATTATTAATCTTAACCATTTAAATATTAATTTTTGAATTTTTATCAAACAAGAAAAAAGCGGTAGCAAAATTTTTAGTATTTGACAAACAAATTGAAGAAAATATCTTTTAATGAAAAAAAAATTTATAATTCTTGAAAATTTATAAAAATTTAAACTTCTTTTAGATGAACAATATCATTTATAATATATTATATATAAATTATCATTTAAATGTAACTTAATATTTATAAATATATAATTATATATTAGATAAATAATTAAAAAATAAATTTAAAATTATGAAAAATTTAATAAAAATTCCGGTATATTGTATGGGTTAAAAAAGTTAATATTGATATATAATAATAAATGAGTTGATAATTTAAAACACAAAATGATAATACAACATAAAAATAATATGAACATATATATAAATATGACATTGTTTAAAATTTTAATAATAATTATATATGAATTTGATAAAATTTAAAAATATATTTCATATTTTTATATCGATACGAATTACGATATATAATTTTTGTATAAAACATAATATTAATGCATAAATTATTAATATTTTTTATAATATAAATACATGAATTATCAAATTTAAATACGTCAAATAAATAAATTTTGATTTAATTTTTATGAAAAATATTTAAAAAATACAAACTTGAATACATCAAATGAGAATAAATACAAAAGAGATTACATTCGGATAAAATCTTGAAATACCTCCAGTCGTATTATATATATATATATATATAAATATATATATATATATATATATATATAGAGAGAGAGAGAGAGAGAGAGAGATTGGGTAAGTTGCCGTTTTTCGGTCGAACAGTTTACTTTTCACGAGGATTAGTCCATGACTCCATGAGGGGAAATCGCCGACTATTTTACATGCAACTGGATCAGCCAATTGACCCACTCCATTTTCTATTGGAACTCCATGAAAAATTTGGGCTGCATTTCTTTATGCTTCATGATCTTCCCTTTTTTATTTTTAAGCAATCCACAAAAACAAGTTGAAGCTATAGATCGTCGATGGGGGCTAGTTTTGAATAATTTCTTTATTTCAATAAAAAAAATAATTTCTTTATCAAGATATATATGATTTTGAGATAAGAAAATTCATAAATTTTTTTTGTTTCAAATATTTAAATTTATTTTATTGATTATTAATAATAAATAATTCAAATATCCTTTGACCTTGCATTCCATGTTTCTTTCTTTTTTTTTTTTTTTAATTCTTTGGGCGACGAATCTCATAATAATTGATTTAAACTTCGAAAAATTTAATATTTTAATGTATTTGTGAACAAATTTTTTATTAAAAAATTAAAAAATATAATTATATTCAACCATCAAGGTTGGGCGATATGTTTTATAAGAGATGACATAAATGAAATGAGACATATTAGCTACTCTTTAAAAATAAATCATCAACAATTATGTAATTTTTTGATAAAATACTAAAATTTTAATTTTATTAATTAAAAATTTATTCATTAAAATTTTTTGAGAGTTAAAATCACAAATAACCATAATCATGCTTAATTAATTAAATCTTGTTTCATAAGTAATTAAATATTGAAATTTAAACCGTTAGATAAATATTGTGCGCGTGCAACGAAAAATAAGACCCATCTGCTTCACTAAAAAAAAATATATCTTTAAAAAGTCAAGATTTAATTTAATTAATTTATATAATTATTTGTAAAAAATAACATCCAATAAATTCATAATTTAAATCTTCAATACTTATAATATCATTTCATATTCTTAATTTTATGATAATTTTTGTAAACAAAAAAAATTTCTTAAAAAATTTAATAAAAAATTGTGGTCAATATCAAGTAGTAGCACCACATGAAATATTTCATGAAAAACATATTTCACTGTTTTATGATAATGTATTTTAAATTACATAATTAATGTACCCTAATGGCTTTCATAAATTTCATTTTTCATCCTTAAATAATATAAAATGTTTTAAATTAACAAGTTACAAGTTTTAATCAATTTTGGCTATTTGATAATGATCAATTGATCACTTGTCAAAGGGTTTATCATGTGAAAACATGTTTTTTTAACCAAACATAACTTGCAAGGTTAAGTGAGAGTAAAAGTGATATACAAATGTGTGGAAAAATGTTTTAATAATTATAATAATCTTAATATTTCTCTTCCATTTATATATTGGTTATTTTGTTTGATAATTTAGCATTAAAAATCTAAGTTTATGATTATTTTTTACAAAATTTAAATTGACTATTAATTATGTTATTAATATATTTATTTTAAAATATGTTTATTTATTATATTTTAAATTTTCATTTCAATATTTTTGTTAACAAATTTTATCCAATTTATAAATAAAAATTATAATTTTATTAAAAATTTTCATTAAGTGGATTTGTTTGATAATCAAAAAAGAGTTTTTTTTTTATAGTATAATAAAAAAGAATTAAAGTTTACATTGAATTGCTTTATCTTTAAAGTTTTAATTTTACAATAAAATTAAAATCAACAAAGTTTAATATGATATATTTTTGAAAATGGGATAAACTTTACATGTGAATGAAAATTTTATTTAATATGCACTTTATTAATGTAAGTTATTTGTACAATGTGCAATTCTATGTTCAACATATAATTATTATTAAAAAATTAAAAAAATACAATCCATGTTTAATATATAATTATAATTAAAATTTAAAACAAATAAAAGACATATATTCATTTGCAACCCACATGAAATCAAAAACTAATATTTTGAAAGCAATCATTATTTGTTTTATCTGTTTAATTATATTATTTATTTTCATTTTAATTTATAATTATTCACTAATAAATAGATAAAATTGTATTATTCCTCACCAAGGTCAACATAGGAGTATGGGGATCTTTATTATTATGAAAGAAAATCTAAGGAAGTAGCCAAACTTGGATGCATGTTGAAGGAATGTCTTTAGGCACTAATCTTTTATTTTGTTATTTGCAATTAGTGACCTAACATATTTCTACCCACTCCCTAACAAAATTTATTGAAAGTTAAGAAACAACTCAACAAATTTTTTTAATATTTTTTTTACAAACCTAAATCCCAATTTGTCCTCCTTAATTACTAAATAAAAGGTTGAGGTCTCATTCTATAATTAACAAATTTTTATTTTTAAAAAATTAAAAAATTTAAAAAAATTAATATTTTACAAAAAATCGTACAAAAATTAATGACAATTTTTTTTTTTGCAACCACTTTCTTAAACATAGTTGTGGACCTATTACTTTTATAAAATAATGGTTTGTCCTTACATTTGTTGGTTTCATAACTAGTCCCCCAACTCATAAATGCAAAAAATTTAAAAATTTTACATTAATTATATTATAATACTGATTTTATTTTAAAAATTTGTGTATGAATGCTTAAAATTCATTTACATATATACATACACTGTTTTTAATCGTTGAAATGTTTCATTAAATATATATTCTTAAAATTGTTTATTTTGCTGTTTTATTAGCAGTATTTAATAAACGGATCAAAACAGCCCCAAAAAAATTGGAATTTCTCGAAAAAAAAAAAGAAAAAGGAACGGTGCTATGGGAAGCTACCTGACAAGTACATAAAGACCACGTGGCGGGAAGCAGAGTGACGCCAATCTCCCTTCTGCACGTGCCTTTCCTTTTGAAATCCACGACAAAAAGCAAGGGCAAAATCGTAATCGAGTTAACCAAGGAGCCATGATCCAAACCCCACCGCTGGTCCACAACGCGCTGAGAAACTTCAAAAGACGTTGACGCCGCAAAAGATTTGCGGGACCGCTTAATACCGCTAAAAAACGCTCCTTCCCCGTCCCTGCGATTTTTCATGTAGTTGCCGGTTTTAACTGTTCCATCAAGCACCGTACATCTTCGGTTCTTTCATTTTTTAAAAAGATTACATGTTGTTCCCATTTTAACCCTTTGTTTACATTCAAATTCTCATTTTTATCCTTGGTTTCAACTTTATTCGACGCGCAAAGAAATAGCACTTCTATTTTTGCTCTTCCAAGTCACGTCTCTTCTATTCCTCTCCGACGAAGTTCGTAGCAACTTTCACTGCATTAAAATTCATTTTTTAAAAATCAAATTATAAGAGAAATTTGAATTTGAATTGAATTCAGTTTTTTTTTTGTTTGATATCAGAAATTAACGGTTAGAAATATTGCTACTATTCAGCATTAAATGTTCTATTTTATGGCCTTTTTTCGATTCAAACTCTGTTGTTTTTAAACTGTTTTTAGACTTTATTCGGTTTGGTTTTTGCAGAGCTCGAGTTTCGAGGTGGAAGAGTACGGTTAACGGATTCAGATCAGAGCAGAATGGAGGGAAAACGACAGTGTTTTGGTACTAAAGTTGATACTCTCTGTTCCTTTAACTGAACTGCCATTCTTCTTTCGAGGTAAAAAAAGAAAGCAGAAATGAGAAAATGAATAAGAATTTATTATTTATGAGTAAAAGTTAAAGAGCAGAAATGAGAAAATGAATAAGAATTTTTTTATTTATTTATGAGTAAAAGTTAAAGATTTTCGTTGCTTGGCATTTAAGCATAATTGGTAATCACTAGGGAAAATTTTCTGCTCTGTCAGAATTAAAAATCAATATTTTTTTTTTGTTTTTAAAATGAATTTTTGGGAGGTTGAAGATTAGACAAGGAGCGTTTGATCTTAACTACCAGTTTCATTGAATTTGTTTTTGTTTTCATGTTTTAAATGTTTTTTAGTTGATGTTTAACCTTAAAAATAAATTAAACATCAAATCATTGTCAGGTTGGTTGGATAAAGGCTTATGATTAGCTCGTTGTTGCTGATATAACCCGTAATTAGCCTTTATACTCATGGATCATTTTCTTTAGTTAGTTGGATTGATAATCATGATTAGCTTCTTGTTGCAGATAGGCTATGGTTGTGAAAGGTTGGGCCTAAGCCTAATACATCTTTGGCAACCGCAACAACCGTGTTTTAACTTATACACTGTCTTGCATTTTTGGCAAAGCAAGAGTGAGTGTGTATTTGACTTGTTGAGTATGATTTTTTCCTCTTTTTGAGAAATTCATGGGTCTTTTTTTGATTTAACGTGAGTAACGACAAAGGAGGAGAGTGAAAAATGGGGGCAATTGGTGGGGAAGAGTTAAAGAAGTTGGAGAAGGAGCAGAAGGTGCAAATGGCAGGTGCTCGTGAGGAGAGAATTCTAGTTGTGGTTAGGTTGAGGCCTTTGAGTGACAAGGAAATTGTAGCAAATGAAGTTGCCGATTGGGAGTGCATCAATGACAGTACTATCCTATATCGGAACACCCTCCGGGAAGGGTCCACGTACCCTTCTACCTATACATTCGGTAAGCAAATTCCCGCTGTTTTCATGTTGGTTCTCGTCTAAAGAATTTTGTTGTGTTAAAGTAGGGATAACCAACTCTTAGTTTCTAACGAATTTGCTGAAGTTGGCATTTTTTTACTATGATATAGTTAAATGGAGACTAAATTTATCCTTTATAATGCCTGGCTAATTGAACCTTGGCCATCTTAATGATCAAGATCTTGATGCCTTTTTGTATAACGTACGTTGTTGGCTTAAGTTTTGGAAGCATCGAACTTGAAAATAGTTATTTCCATTATGTGCTTGGGATTTGGAAGCAGTTTTGATCAATAGAGTTTCATTATAAGAGTTTTATATTGCTGTTTATTTTTTATTCCTTGTTATTTTGGGGACAGATAGGGTATTTCGGGGTGACTGCTCTACAAAGCAAGTGTACGAGGAAGGAGCCAGGGAGATTGCTCTTTCAGTTGTTAGTGGTATTAATTGTAAGTTGGGGCATTGGCATCTTGGTGTTTGATTTCTGTTGATAAACTACTTGGTGAGAAAAAAAGTTTTCTCTAACAATTTTTTGTTCCTTCTATTCTCCAGCTAGCATTTTTGCATATGGACAAACTAGCAGTGGGAAGACATACACAATGACTGGAATAACTGAGTATACTGTTGCAGATATATTTGACTACATAAACAGAGTAATGAAAGTTTTAACTCATTTTAGTTCCTTCATGTTTGTTGCTTTTCCCATGCCTAACACTTAAAAGTGTTTTTCACATAATACTGATGTCATCATTGCAGCATGAAGAGAGAGCATTTGTTTTGAAGTTCTGTGCAATTGAGATATACAATGAAGCTATCAGAGACCTCCTGAGCTCAGATAACACTCAGCTTAGGCTACGTGATGATCCTGAGGTGAATACCCGCATCCTTATTAGTTTCATTTTATCAAGTATATGGTTGCACTAACAAGTTCTTCTCATCAGAGAGGAACCATTGTGGAAAAAGTTACAGAGGAACTGCTGAGGGACTGGAACCATTTGAAAGAACTCCTTGCAATTTGTGAAGGTAAAGCATTTAAAGGAGTTCTCTGTTTACCGGATGATGTTAAAAACTTGCACTTGTTATTAAATTTTTAATGCATTGCATTGTTGCAGCTCAAAGAAGGATAGGAGAAACCTCCTTGAATGAGAGAAGCTCCAGATCTCATCAAATTATAAGATTGGTATGCTCCTCTGCCTTTCTCCTTGTGTTGCTTGAACATTTAATTGCTAATAGCTTATGCGTAGTAGTGACCAGTTTTCCCTTCCCTTTTAGCTTAGCATGATGTGAGTTCTAACTTCTGTAGACAATTGAAAGCTCTGCTCGTGAGTTCCTAGGAAAAGAAAATTCAACAACCCTTGCAGCAAGTGTGGTATGGCTCATGGAATTTACTTTCACATTTGCGGTTCACTAAATAAGTAGTTCTCAAATGACAAAAATGGTAAGCCATGCTAAGATGGTATTTGAATGCAGAGTTTTGTTGATTTGGCTGGAAGTGAACGAGCATCTCAGGCGTTATCCACTGGGGCAAGACTGAAAGAGGGTTGCCATATAAATCGTAGTTTACTGACTCTGTCAACTGTTGTTCGAAAGCTAAGGTTGATTGGATTATCATATTCAGAATGCTCTTTTTTTTTTTTTGTTTCAATCATCTGCAAGAGATTATTTAATAATTCTAAATTCTTTGGGCATAGTTGTAGATTGTTGGAGTAGTTATTTTGTTACTTTGAGGTTGATTGAATTCCTCTTTCCTTTTTGATTGTCACTCTTTCAATTTTAAAATCAAACAGAGAATTTGGGGCATAGTTTTATGATAGTTCTCTTATTTAGACTCAGAGTTGAATCTTTCTCAATGGCACTAATATTTGAATCACTCTTTATTATTGCATTTTTGAGTATTAGTTCCTTGAATCCAGTTGTTTAGTTTGTGTTATTTTCAGTAATAACTACCAAAACATTCTGGTCAAATACAGAATATTGATGATTTTCAAAAAAAGGCAATGTCTTGAGAAAATATTGTCACCTACTAATTGCCCAACTCATCATTGTGGTTCTATGGTGGATGCAGTAAAAGTAGACAAGGACATATCAATTACAGAGATTCAAAGCTGACACGCATACTGCAGCCTTGTTTGGGTGGCAATGCCAGGACTGCCATCATCTGTACCTTGAGCCCTGCGCGAAGTCATGTTGAACAAACCAGGAACACTCTTCTGTTTGCTTGTTGTGCAAAAGAAGTTACTACAAAGGCGCAGGTCAATGTGGTCATGTCTGATAAGACCTTAGTTAAACATTTACAAAGAGAGGTGGCCAGGCTAGAAAGTGAACTTAGGAGTCCTGTTCCTCCTTCCTCAAACAGTGACTATGCAGCTTTACTAAGAAAGAAAGATCTTCAGATTCAAAAGGTTATGCTCTGCTTTTGAAACTCATTTTCAAATATAGTTGGACATTCTACCATGTTTACCTGTAAAAAAATGAATTGGTGTTACATATCACATATTTATTGCTGAAATGCTTCACACTGTGTGATTCTTAAGTTCCGTTACACTTGGAGAGTTGGAGTCATATGCATTGCGCTCAATAGTGACTGGAGGGGGTGTTGGGGTTTGACTTTTTGAAAGCATTTCTTAGTGACTATTTAGGTGAAATTAAGCTAAAGTTTTTGTTGTTCTAATAACCTGTACGTAGTCATGTCTTGAGAGTATGCATTTTATTTCTTGGTGTTTATAGGTTTTCACACTTCACTTGCTCGATATTTTAAGGAAAGTCATACAGGTTCCAAATGTTCTTTCAGACCTCACATAAATCATCCCCTTTTGGAAATTTGGGGAAAGTGTCGAGGGATCCTCTTTAGAAGCGGAATTAATTCTTATTTTTTCCAAAATAAATGGATTAACAGATTTGCAACATAGGCAACTACGCCTCCTCATCTTGTCTAGCATGATTTGGTTAAACATAAACCTGGTGGTGAATCATGCATTCTGGTGTTCAAATTATAATGCTTGGATAATAGAAAATTGGATGCAGGATGGGTGAAGCTGGACTATAGCATACAAAGAGATACTTTTGCTTGTAGGAAATTAGGCCGCAAGCAAAACTGTTTTGTCTTCTGATTGAAAAGCCTATTACCTGTGCGGTATCACATCTGGGGTGTTGACATGTAAAATATGGAAGGAAAATCTTCGGCATTTTCATGTTACATGTTGCCTAACATTGATTACATGGCTTTGCACTATGCAGATGGTGAAGGAGATTAGAGAGTTGACTAAGCAACGTGATCTTGCTCAATCTCGGGTTGAGAATTTGATAAGGATGATTGGAAATGATCAAGATTCAGGACAAATGGTATATGTTATTGCTTTATTCTATATCTTTACATGTTATGCCGTTCGCTGAATGTAGTGCCTAGTTGCTATATTATTCATTAGTTTTTTTGGAAGTATATTGTTCATTAAATTTTAATTGCTTAATCACTAGTTAATGGTTCCTTTTTTTGTCGCTAACCCTTCTTTCCCTTTCTCTGATCAGGCAAGGATCAATTACCATCCCAATCAACAAGCTGGGGATGCTTGGGAAGATGACTATTCAGCATCAGAGTCATCATTTTTGGGTGATTCTAATCGATTGGATGTGCATGTTCGAAACTTGAATTCGATCCATCGTTATGACACAGAAAGTGGGAGTAATCTTGAGGAGCCCTATCATGAGCCTCTGAACAATCATGAAGATCATTCCATGTCTGATTCTGGGCAAAGTCTGGATAAGACTCCAGGTGAAACTGCTTATGACCCTGAGGAATACTGCAAAGAGGTTCAATGTATTGAGGCAGAAGAATCAGGGAGGGATAATAATTCTGAATCTCGTGCCTTACCAAATGATGAAAGTGAAGGAATGTTGGCATTGACACTGTATGGAGATGGAGATGTGGCTGGCCAGGAAACAATGTCTACCCCAGTGAATGGAGATAGAGAAGCAAATCATATTCAAAATGATTTTGTGTATGATGCTTTGGAGCAGAGAGTCCATAATGTGCAGAAGACAATTGATTCTCCTGTTAGTTCTTACCCTGATAAATCATCCCCAGGTGATCAGGTAGCAGATTTGCCAAGTTCTAGAAGCATAAAGTTGACTAGGAGCTGGAGTTGTAGAGCAGATGTCATGGGTGGTACATCTCCTTATACTGACAGAGAACATATTGAAAGCACCCCGACTAATGGGTTGGAGAAAAACTTCCCTGGAAGACCAGAAGGTTACCAAAAGAAGTTTCCTTCATTAAATTATGGTACCAATAATGGAGTGCTCTCCAGGAATAATTCTCAGTCTTCTCTTGGGAGTGCTTCCATCAAGACTTCTGCAGATGACGATATTACTAGCATTCATACTTTTGTTGCTGGACTGAAGAAGCAAGTTGCTAATGGTCAGGTGAGAATATGCCTATCATTTTCCCTTCCGTGTCTGGGGAAACTTTAATTGTGCACTAGGGCTGTTGGGCAAGTGTCATTTGATTTCTTTGAAATTTTTTGGTACATTCATCATAGGTTCAGGGCACGGGGCTAGCAGCAGATGACTCCGGAAAGAGTATGAAAGATGTAGGATTGGATCCAATGCATGAAGCATCAGGCACTCTTCTGGATTGGCCCCTGGAATTTGAGAGGCAGCAGAGAGCAATAGTTGAACTTTGGCAAACTTGCAATGTTTCCTTGGTTCACAGAACCTATTTCTTCCTGCTCTTTAAAGGTGATCCAACTGATTCCATTTACATGGAGGTAGAGCTTAGGAGACTTACCTTCCTCAAGGAAACATTTTCTCAAGGAAATCAAGCTGTAGAAGATGGTCGCATTCTCACACTGGCTTCAAGGTTCTCTCTCTCTCTCTTCTCTCTCTCTCTCTCTCTCTTGCAAGCACTGATAGTCGAATGGACTTTGAACAATGATATATTCAAACACAGAGTTCATATCAAATTCCTTGTTTGAACACAGGACATATATCTCAGTTTGAAATCTCTTCCAATACCGCAGAATTTTCTTCTATGAAAACTCCATGAGGTTTTCATACTTTCAGTATCTAGTGTTGGATACTGAATGTTAAGTATGCTTTAGTGCTTGTCTTGGAATTTGGACTTGGGACAATTCGTAAATGTTTGACATTTCTTCATGGTGACGTAGATGTTGTTTTATTTAATTTCTACGTAAATAACCTTTCTTTATCTGTTACTTTCTCGACACAGTGTGAGAGCTCTTCGCCGCGAGAGACAAACCTTGAGCAAGCTGTTGCGTAAAAGATTTACAGAACAAGAGAGACTGAAACTGTATCAGAAATGGGGCCATCGAGTTGAACTCGAAGCAAAGAAGGCTCCAGCTGGTCAATCAGATATGGAGCAATAACAAGGACATGAATCACGTAACCGAGAGTGCTGCCATTGTTGCAAAGCTGATTAGGTTCGTGGAGCAGGGAAAGGCCCTCAAGGAAATGTTCGGCCTCAGCTTTACTCCTCCACGCCCAAGGCGTAGATCCAATGGTTGGAAAAACAGCATGGCATCCCTTTTGTGAGCCTGTTTATGACCATTACCATTTAATAATTAATGAATACGAGGATCTGCTGGTGCATTTTATTGATAACATCTCCTGCTTGTATTCCCTAACCTTTCTTTGCGTTAATTTTCATTATTTTTGAGTAATTGAATCCGAATATAATTCATTTGATTTATATTATTATATTTAAAATATAATATCTATGTTTAATGGTTGCCATCTTCAATCTTCTTCCTATCCTCATTTTAAACCTAAACATAAAAATTTACTATTTTAATTTGTAAAAAGAAAAATCAATTTGATATATATTTATTCTTTTTATGAACTGATGTAAAATTTTTCATAAAAAAATATTTTAAAATATAAACTAAAAGCCTTTTTATATTTAAAGATGAAATATATTTTTAGTATCTTTAAAATAATTATTTAACTATTAATTCTTTTAATTCAATCATATTCAATTTTAAGTAAGTGATTTTTTTAGTTATTCAACTGTTAATTTTTTTGATTTAATCATTAAAATTTGAGTAAATAATTTTTTTATTCATTTAATTGTTACTCTCTAATGATATGTTAACATAACAATATTACATGTCAAGTAGTATTGTCACTTCACCTGATATAACATTGATGATGGGTTTTTTTAAATTAAAATTTTTTTTTCTAACATAGCAATATCATTTGATATTTGACAATTGACATGATATTATCACATTAATAAATTTTTAGAAACTTATAATTAAGTGATAAAAAATTATTTACTTAAACTATAATGATCAAATAAAAAAATTAAATGACCATTTTAAAAAAACTATGAGGGTCTAATTATGTGTTTTACTCTGCATTGAAAGACGAAGAACGCTGTCGTTTTACACCAAAACTATGCATCATTGGAAAAACAGTTTTTCATATCCCATTAATTCAAACCAAAACTTTCTTATAAAACCACCAATGATTTCAATTGGATTAGATGTTGAGTGTTTATTTTAGTAATTTTTGTGTGGAAGGAATTTGTAAATGCATTTTCGGATTCATATGTTTTTTAAACTTTCTTTTGAAACAATTGAGAGGAAAATAGCTTGAAATTTTGAATATGAGATGAATTCTTGTCGAAAACCAATTAACTATTAGTTAGGAATTCAATTTCTTCTCGGATGATAATTTGATGATGACCAGTGAACTTTCATTGGCTGTGAGAAACAAGTAGGTGAAGAGAAATGCTACCAAACTATTACTATGTCACTTTGCCTCTCATTGCTTAGTTGCTTCTCTTTTCCACTCACATTCTTGTGTTTGGTCACTACTCACGAATAGTTGGTTATTACTGATTAGGTCTTGCTGTTGTTATGACATGTGACTGAGAATATAGGTAGGTTGCTTATGAGGTGCTTATTTTCCAGTTTTAAACCTGTTATGTTGTTTGAAGCTAACATATTATGTCAATTTTCGGTTCCTTGGGCTCCTGGTGGTTCCAAGTTTACTCGAAACCCTGTCCCGCCGTCTGGGGTAATTGTTACGATTCATTTCTTTCTAACCCGTGTGCTATTTCTTTTGTTTCACATGCTTCCCTTACTTCTCCACAATTCTTGTTGCACGTATGCATTCCTATTTTTTGAAGTATTCATGTGTCTAATCCTTTGTTAGTGTAAGTGACCCTTTCTTAGCATTTAGAGTAGACATGCATTCTAGAGAATAGTAAGGTTCTTTCTTCCCTCTGCTTCTTAAAACTATTTCTTCCTTTAATTAGTTTTTATCTTTATCTTGATCAAGTGTCAATTCTTGATCTATATTGCTGAAGAAAGGTGGGGTGAAGGGAAGGGGGGAAGTCATCTTGTCCCATAATGGGCTTGCAACCTCCCAATATATGTGGTGTCGTGTTGTTTTATGTTGTTGCTTACCTAGCTGACCTAAATCTTTCGGGTCCGTTAGCTACTGTTACTAAATTTCCGATTAGCTTTATTGCTTTTTATACAGTTCTGGTTTTTCATTCTTGATGCAGATTGAGATTGTCTACGATTATGGTAGAGAAGACAATGACTAAAACATGATCTCTTTCATCCCAAGAAATAAAGGTTAGCCATATACTTTGTTATTTAGATTTACATCATTCATCGTATAGTTTCCTTAAATAAAGTGTGGTTTGTCTCAAATAACTGGCCACTTGTTGTTAGCACTTTCTTAAAAGTTTAGTTTTAAAAATCTTTTGGATTCATATTGAAAATACATTTTTATGTTAAGAGAGGAGCTTCTCCATCCGTACAGCAGGTTGTAAGTGTGAAAAAAATGTGGACTAACTTTGAAAAACAGTTTCATGGCTAGAGAGATTTGTGTGTTGAAAGTAGTAAAAACTATTTTCGATTTGAATTCGAAAGGGTTTATGTGATATGTTTTATTCTAGCTCATTTAGGAAGTGATTAATGTGTTCTTCTGTCACCAAATCAAATCTATGGGATGATATTTTACATGTTAGTCTCTTCCCAAATTTGAATGATGTTTTCAATAAGGTTCCAATCCTCCCCCAAAGCATCCTCTCTGATGAGAAAATCCCATGCAGATAGTGATTAAAAGAGTGTCTTTCCCCTGCCCTCCCCATTTGGCTATTTCTTTAATGTTGAACTTTTTTTTTTCGGTTGATGCAGGTCTGGAGGATCCTTGACCATAATGAGCGATTGATAGCAGCAACTACTTTGCATTCATTCAAGTGAAATGAGATGAAGCTTGAATAACATCTCTGTTGGTGATCCTTTGTACTTATTGCAGTGTCTCTGGTTTTTTGTATAAGATCATTGCTCAGATTTAAGGTACCAAATGCTTGTTGACCTGGCGTAGAAGTATGATGATCATCAATACTTCTTGTGATAAACTATTTTTCTCTAAATTTTATATGCATCTTTTGTCTTTCTGGCTGCTGCATGCCGTTGGCAATTGGGCCATTGGAGACATTTCGATCAAGGGTGCCCGTTACAATTTGCTATTGTTAGGAACGAATATTTAATTAGCATTAAGAAACGTGTGGGAACCTAGTCAAGGTTCGGGCTGAATGGCAAAGTGAAAAGGGAAAATTCGAAGGAAACCTAGTCAAGGTTACTTGCATGGTTGTTGGTAGCAAGTCTTTCCTTCTCTTGCAGATATATTAATTTTAAACTAGATACTAAAAGAAATGACACAGTTAAAATTTTTATTAAAAATTAAAAAAAAAAATGTTTTATGTTTAACATATTGATTTAAATTTTATATATAATTAGAGAGAAGATTCGTGCAATACTGTGAGTTTATTTTACTCATGTTAATAAAATTATTAGCTATTAAAATGAAAGATAACATAAAGATAATTGCATCAAATTAAAGTCAAACTTTTAAGCTATTTATAAGTTTGACATTAGAATGGTTGAAAAAAAAAAGTAAAAATTATATTAATATGTACCTCTGAGAATATGGTATTGAGTTGTCGTATCCCATCACCAAGAGTCCTAATATGAACGTTGAGATAGTCATCTACAGGGGTGAAAGTAATAAAAAATGGGTGCCTGTAGGTTCCCATGTGATCAATAATCATTTATGCTAAAAACAAAAGTATCCCTTTAACAGTGTTTGTTTAGGGTTAAAAAAAAAACCAATTACAGGATATGTTGAACCCATATTTTGAATTTGAAGGCTAAGGCTTACCATTGGAATGGAAACACAGTAGCATAATTGACAAACATGTATTGTTTACTCTTGTATCTGAATCCATGAGGCTTTGACATGTGAGGTGCTAGTACATTTCCAGGATAAACAGCCATATAAAGATTTCAAGGATAGAAATAAAAATCTTAATGAATTTTATTTTTCTAACCCAAGAAGTTAAATATTGCATTGGATTATGTAAAATGAAATTACTTACCTTCTATATTGTAACAGTCTTACTGTTTGTCTAAGCAGCCTGGTAAATTTTTCACATAAATAAAGGATAACTGAAACTACCAAGTACATTCATATCTGTCATTTCCAAAAGAATCAAGTTAACAGGGATGTTTAATATATATAACATTGAATTGTTGGGATTTGATTTCATGATCATCGCTTACCTTTTTTTTTTTTTACCATTTGTAGGTCAAGAAGAGCTTAATTTCATGCATAATAAGGAGAGTGTAAACAATAACAAATAGATGGTGAGAGCACCAAAATGCATTAAAGCCGGTTAGCTTCTTGAGAGGCTTAAGAAGGTTCATCCTACCACGCTTGAAGTAAAGCACAGCTAATGTGAAAACTATAACCATTAAAACCACAATTACAATCCCAATTACTCCTTCTGTATGCTTTACAAAATGCCAATAACTCTTGGGTTCTCCAAAATATTTTATCATTGGTTCATACTTATCAGGAGTGGCAAGAAGCAGATGGGGAAAATCACATGCCAAATGGGAAATTACATCTATGCCAACCCCAATTGAAATTCCAACCGCTATCACTTGTAATCAAGTAATCAAATAAACCCCATTAATGAATTTAAAACCTTATATTCTTAACATATATGAACACATGTTCACTATTACCTTTTGGAAATTGAAGTTGTCATTAAAAGGAACAACAACACCTAATTTTGTCTTGTTCCTTAACCAGGTGATGGTGTTACGACAGACTGGTAGCAAAATTAGAGCCATATTCAATTTAAATGTCTCAACTGCATCTTTAGCAAAGCAAACACAATGCCCTATCACTTCAAATACATATTTCTTCCTTCGATATTTCATATATTTGTATGTACATAGGCCACACATAACCCCAATCCATAGAGCCATTACCCCAGCTTTTTGTTACTTATTCTGTAAGAAATACTTGGTGTTGCGGCAAAATCTCCTCACTGGATTGTTGTTATATGTAGGCTTAAGCTTCTAGCTTAGCATTTTATCAAGTTTTGACTTTCTCCTCTTATATATTCGTTTGGTGCTTGTAGCAAAAGCATTTTCAAATTGTTTATTTCTTTAAAATATAAAAATTATAGTCATTGAATTGAAGCTAAAAAGTAAATATAGAGCTAATAACAATAGTGAAAGAAATGCTTCAATTTACCATGATGTATCCTAGATGGTCTAGGTCTAATTCTTCCATAATCAAGGTTGGATATTCCTTAGCTTGTTGTTGGATATTAGAGAGTTTGTTTGCAAATGCACTGAGATTGATTATTTGTAAAAAAAATCAACAATGATGAAATAAATTGTAAAAGTACACCAACAATGAGATAAACTCTAACTAAAAAATTATCAGAAAAATTTGACACAAAGCACATATCTGATCATATCTCTTTGACTTCATCTTTAGTTATTCTTCTATTTACATCTTTATCCACCTTGCATTTTGTTAACCATTGGATTTAAGACCAAGCTCTGAAGGCTATGCAAGGTATATAGCTTATTGATAAACAATTAATCTATGAAAAGTTTTAAAAAGAAAAAAAATGAGCAAATTTACATGTCAAAAAAAGTTTGAAGCCTAGCATTGAAACTTGGATTTGAGATTTGATCCCAAAACTCTTTTAGGTGAGCCTTATCAATTGAATCACCTTGAATGTTTCGTTTAGAGCAAGTGCATCAAACAATAGTCCTGCAAACTCCTTTGACTCCATTCCTACCATTACATCGATTCACACAATTCTTATTGAATTAAAACATCAACAATATTTACTCATTTTCCTACTCCCAAAAGTACCTTTGACTGCATATATTTCTCTCCCACTTTTTGTGGCTATTGCTTACCTACCCATCAAGGTTCAACAACACCAACCGCCAAAATCACATTAAAATGGCCATAATAAAGAAAACCCATCATCAAAATGATCATAATAAAAAAAATTCATCTTCTAGAAAATCTAAAGTTCCTATAAATTATACTACTGATGGCCATTATAGTAAGAGTCTATAACTATATTGAATATATAGATTGTTATTCTTGATGTTTATATGCTTAAAGTTATATATTGTTATATTAAATTATATTATCTTGATGACTTTTATATTAAGTTATATATTGTTATAGATTGTGATTTTATTAGAAGTTTATAATCATATCTACAAATATGAATTTTTGTTTCTAAAAAAATTCGATGCAAAGCAAAAAGAGTATACTAAACATGCAAAGAAAATAAAAATGAGAAAAAAAAAGTACCCATTTATAAAGAGTTCAATCTCAGATAGGCCATTATAGAGAACATACCAAATAAGGCAAATTGGGATTTGCAAGATCGATGCAAGAAACAAAATTATTACCAAATTGGCTTCTTTTGTTGTGACAATTTCTTTCATTAAAGTGTGTGAGATATAAAATACCAATATCAACAAAATCCTTTTAAGACCTACCATTTCATCCAGTATACAGATTAGCATAGGAAACAAAAAAAAAAAGAAACCCAAGCAATGATAAGATAACATACTGCCTTAGCAGCATCTTTTGCTACTTTAAAACACCTACTTCGTTATTGATTCATTTTAGCTAAGAGGCAATGTCATCTACCGTGAGTTTCCAGATAAAAATTTAGTATCATCAAATAAGTATAAATACACTTTATTTGCAGGTCAAAATGTGCACAAATCTTTCAATTTAAAAGAAGCACTACTCCAAATAAAAAGTTAGTATTGTCAAATTAGTATAAATACACTTTATCTGCATGTCAAAAATATCAACAAATCTTTTGATCTAAGAGAAGCACTACTCACCAATAGCCATAAATAAGAGCTTTTGAGGACGGACCATAACAAACAATCCATCAATGTAATCAAACATGCACTAAAATACTTCATCAAAAGTTATTGGTGAAGGCTGCATGAGACGAAATCAAATTAACCAAATTACATTCATTATAATAATTTCAACGAAACTTAATACTGGAAATCTTAATGAGTTAAAAGGGTTAAACCAAAAAAATTTGTAGAGAACATGCAAAATCAAATCTCTAGGAAAATCAAAACAATCGTTGTATTTCTAAAGAACATGTAACATCAAAACCAAAATAATTTGCAAAGAAACAATTAAATACTCACCTTAAAAAAAATCATTACCTCTTATAGCACCTGTGCACTACTTTTATTTGATTTTTTCTTTTAATTTTTAATATATATATATATATATCATTGCTAAGAGAAGAAAAGAAAAAGGATGAGAAACTAAAAAGGAAAGGGAAAGTTTGAAAAACAATGAAACACTCGATAAAATCAAAGAAATAATTGAAAGATTTTTTACCAAAATTATTCTTGGTATCGTCATATAATACATTATTGAGTTATTCTTATTAAAACTAACTCAAAACAATTTTTATATTATATAATAAATGTTTATATTTGATATAAAATAAACACTATAAAAAATATGCTAATTATCAAATTTATTTTCTTGTAATTGGCTTGAAAGCTTAACAATGGCAAATTATCGAGATGTTTTGTTTGACATTGAAAAATAGTAAGGCTAACAACGATGTCAGTGTCAAACTTCTTATCATTGATTGCTTAAAAGTTAATAAAATTTAAACGGAAGTAACAACTCTTGCTGCCACCTCGTTGTTCTTCTCCTTAAAAATAGACCAAAAAGAAGAATTTCCATCAAGAAATCATTAACTAATTGTACGAGACAGAACGTCCTTGTACGCCATGAAACAAACAATGTACAAGTATTCCCTGGCCGATGGAACGTGATAAAAACATGATTGAAAATTTTGAAATTTGGTGGGTCACACGATAACCCGACAGACAAAAGGAACAAAGCTTTACGCAAATGGTGAATGCGAGGGGGCAAAAAAATATATCACGATAAACATTTGATCCCGTCCAATTCACAACCTTGACAAGACAAATCTTGGGTTTGAGCTCGTTTGATCATCACCCTGCAAAATTCTTATTCTATCCCCCCATTGAAAAGTACATTTTTTCAAACCATTACCACAGGCATCAGCCAACGAAAACGATTAAAAGCGACTCCAATTTCGACGTACATTGGTGATTCCTAGACAAAATTTTATGTCATAGTAAACTCCTCCCTGTTTCGTTCGCCTTCTATCTGTTTTCTCTTGCAATGGAGGGTGAGAAATTCAGGACGAGGATGAAGAAAATGAAACGCAGGTATGCTACAGCTACGTCTGCATTGTTGCGTATAACAGGCTCTGTGGCTACGATGGTATTGCTGTTATGGACCATTTGCTGCGGGTTTCAATTGACGACGGAACCTTGGCGGTACACTGCAGTTGCTGCTCGGGCTTTCCATGTTGGAATCACCACAATGGTCTTTGGTTTGTTGTTTCTGATCGTCGGACTTTCCATTCTGGCAGACCTGTTTCTGAATATATCGCAACAGTTGCCAGAGCTCTCTGTCACGCATCAAGGTAATAACAAGGTGCTTAACTCTTTTCTTTTGTTTTTGTTCGTTTTGTTTTGATGCATCTGGCTTTGAGAAAACATCTTATGATGGAAAAATATTACAGAACTTGATAATTTCTAGGATGAACAGAAAGTATAAACTGAGAAATTTAGGTCAAAATGCCTGGGGTTATTTATGAACATGGCCAGAAAATTTTCAAGGTGAAATCTGTTGGTAGTAGTCAGCCAAGGAAAGACCAACCAAATTCAAAGAACCTCGAAGGTGAAGCTTGACTTAATTGGTGCATATAATCACTCTTAGCTTGATTTAAATTTCAGCAACTGTAATCTTTTTTTTTTTTTTTTGTTCATAGACTGTAATCTCTTTTCTATCAAGAAAAAAATTCAAAGAATACCTCCCAATGCCTAGTCAATAGGAATCTGCTTAACTAACGTCAACCTGATTTTACTTTGGGCACTAGTTAACATTTAGCTTATCGCTTAGTTGCATAGGAGAAGTTACTTTCTTTGTGTCTCCCAAGAAACAGGGCAGGAGACAAGGACGATCTCCAAAGCTATTGCCAAGGCCCTCGTAACTGTAATCACAATGTTGGTGATCTTGTGGGCAATGTACACCGGATTTAGGCTTGCAACTGAATCAGGAGAGAGCAAGCATCATCTCCTGACGGTTTCAATTGGAGTCACCACAATTTTATTTGGCTTAATTTATTTCATCATTGGATTTGCCATTGTTCTTGAACTTGTACTAGAATTTTGGACCCGTTCAGAATAGAAAGGAAACTGGCTTTCATCACGCTTGTAAAGCAGATGTTAAAGTGTTTTCCTTGACATTACTTGTGCTGCATTTTTCCCATGTACTAATACTGAGATTAAAGGAGAATTCAGTTGCGGCAAACTTGAGCTCTCAAGCAGATGCTGACTCACAATTGCTTCATCAAAATTAGAATACACAGGCAAAAAAGTGGAAGATAACAAATTTAATGTTTGGAAGCACGGACGGGAAATGCTGATTTTTAGCACAAGGATTGTGAATACACAAATGAATAACGATCTCTCATCTCTTCTTCTACTTAAGATTCAGCAGGTGCTCTTTGTCCTGTGATACAAATAACATATATATCCATGTTGATGCGTATAGCAGTATTCAGAATCACATCCTTTCCAAAAATCTGGATATGAGATATCCTCCATGGTCAATTATTTGAATTTGCAAGACCATGCTTTATGTTAACACTATCTGATGCTGCATATGAAGACTAAGCCCTTCAATTATACCAGGGACATGCATCAAATTCATATCCTTCCATTTAGTGTACATAAAATCCAGATCAGATCTCCAATAACAAGCCATAACCTTGTAAATCCTAAAACCATAAATTACGTACCAAGTTTCCACACCAGGATTTAGGTGCAATTCAGCTTTTGTTTTTTAGTCAAAGAACTAACCAAACCATAAAAATCATGACACTCAAAAATTCCAGTTTGAACTCATGAGCAGCAAGTCTACTGAATCCAAAAGCATTCAATCTAGATGCTATCTATTCAAGGTTTGTTCAACCATTCTAATCCGCATCTTTGAAAGACTGTGCAACATGTTCTGTTTTAGTAATAATTTAAGGTGTGAACCAGTGACAGCAGTTAGCAGCTTTTCACTTCTAAAATGAGGCCACAAAAAGTAAGCTTTGAAATTTCTCAAAAAAAAGTTTGGAACCCATGCCTAAAACTCATAAAAAAACCATAAAATTGTACAAAAATTTCATAACCATAGAGAAATTTTAGCTTTATTATTACAGCTTTTACAAAAGCTAAAGCTTTTACAAAGAGAAAAAGGATAGTTTTTTTGAAGACAAAGAATTTTTTAGATGAGCTTGAAAGGCAGAGGCGAAGGGGTGGACCTGGGAACCTCGACCTTATCCTTGATACGCTCTATCTTCTTCTCCTTCTTTGGTCTGGCGTTCCCATACGATCCTTTAAATCTCTTTCCTTTCTTTGTCTTCTTGTCACCCCTGCCGCATAGGATCGGCACTCCCGCCGCTACCCCACTCGGCGAAGCAGATGTTAGAGAAGGCCGCTGCGTCATCATAACTCTCCTTGCTACTACGCCACACCACTGCATCATGGCCATATCCTTGTTTCTGCTTCTGCTGGCAACCTCTCATTACCATAGACGGAGGCTGACAACAGAAGCCTATAATCATTTATTCCTTAATGGGCTTCTTGTTGCTTTTGGTTGGGCTCATTAGAACAAGCCTGTGTCCAAATATTATTCATTCCAGAGCCTGGGTCCAAAAATGAACCTTCCAGACCAAAGGTTTCAGGGATTGGAGATTTGCTTTGGGCCAATGAAAATGTGTAATTTTTTTCTTCATGACTATTTTTCCCGGTTGAGAACAATTCAAGAAAAATGTTGAGCTTTAGTCCAGAGTCCAGAACAGGAAACGGGTGATGGAGATGGGATTTAGTTTGCTGTGGCTTGAGTGGCTCCCAATTAAACATGAGCATCTTTGGTGTGTGTTTCTAATCACATTAAGTTACCTCGTCTTCCTCTTAGGCTTTAAGCTAACAGCCTGACTGTAACTGGGAGAGTTTCCTTGGAACAGAAAACCCACGAAAATGGTGGTGTTTTGCAGTCCCACTTCTCTTTCATGGACTCATTTCATCTCTTCTTCTCTTCACATCCCTCAATCTTTCTCTGTAAGTTTTGACTACCCCAAAATTCACCTTATTTCCTCTTCTTTTATCATACATTCTTTTTGCTTTTAAGTAGTAGTTCTTTGTCTTTTTTTTGTGTTCTTTTAGGTGGGTGAGACTAATAGATTCAGGGTTTTTTGTGGAGCTGCTCCGTCCCAAAGGGTTTGTTCTAACAAATGCTCACTTCTATTAACTTCAAAGCAATTTTTTTTGTCTCCCAAGATTTGGGAACTATTACATTTCAGGGGCCACAAATGTGATAAGGCTTCATGGTCATGTTGGGTGTTGTCAATTTGTCATGTTGGATCAATTACGTTCCTTGGAGATTTTGTTGACTCTTTGTAGATTGTTGTAGGATAATCACATGGCTGTATCAGTGACAGGAGCTACAGGTTTTATAGGTAAAAGATTGGTGCAAAGACTGCATGCAGGTAACTATAGTTATAAATTGAAGACTTCTTTTATATTTAACTTGTTTCAGATTTTTTAGCCACAACTTGACTTTAATATAATTGAAATGCAGACAATCATAATGTTTGTGTCTTGACACGCTCTAAATCCAAAGCAGAGTTAATATTTCCGGGTAAGAAGGTAATGAGTACTTTTGTTTTTGCTCTAATTGCTTTCTACAGGGAGAAGATAATAGAAATTTTATTGGCAGAAAAGGGTGAACCTTTGAGAGTCTAAAGCAAGCATACAATACATACATGCAGATGTACATATACACATACGTAACACTTATGCATAGACATGAATGTACTTACATGTCTTTTTTCCCTCTTAAACCTTAATTGTTTTTGTTCTTCTTGGCATTTGCAGTGAAGAACTTCCCAGGAATCATAATTGCAGAGGAGGCAGGGTGGAAGGATTGCATTGAAGGATCAAATGCTGTTGTAAATTTGGCTGGAATGCCCATAAGCACAAGATGGTCTCCCGAGGTTGGTTTAGAAGAATATCTTTCATCTTAGTTTTAGTATTATGTTGCTAGATAGACACAAACATTTTAGCCCAGGAGGGAAGAAGCTGTGTCTAATGTTTGATTTGCTATCATATTCCTGCATGAGTGACACCTAGATTTTTCCTTCTATTTCTTTTTTTTTTCTTTTAATCAAAGGTTTCAGACAATGCAAGGATACAGATTCTCAGCCTGATGCACACGCACACACACTCATTTGATTGATGACATCTGCTAAGTGATGCAGCAGATATTGACATTTCTTCAGTGTTCGACAACACTTAAATTAAGCATCAATTACACTTTCTATCAGTTAGGTCTCTGTACATCACTATTCAAATGGATATCTTCTCATACATCCTTAAATCCTGTATAAATCCATTATTCTTGAACTGTATTGCAGATTAAAAAGGAAATTAAGCAAAGCAGGATCAGAGTCACTTCAAAGGTTAGTCTTTATCATTTTTATTGTTACTCTCTGTGAGTTGGAAGCACTTGAAAGATCTTTCTTGTTCTTTTTAAAGCAATGTCTTTCTGTAACCTCTTAACTGTTTTTCCACTGCCCATTTTTGTTGATTTTGAAAGGTTGTAGATTTAATAAATAATTCACCTCAAGGAGTTCAGCCTACTGTGTTGGTTAGTGCAACAGCCGTTGGTTATTATGGTTTGTATCTATTACAATTTCCCCTTTTTTCCCTATCCTGTCATGAAGCACTGATCTAGGATGGCCAACTTTTTTATTTACTTACACAAACACGCATTGATCCATACATCCATAAGGTTTTTAAGGTGTGGAACACAGTCCATTTCCTGCATGAGAATTGATCCTATGAGCAATTAAATGCTGTAAACTTTAGCTGCAACTGGCTCCTCTAATAGGCGTAATTTCACCTGTTTCTCTTTCCTTAATGCTTATTGCTTAGGCACAAGTGAAACACGAGTATTTGATGAGAGCAGTCCATCAGGAAATGATTACTTAGCTGAGGTAAGGAAAAGAAAATGATTACTCAGCTGAGCTCTGTTGTTGCGATTTACTAATGCAATTTATTTGTTCAGGTTTGTAGAGAATGGGAGGCAACAGCGCTTAAAGTAAATAAGGATGTAAGATTAGCACTTATCCGCATTGGAGTGGTACTTGGCAAAGATGGTGGTGCTCTAGGTATGGCTGATGTTCTTTGTTCTCTCTCTCTCTCACCCCCACGCACATGCCTGTTATAATTAAAATCAATTGGGGTCTCAGCCAATCTAGTTAGTCTTATTTACTTATTACTAGTAAAATCAAGATATTATTTCTGAACAAAATCAAAGCCATTATAGTGTTTTTAATTTGGCCCAGATAAAAGAATGCTTTATGCATTCAGCTGGTTACTTTAAAAAGTTTTTCTTTTCAGCTGCATAGGTTGATCAAATCTCAAAGAACACAATATGCATATTCTTTCTTTTTAATTTGAGATTATGTACATATTCAGTTTCATCAACTTTAAAGAAATTAGAATCAAGTCTTTCTATCTTACATCTTTGAGCCTTTGCAGCTAAAATGATCCCTCTCTTCATGATGTTTGCTGGAGGACCTTTGGGCTCTGGACAGCAATGGTAGGCTATCATCTGCATGCTAAGGCACCATTAAATCATCAATTTGCTATTAAAATGCTTAAATAATTTGAGAACCTCCCGAGGATGTGGAATCATTGTTGAAATTGACTTGTTGATTTCTTTCCTTCTGCTCATATTGCTTTTGCATGTCATATTGTTGGTTATATTTCTTCTTATACAGGTTTTCCTGGATTCACTTGGAGGACATAGTGAACTTAATATATGAAGCTTTATCCAATCCATCTTATAGAGGTGTATATTCTTCCATTCATCAACTAGATCATTGTTCTTGTTTTCCATATAAGAGTGTATTTATTATGCTCATTGACTTTTTCCATATGTTCATCCTCCTTTTGTTTACCAAAATCTCAGGAGTTATAAATGGAACTGCACCAAACCCTGTTCGATTGTCAGAGATGTGTGATCAATTGGGAAATGTCATGGGCCGACCATCATGGCTACCTGTGCCAGACTTTGCCCTCAAGGCAGTACTAGGGGAAGGTGCTTCAGTGGTAGGTGTTTTCCTTACTCTCCCTGTTCTTCCGTTTCCTTTCTTTTCCCTTTTTTTTTTTTTGTTTCTTCTGTAACTCCATTCATCCAAGACAATTGGATTTATTGCAGGTTCTGGAGGGTCAAAAGGTGCTTCCTGCTAAAGCCAAGGAGTTGGGTTTCCCATTTAAGTACCCTTACGTCAAGGATGCCCTCAAATCCATTCTTTCCTAAGACTACAAGATAGATGCGTCGTCGTATTCTTTTTTTTTTTTTAATGTTTTTTGGTAGAGGTATAACCCATAGCTACCAATAGAATCACTGAAATTTTTCTTTCTGCCTTAATGAATCACCCAGTTGGAAGCTTTTGATTTTCTGCTGCTTTTCAATTGAACAAGAATGCACCACTGCAGTTAAACACTGAAATTCGGAAATCAACAGAATGCTAAATAAAAAAACAGATCAACAGTCGTCAAATACAAGTGCAAGTAATAGCAGGTTGATTTTAAGATCCTCTTTCTGTGCTCTTAAATCTTAAGATTCACAACAGAATGGAACAAAAGTTTGGGTTTCACTTCTTCATTTTGACACGAGAACCTACAGTTCTGTCATTCCAGATGAATATATAATTCTGTTGCTTTTCTTCATCGACGAAGACCCACGAAAGACAACAAATTGCGGATTAATTTGATCAACCCTTTAATGAGAACTTTCTACCTGTAAATGGCTTGAACTTCGGATCTTCCTTCTTTTGAGGCTGCTCCTGTTTAGACTCTTTTCCAGATTCCTGCAAAATCATAGAAATAACTATCTTATATCTTCATTTTTTCATAAATAAAAAAATAAAAAACAACATATGATGGGTAATGGTAAACAATTTGGCAAAAGGAAGATAATGCAAAAATGCTGAGTACCTGTTTTGTTTCCTTAGGACGGTTGACATTTGATCCAAATACAAGCTTGCCATGAGCCTGGCGTGCAGTAGTTTGCGAACTAGATCCTAAAGAAGGTCGGCTATCATTCCCATTTCTAACAGCAGGTCCCTTGCCTTTGGACCCAGACAAAGATACTGGTGGAGGCTGCTCCTTCAGAGGCTTCCCATCCAAGCGTCTTCCTGTACCAGTAAAGGCACTGAACTTTGGTTCAGCCTCAGCAGGAGCTTCTTCAACTGAAGGAACAAAGATGGTTTTCCTTAGAACAGAACATAAACCATCACTAAGATCTATCATGAACTTGAGTCAACTAGCCTACACAGGTGTGTCTTTCTAGATATCTCACTAGTCTACAGAGATCCAAACATGGCGAGAAAAAACATCCCAACCAAGCATAGTTTTAGAAACATAAAATTGTACCCAAAAAACCTTAAAAATTAAAAAAAAAGAAGAAGCAAAACTAACATTAAGATAAACCACTCAAATCCTGAACAATGAGTTAAGAGCAAGATAAACCAGTCATGGTTTCTAGCAAAGAAATTAGCTTTTCACCTTGAGACAGTGCCGTGCTTGAAGAACGGGGTATAGCAGGCCTTTCTGGTTCCTTGTAATCCAGGGGAGGAGCAAAATCCACCTCACAGTCTGTCTCAATGATACTTATTGCATTGGATGGCTTTGTCTCGATGATATCTATGTAATACTTCTTATTATTATATGCCACCATAATACTGTCCCCAGTGGTTAAACAGGAATAATTCCTCAGTGTTGTCTCTAAGCTGCATAATAAAAAGAAAAGTCAAATTTAAAGTGAGATACCTAAATCAACTTGGAGAGCAACAAGTAGAGTAAGAAGAAAAAGTCCATAATAGCTAAATTATATGGCACGAAACAAAAACACAGATTCAAGGAGCTACGTTCCTCACAGCCAAATACAGAAACTCATTTGGCTTACATGAAGCTAAATTACACAAAATTGTCAACATATATGATACAGTATATGAATTGATGACAACACCCGTCTCAATTTTGAAAATTCCCTTCTTAGCTGAACATCAAATATCAAAGAATCAAGCATACATATCTTCAAAAACAACCCACTCACATAGCTTTGGGGTTTGAAATATCCAGAAAGTCCTTCGTGTGGGGTTGCAATTTAACATATGTTCCCTTTGGAAGAGTTACATTTTTCACCCTCACAATATCTCCCTCTTGTAGGAGCAAATTCTCCATCATCTACATGAAAACCATTGAAAACAACAAGGCATAAGTCAGATAAGTGGAAGATTTCTTAGATTCAGTGGACCTAAGCAATGCCACAATACTACTAAAGTGAAGCACATACAAACCAAAAAATGCATTGCCTACCCAATATGGCATATAGATCATGCCTTCTTCTGCAATAAACTCTAGTACTCCACAGTGAGAGGCACGCTCAGCAGTATCATTCCGAAGCTCAAACAACATTGGATAATCAATATGCAGAGATGCTGCATAATTTAGTAACACATTAGCATTCTGGATGATAAGGTCATGACTCGGGAGGAACCAAGACTAATTACACAAGTTAAATTAATGCCACAATTAAAACAACTACCTAAGCGATCAAGGGCTGACGGAGGCATTATAACTGAAACAACAATGAAAAAAATATATATTAGGAAGTTGCACGGCAAAAGGAACATATTGCACAACTAAAGCTATGAAAACTTACTTTTATCACCACTTTCAATTTGTGGCTGCAGGAAAACAAGGAAAAAATATAGGATCACAACCATTAGAAAGGAAAGAAAACTAAAAAATTTGCAGGATTAGAGATCATATACCTTACAAATAACAAATCAAGATGATAGGTTTTCCAAACTAATGACAGACAAGATAAAAAAACATTCTACTTTTCAAACCTTTTCAATGAAAGATGCAGGGTAACATCGGTAACTCTGCTCAAATGATGTCCCATGATAACCATATCCACCGAAAAACTGTGAAATCAAGCAAAGGATACATTAAAAATTACTAGTATGTACTGTCATCTCGCATCTATTGTAATCCAAATTTCAAAACTTACTGATTGAGTTAATAAAAATTCCAATGTCACAAAAAACAACATTGAAAGCTACCCATTACCCAAAACCGCATTCATTAACACTAGATAATAGAAACAGTGAAAAAAAGGCAATGTAAAACTTACCATCTTGTAATGCTTATAAACGGTCAAACCAGATAACTTATTGTTCAAGTTCCCTAGTTCCCTACAAGAAGAAGGTCAAATTGATCAAATTATAAAAAAATATAACCTAATTCACTAAAATTAAGAACAATGGTCAAAAACATTAATATGCACAATTTCTACAATTCTTTCTCTTTAGAATCGAAAGAACAGCAAATAAAATCAACAAAAAATTTTAAAAAAAAAACTTTGAACCGTAAAGCTCGTATTTTTGAACCAAAATTGAAACTTTTTTCCTCTTAATTCAGTTGTCAGCCAGTTAATTCTGTCCATTATCGAAAGCAAAAGGCAAAAACGAACAGATCTTAAGCCTAAATTCAAACAGATAAAAGAGTAATTGAAAGAAGAAAATATAAATACCTGAGAGATAGAGAGAGAGAGGGAGACGTTCTTTAGGAGTGTTGATCGGTGAGGGAAAACTGGTAGTGAAGAAGAGGCAAGATTACGTCAAGTGGGGAATCGCCTAAGATGCGCTTTAACTGCGTTTTTTGCATGCCACCATCATATTCCGCCACGTATTCATTTAAAAGAATTAAATTATTATGATCCATTTTAACTACTGAAAAAAATAAAGAAATTCCCTTTTGGGCCTAACGCAAAACACAGATCATACAACTTTTGGGCCTATAACAGTTAAGATGCCCAATGAATTAAAATGCCGAAGCTTGGAAAGGGTATTTCAATCCAAAATCAGCCAGCAAATTGCATTATTCCATATTTTCCTACGAAATTTTGGCTTTTTCTTGGCTATGTGTGATATTTTTTATCCATATTTTCGATCATGTAAAAAATTCAACATTCTGTTAACAATATGCGTGATGTTGGATTAGATATCGAGAGATAACAAAATTTGAACTTAATCCATTTGATATATGTAATTAAGATGATATTTAATTTATATATTTATTTTCAGATTACGATATTTTTTCGTAAAAAAAAAAAATTTCTGATATCACAAATCCACTCAATCTCATGATTTGAAATAGGAATTCCTAATATGAACATTTAAGTTTTAACTGTTGGAATGTGTTGTTAGAGATATCAATTAAGTGAATATAATAGGTACAAAACC